AATTTAAATTTATTAGATATAATTTTAACCATTCAAGTATTGAAAAAGGGGCAGTAGAGAGATTTTTAGGTTTTTGGTGAATTATTTGAAGGTTGGGATATTAAACTTCTTGGAGTACTTGTCGCATTGGGATTACTTGAGAAACAAAAATGGCTAAAGATCTTCACGTCGTTGTGATCCCATGGTCCGCCTTTCGGCACATGGGGCCATTTTTTCAACTCTCGATTGCCTTGGCCAGAGCTGGAGTTAAAATCTCCTTCGTTCAAACCTCTAAATCCTAAAGTGACAGGTCTGAAGTAATAAATACAATAATATAAAAATAATATATCATAATAAATTTGTAATAATAGATAATAATTAATAACTTAAGAAAAATACACATTAAAATTTATATAAAAAATCATCTAGTATAAAAAAAAAATTATTATCAAATAATAGATGTATAAAGTTATCCTCAAATTAAAATTAGAGCTAGTCCATAACTAAATAGACAATCAAAGAAATCACATCAAATAAGTTACTCAATAAATATATCTTATTTTTGTTCTTAAAGTGCTTTAAACTCAATTTTTATCATTCAAAATATAGAACTCTGAATCATAAATCTGTTGATAAAATTTTAACCATATTTATAATTTACCAAAAAATTTAATATTAAAAATTGATCTTAAAATTACTCCAGTAGTTTGACAGTAATTTAAGATAATTTTCTCACCTTATAAGTATTCATGAAGACAAGTGTCATACTTTGAAAAGGCTCTATCGTCAGATTCATTAATGTATTTTTCAAAAAATAATTAGTAAAATCATTCAATAGTTTGGTAGGTTTTACTTTGATGCAAATTCCTTAATAGTTTGATAAGATTTTTTTGTAAATTTATTTTTTAAAGATCGTACTAAATCTTTCAATAATTTGATATGATTTAATTTAAGATACAAATCCTCCAATAGTTTGGTAGGATGAAAATAGAATATTTCATAAACAATAATTTTTAAAAAAACAAAACTGATTTATGAATTTCTTCAATAATTTGGTAGAATTAATAAAAATTTAAATTCATGAAAAATTATCTAATAGTTTGATAAAATTCGTGAATCTATTTTAGAAATTTTTTTATTTTTATACTTTGTCTTTGAATAAATAAAATAAAATTCATAAAATAATATATTTGCTGAATTTAAAATAATAACTAATAATAAAGGATAAAATAATAGTAAAATATATATAATAACATCAAAATAAAATCAAAATCAAAATTGAAAATTGAAAATTGAAAATTGAAAATTGAAAACAAAAATAAAAATAAAAATAAAATGAAAAAAAAAAACCTACAATCGGGTTAGGCTTGAAGCCGAGTTGTGCGCGAATCCTATTCGGGTTGCATGCGGACTTGGGCCTACTCCAAATTAATGTTGTATAGAGCTTATATAAATATCAGCCTTCAGCCTTTTTGTCCTTAAATTTTAGACCTCTCTCACTCTATTTTTAAAACTCTTTATGCCCTCTCTCTAGAAGATTCAACTGAAATCTTCAACCTTCTCCAAAAATCGACTAGTTTCCTAAATGTCGGCACTGAAAATTCAAAAAGGCACCGAAAAGTTTAAACTTTTCAAAAACCGTCTACAAACCCAGAATCCAACAATCATAAAACTCCTCTAGCCATCGTGTATTCCATCGAAAACTTTAAAAATTCAACCTAAAAATTCAATCAAAAACATAAAACCAAAAAATTAAAAAACCTTCCCAAATCCTCCTAGATTAGGATCAAACCTAGAAATTAGAACCCAAATTCCAAAGAACAATATCCCAGGGATTAAATTTTTAAATTAGATCCAACAAACACCAAAAAATTGAGCTTAATCCTAAAATCCTAGCAAATTTAGATTTGCTAAAACCAAACCCTAACTTTTAACCCCAACTTCTAGAATCCAAAACCCAATTTCCCTCCAAAATAAAGATTCTCAATTAAAGAACAAGCCCATAAAACCCAAAAAGAATCTGAAACCCCCAAAATTTCCAGAAACCACTAAAAACCTAAATTCCTCAAATTTGCTAAAACCATTTCCCCATTTTTCCTTGTGTGCTTGATGGAGATTTATAGGGTTCTTGTTAATAGATTTTTTAGGATTTTAAAAAGGATCAAATTTGCCATTAAACAAATTCGATCTAGAAGTTGGCTTAATACTTGGTTTTCCAATTGATTTTGTTTCCATTTTCAAACAATCATGATTTCTAAATTTCCAAAAAAAATTTATTCTGATTTTGTTTCCTCTTTTTTTTTTTTTTGAACTTTTGACCTTTTTTTTTTTTACTTTTTTTAAACGAATAAAATTAAAAAATAAATAAAAATAAACAAATTAAATTAAATTAAAGATTTTCCTATTAGGCCCGAAGTTTTTCAATTGGGCCTAATTTACGATTGAAAGCCCATTTTTCTCAAAAAAATCTCAAAAAAAATAGGTTGTCTATATTATTCATATTTTAAATAATTATATTTGAAAAGAAACAATTATCATATTACAAACGATTATAACTATTCAAATATAAATAAATTATTATTCATAAAAGTCATAATTATACAAAAAATTATAACCATTTGAATAGAAGTTTATATATGTTCATTCATTATAAATAGATATTTCAGTATTACCATTTTTATTACTTTTACTTGGAGAATTTTGAGGTTTTATTATATCCTAAAGGCATAACTGCATTTAAAAAAGTGTTATTCACACTTCAAAGCTAAATTTTTTTCTCTTATTTTTATTCTTTTGTTTTTTTTTTTTTTTTGACAAAAAGAAGTGATGATAGATCATTTAGCAGCAATGGCATAGCTAAGGCTCTAAAACTGGCCTTGGTATCTAAGGAAAGAGAGAATATATATAAGGGTTCGGGCTAAAAAAGCATCAAATTAGACTTTTGGAACCAAAACCAGCAAGATATTTACTTTGATAGTGTTAGAGGTATTTTTGGGTCCAAAGGATAAATTGGATTGTTTTTCCTTATTAATGATTGTCAGCTGACAGTTAGGGTATTTTCAATTTTTTAGACCAATCTAACATGTACAATGCCACATCAGTTCAACTACGCCACTATTCTACCCCACCTCACCTTCCACCTTTAAATAGAGCCATTTATGTACAATCTATCCATTTGATTATTTTCTTTACTTCTTATTTTCCTTTTTTTCTGACTTTCCTTATTCCAACCTCTAATTTGAGCATTGAAGTGTAAACATAAGAAATACCTCCTATCTTTACTTTTAACTATTTTCTTTCTCTTGTGAGATTTTAAGGTTTTCACCCTCAGTTCAAAGCTCAAAACAGTTAGATATATTTGTTGAGTATATAGAGAAAAATAGAGCTACAACTGATCACAAGCCATAATAATTTTCCAAAGAAAAAAGATTACAAGCAATAAATTTCTTTTTCTTTTCAAGTATTTAAAAACTTTAAAAAAATAATGCTACACTTAATAATCATCATGCGCCAAGCCTTAAAAGTCAAGTGTGTTACAGAATTATTCAAATAAGCAAGGTTTGGTTACTTTTGTATTGCTTTAGTTAATAATGTCCATCTAATGATATTTAAAGGCTTATAGTTATGGTTTTAGGTTGAGTTTTTCATATGCAAAAAGATTTAAATAAAGATTTTTAGGTGAAATTTTTTTATTAAAATCGATCTAACAAATATTAAAAATTAAAATTAAAATTAATAGAATGAAAATTCTTATTATATAAATCAAATATGTAAATTTAAAAAAAATTAATATGTTTTTTATATAAACATTTTTAATTAAAATTTTGATATAATTTTTATCATTAAATAAATACTGATTAAATTTAATTATAAATAGCATTTCAAATAATTTTTTTACATATTATTGATCTTTTTATTAAACTCTACCAATTTATTAATTTAAAGTTTTATTAAAATTTTTATTAAATTATTTTTAATAAAAAAATTTCACAAATTTTACCCAAAAAATTTCATATAAAAAATTTTCCTTTTGTCTAATAAAATAGTAATAGTAACACATTTTAGCCTATAATATGGAAGTTTGATCCTATTTAAATTGATACATATAAAGATAATTTAATGCAAGTTGCTATTTAATTATTTATCTTAATGTTTTTTTTTTTTACAAAATTTTTTAGTTAAGTTATTATATTGTCATGAAAAGTACTGTTTTGTCACCTTTCTCATTTAATTAAGCTCAATCTGATCGATATATAATATCTAAGTTCAAATCCAATAATTGCACGTCTTCTCTTCACCTCAAGTCAAAACACCTTATCTACCTCAAAATTTACGTAAAAAAAAAAAAGGAAATAGAAATTTCAATTATTGCTCAATTGATGTCGCTTGTCCAAGACCACTACTCGTCATTGCAATTTACATATTGTATTTTTATTACGCTATTTACTTGTTAAAAAATTGATTGATTAATGGAAAGTGATTTATTGAATAATAAAATATTATGATTTTTTTTTTAAATAGTCTTTCCATTTTGAAAAGGATAATATAATTTTTTATAAAAGAACTATTTATTGATTTTATTATTTAATAATTTCGTAAACATAATTTTATTCAAATTGAATTTTGAATATAATTTTTTTAAATTCAAACTCAATTTAATTTTAGAATATTTTTTTATTAATAACAAATTATTTAATTTCAATAAAAACTTAAAATATTAATTATATTAAAAAAAATTTAATAGTTTAATTATAAATATTTTATAATTTTCCTTAAGTCAAACTTTAAACATAATTTTTTTATTTTTATCTTCAACCCTAAATATTATTATATTAATCAAAATATTTTTATTTAATTTTAATAAAAATTTAAAATTTTAATATTAAAAATATTTTAATATTAATATTTTAAATATTTTATTTTATATATTATTAAAATTGAATATTTTTAAAATTTCAATTATAAATAGTATTATAATTTTACTCTAGTCGTAAAACAAACAACCCTAAATGTTTCTAGTTTCTACTTTCTAGTACAATTCCAAAGCAAACAGGGCAAGACAAATAAGCCTGACTCGCGTTCGTTTAAGAGGTGTTTTTCTCAAATCCTGGGTAGAGATGGCTAGAGATCTTCATGTGGTGATGCTTCCATGGTCTGCTTTTGGCCATTTGATACCATTCTTTCAACTCTCTGTAGATTTAGCCAAAGCTGGAGTAAAAGTCTCCTTCATATCAACCCCTGGAAACATCCGAAGACTCCCTAAAGTTCCTTCAAATTTAGCAACCCTGATAGACTTTGTAGATTTTCAATTGCCAAACTTAGACAACGAACAACTCTTGCCAGAAGGTTGTGAGGCCACGGTGGACATTCCTTTCGAGAAAGTTCAATACCTGAAGATTGCATACGATCTGCTGAGACACCCGGTCAAGCAGTTTATCTCAGATCAACGACCGGATTGGATATTCGTGGATGCAATTCCTTATTGGGTGGTTGAGATTGCCCAAGAGCACCAAATCCCTCTCATTAATTTCTCAGTTTACTCTGCTTCTGTATGTGCTTTTCTTGGAAATCCAACATCCCTTACTGGTGATGGCCAAAAGAGAAGGAGGTTTTCTCCAGAGAGTTTGACTTCACCGCCTGAGTGGTTTGATTTTTCTTCTTCATTGGCTTACCCTAGATTCCTAGCGACTGGCATGCACGAAGGTTTTTATGGAGAGAATGCTTCTGGAATATCTGACGCTGAAAGGGTTGCTAAAATTATTCAGGCCTCTAAAGCTTTTGCTGTCCGTACTTGTCCTGAATATGAAAGTGAATACTTGAACACATTGGAGAAGATAATTGTCAAACCAGTGTTTCCAATTGGCTTGCTCCTACCAGAAAAACCTCAAGGAAGAAGAATTACCACTGACAACTCATGGACTGAAATCTTTGAGTGGCTTGATGTACAAAAGCCTAAGTCAGTTGTGTTTGTAGGGTTTGGAAGCGAGTGCAAGCTAAGCAAAGAACAAATTCATGAGATAGCAAATGGACTGGAGCTATCAGGATTGCCATTTTTATGGGCACTTAGGAAGCCTGATTGGGCTCTTACTGACCTTGATGCTTTGCCTTCAGGATTTAGTGAGCGTACTCACGGAAGAGGAGTTGTCTGCTTTGGTTGGGCACCACAGTTGGATATATTGGGACACCCTTCAATTGGGGGCTCTTTATTTCACGCTGGATGGGGTTCTATTATAGAAACATTGCAGTTTGGGCATTGTCTGGTGGTGCTACCATTTACGATAGACCAGCCCTTGAATGCAAGGCTATTGGTAGAGAAGGGTTTGGCTGTAGAAATAGAGAGAAGTGAAGATGGATCGTTTAGCAGGGTTGGTATAGCTGAGGCTCTAACACTTGCCATGGTGTCCAAAGAGGGAGAGGGTCTAAGAGTCCGAGCTAGATCTGAAGCAGCTGAAGTTTTTGGGAACAGAGACCTGCAAAATTATTACTTCAATGGTTTTGTCGAGTATCTGGAGAAAAATGGAGCTGCAAACCAGAGGCCATGATCCTCCAAGTTCAAACATTAAAATAAACAAGGCTTTGTTCAGTTACTAGCAAGCTTTTTCCCATTATTGAGCTGTTAATCTAGAAACTTTTTATAAGTAGATAACAATGTATGGTTCTTGCTATTTTATTTCAATGTCTACTTAAATAATTAAACTTCGACTTAAATTGATTTTTAGCAAAACTCCAAACGATTTGAGATGATCCCATCTATCTTTTATTCGGGTGGTGGGTCCAGGAGAACCAATTTTTTCTTGATTTACTCATGTGGATACAATGTAGTTAAAAATTAAGAAGGTAGATGGTATACAGGTGCAAAATCAAACGACAAACAAAGAAAATACAGGCAAAAGCCTACAAGAACATAGAAATTATGTTCTTATGGGAAATGCAAGGAATTGGACGCCTGCAACCACTATTACACTATTTGTCTTTGGTACAATCATTATTTATTTTATTATTATTGCATAAATATTAAATTTAACAAAACTGATTTTTAAAAATATCCTAATAAACTTTTCCTCAAGTTGTCCCATGTGATTCGCATTTTCTTTAATGGCTACAGCCAATTAATGGCAGAGCCCTTTAGTGTCCACTGAGGGCTTACGCTCCATCGGAGGCAAAAAAAATACGAAATCATGTGTTCTAATTATAAATAAAGCTCAACAAATTCTCGTTACTTCAATTTATTTGCTGTTGAAATTATTATTGGATTTATTCATTGTCATTGTTACATTAAAGAGAGAATTTTCAGCAATTAATATTTTGAAGATTTGTTTGAATGATCAAATACGAGATTAATGGTGAAATGATAGTTTAATTGTATAATTAAAAATTAAAGTTTATATTTGATATGTTATCAATTATAAATTCTAAATATTGTCAATAAATTTAATGATACTACTTTATTACTAAGATGAATCAAATTATATCATCTAATTAATGAATAAATTTTTAAAATTTTTTAACTTTTTGTATATTTAATTTAAAAATCAATATTTACTCATTAATAAAATGATGTCATTTGATTTATTGATTGTATACAAATCTTATATACTAACAAATTTTATATATTGATAATACATCAAATATAAACTTTTGAAAAATACGCGCTCAAAAATATTAATTACAAAATTATTGTGTAATTTTTTCAAAATAAAAAATCATGTCAAGAATAATTATTTTTATTATTTTTATCATTATTGTTGATATCATTATTTTTGTAATTTAATATATTTAAACTATCTCTTAAAAAAATGTATATTTGAGCTAAACTGCAGTAGATAAATTATATAAAGCGGTAGGCGGTGGAGCGTTTAATGTTTTAATTATAAAATTGTGGGTGGGCTCTATTTCTATGGCTCTTGATAATGTCAAGCATATTCAAATTCACCAACCACAATCAATGTGTACGAAAAAAATATTTTTATTTATAAGGACCGGTGGGCTATAAAGAGTGTTTTAATTACAACGTGCCGAATTTGTCTGGAGTCTATTAATTAGATTTGATAATTTAAATATTTATAATTTTTTTATATTTATCATATGTAAAATATAAATATTATTATCTTATAATTTGTCTTTGATAAGTTTAATTTAATGATAAAATATATTTTTTTGTTTTTACTAAATTTATATATAATTTTTTAAAAAAATTTTAAATCATATTAATTTTGTATTTTTTTATATAGTCTTATATCAATTTAAATTTATTAGATATAATTTTAACCATTCAAGTATTGAAAAAGGGGCAGTAAAGAGATTTTTAGATTTTTGGTGAATTATTTGAAGGTTGGGATATTAAACTTCTTGGAGTACTTGTCGTATTGGGATTACTTGAGAAACAAAAATGGCTAAAGATCTTCACGTCGTTATGATCCCATGGTCCGCCTTTCGGCACATGGGGCCATTTTTTCAACTCTCGATTGCCTTGGCCAAAGCTGGAGTTAAAATCTCCTTCGTTCAAACCTCTAAATCCTAATGTGATAGGCATGAAGTAATAAATATAATAATATAAAAATAATATATCATAATAAATTTATAATAATAAATAACAATCAATAATCAATAACGTAAGAAAAATTAAATACACTAAAATTTATATAAAAAATCTTTCAATATAAAGAAAAAAATTTATATTATCAACTAATAAATGTATAAAGTTACCCTCTAATTAAAATTAGAACTAGTCCATAACTAAAGAGATAATTGAAAAATCACACCAAATAGATGACTCAACAAAAATACATTATTTTTATTCTTAAGGTGCTTCAAACTCGATCTTTATCATTCAAAATATAGAATTTTAAATCATAAATCTGCTGATAAAATTTAGCTCAATCAAATCACAAGTCAGCTTTCGTTCAACTAACTCTTTCTTCTCCCCTTTTTTTTTCTATTTTTTTTGCTTTTTTTCTTTCTATTCAACGCTTCACACTCTATTTTCTACCAAAAAATGCAGCTCATATTTTCTTTTATTACCTAGGACTCTCTTAGGATAGCCTAATACACATAAAGCCCATGGCCTTTGAATGGTAAAAACCAATGACATAGGGCTAAACCCTACATATTCTTAATAATCTCTTCCTCTAGTCTCCATTAAAAGAAGATTCATCACCATAACATTTTTATTCGAAACTTACCTTCGCCAAAGAATTCATTCGACAAAGTTACTACAAAGCTCAAGTTTTTTCTTTGAAAGTGTCTTAGTCAACATATCTATTATATTTTTATCAGTATGAACTTTTTTCAATAGCATTTGTTGTCCCTCAATCACCAAACATAACCAATAATATTTAACATTAATGTACTTTATTCTAACATGGTATTTAATATTTTTACTTAAATCTAAAGTACTCTAGTTATCATAAAACATCATATACTTTTTTCTGATTCAACCTCAATTCAAGAAAAAAAATGTTTCATCCAAAGCATTTATTTACTTGCTTCGATTGCTGTAATATGCTCAGCCTCTGTAGTTGACAAGCAATATATTTTTGCAACTTAAACTGCAAAAACACATCTCCTACTGCAAAAGTGAATAAATATCTTGAAGTAAATTTTCTACCATTAAAATCACCTACAATGTCAGTATCAGTAAACTTTTTTAGAACTAGTTATAAAACTTAATAACTCAAGCACATTTTTGAAGTGTCTCTCAAATATCTGAAAATCTATTTCATTGCTTCCTAATGAACTTTTCTCAAATTAAAAAAAAATCTGCTCATTACACCAACTGTATAAGCAATGTCAAACCGTGTGCAAATCATAAAATACATTAAAAAATCGATTACAGAAAAATAAAGAATACTAAACATAGCTAGTTGCTTTTCCTTAGTCACTGAACAAGATTTTTTTGCTCAAATAAAAATGGTTGACAAGTGAACTGCTAACTAATTTAATATATTGCATGTCAAATCTATTAAGCACCTATTCAATATACTTTTCTTGTGATAATCACAACTTTTCAAGTCTCCTATCCCATTTAATACCCATATCGAGAATTTGTTTACTGAACATAAATCTTTCATGTCAAAAGATTTAGACAATTGTTCTTTTCACTTACAAATCATACCAGTATTTTATCTCATAATCAACATATAATAAGAGAATAATAAAGTTATCATCAAAAAAAATTTTGACATACACACAAGAATCAATTACCGTTCTTTTATAACTATAGCTCACCATAAAATAATCAAAATTTTTGTATCACTATCGAAGAGCTTGTTTCAAGCCATACTAAGTACTCTTTCATTTTCACTTCAAAACCCTCAGGCTAATCCATATAAATGTTATATATATCATTTCATTAATAAGTAAATTTTTTTTAAAAATTTTAATTTTTTGTATATTTATTTTAAAAGTTAATATTTACTCATTATTAAAGTGACATTATATAATTTAATGATAATGTATAGACCTTATATACTAATAAATTTTATTTACTGATAGTGTATCAAATATAAATTTTTGAAAAATATGTGCTCCAAAGTATTGATTATAAAATTATTATACAATCTTTTCAAAATATAAAATCATGTCAAGAATAATTTTTTTAATTACTTTTATCATTATTGTTAATATTGTTATTTTTGTAATTTAGTATATTCGAACAATCTCTTGAAAAGAAAAACGTATATTTGAACTAAACACCATTAGATAAAATTTTTGGCTCGGTCAGCCCGCAGCAATGGCACGAAATTAAACTAAACCAACTATATGGTTGCCCAATTAGTAATACAGACTAGATTTGCAAATCTTTATCTCACGCACTTTTGGTGGCGAGTTAAGGCGAAAAATGAAATAATTGTTTCTAAACCTTAAAAGGAGAGAAATCCACTTGGATTTACGTTTCTGAAAAAACTCTTACTAAAATGGAAGTACAACTAAACTAATTATGGCAAAATTTGTAAGTTACCATTAATTCATAATTTAATGCCAATTGGTCAAATTCATTGGCACAGGTCAAGGACAGATCATCTGCATTATTTTCACTCCTTCCAAAGATGCTACCACAGATGCACTGCCTATGCTTTTGGCAGCTTTAAATAGATGTTCAAAACTCTGGTAGAGGGAAACTCTGAAGCTGAGAAACAAAAATGGCTAAAGATCTTCACGTCGTTATGATCCCATGGTCTGCCTTTGGGCACATGGGGCCATTTTTTCAACTCTCGGTTGCCTTGGCCAAAGCTGGAGTTAAAATCTCCTTCGTTCAAACCCCTAAAAACATCAAAAGACTGCCTAAAATTGCACCAAATTTAGCCACCCTCATCAATTTGGTGGAGCTTCCATTACCAGCATTGGACAACGATGTCCTCCCAGAAGGCGCTGAGGCCACTGTTGATCTCCCGTTTGAGAAATATCAGTACTTGAAAACCGCATATGATCTCCTTAAAGAACCTTTTAAGAAATTTGTGGCTGATCAATCACCAGATTGGATATTTGTTGATGTTATTCCTTATTGGGCAGCAGAGGTCGCCCTAGAATATGAAGTTCCGCTTGTGTACTTCACAGTTTTCACTGCTTCCACAGACGTTTTCCTTGGCTCACCAGATTATCTGTTTGGTGATGGCCAAAAGAAGCTACGTTCATCTCCAGAAAGTTTGATGTCAGCCCCAGAATGGGTCACCTTCCCATCTTCTGTTTTCTTCAAGAAACATGAGGCTGCGGGCAGTTTTGGTGCCATTTATGGATCAAATGGCACCGAAAAATCTGATGCTTATCGCATTAGCAAAGCCTTACAGTCATGCCAAGCTGTGGCTGTACGTAGTTGCAATGAGTTTGAAGGTGATTACTTAAGTTTACTCGAAAATCTGCTGGGAAAAAAAGTGATTCCAGCAGGTTTGCTTCCACCTGAGAAACCACAAGAAAAAGACATCACTGATGAGACATGGGTAAAGATTTTTAAGTGGCTTGATGAGCAAAAGCCCAAGTCAGTTGTATTTGTGGGGTTTGGCAGTGAGTGTAAACTGAGCAGAGATCAAACCTATGAGATAGCTTATGGCCTAGAGTTATCTGACGTACATTTTTTGTGGGCACTGAGGAAGCCAACTTGGGCTAAAGATGATATTGATGCTCTGCCACCAGGTTTTGCTCAAAGGACGCAAGGCAGAGGAGTGGTGACTCTTGGGTGGGCACCACAAATGGAAATTTTGGGACACTCTTCAATCGGGGGCACTTTGTTTCATTGTGGTTGGAGTTCTGTGGTAGAGACTCTACAATTTGGGCACACTCTGGTGGCGCTGCCTTTTGTGTTTGACCAACCTTTGAATGCAAGATTGCTTGTGGAGAAAGGTTTGGCTGTGGAGATTGATAGAGGTGACGATGGATCATATGATAAAAATGATATAGCCAAAGCTTTGAGGCTAGCAATGGTGTCAGAGGAAGGAGAAGGCCTGAGAGCTCGTGCAAGAGAAGCTGCAAAGGTTATTGGAGATCAGGAGAAGTACATCGTTCAGCTTGTTGAGTTCCTGAAAAAAGGAGTGGTTAATAATAAGGGTATTAATGACTAAGGTTAACATGTTTATTCTGGTCGCAATTCTGCAATAAAAAAAAATGGAATAATAATGAACCTTATGAAATCATGATTTTGGATACTCGAATATCCTTGTGTGATTACTGTTTTATAATATATCGGAGTGTGTAAAAGAAGATCTCTATATAACATATTTCATATAATTTAGAAATTGCATTTCTACTTTTTTTGGATGCTAATTTCAATTTTAAGTAAATAGTCAAAAGGATGCATTTCTGTTGATTCTTAAAAATTTTCAAATTAAAAAAAAAAAAAAAAAAAGACAAGAATTGCTAAGAAAATTCTTGTTGGATTGACAACCAATGGACTTAGAAATCAATACATTGGTCAGCTGAGCCACCCTTACCACGTCATAACCATTTCTTCACAAATCCATGTAATGACAACTCTCCCATCCCCCAACAACATAAAAGCATGAATCACTGTAAACTGAGAATGTTCCACTGATATTGTGTTGCATGATATATATCTCAAGATATATTCAACTTGTAAAACATTTCTAAATATGTATATCTCTGTCTCTGTGCAAAAGATTCCATTCTCCATTTGCTGCATCACCGACTGGTTGTACCCTGGAATGCATTGCCCAATGTAGCACCATGCTTCTTAATAATCTGGACTGACTGCAGTAGAATATCTTGTTGTGCAGAGTATAATTCATCTTTGCTCTATAATTGCATATCAAACACCAATATGGATATCAGTGAAATGATAGTCAAACAGAAGTAAGATTTAAAAATGATTAATTTTAGAAAAGAAGACACTACCGAGCATCAGGCATTCCAACAGAATCACAAAAGAGGAAAACAATATCAGCAACACAAGGTTGAGGGCCATGTCTTTTAAATTCATTATTCAGCATATGCAAATCATATTTTCACATCGATTTTATCCGGTGGGATTCAGTTTTAATGTTTTAATATGAAACTCACAACTATCAGGGACACTTTGAGATCAACTGGGCATCTGATAAAATAACAATGGTAGACCTAGCCCATAAAAGATACATCCGAAAAAAGAACTGAGGAAGAGACAGTACCATATTTTTATATTGCATCCAACAGTTAGTTCTGCATAAGAACTTTCTATATAAGACAGGAAACAGTAAGGGGCTTCCTTTCCCAAAAAAACTTTTGAGTTTGACCACAGCATGCTCTTGATGTCATTTGATATCTCAGGAATCTTGTCCAGATCTTCAATTTGCAAGGGAATTTTGGTCACCACTGCACGCCATTGGGCTCGTGACTTGTTCACGATAACCTAAAAGTTTACGCGGGTATGACTTGTAAACAATCAAGACTGATGGTTTTGGACATGACTAGTGAGTGCAACTAAGCAAATAAGCATACACTCAGTAGATTCAATGAGCTGCCAAGAGATAATTCTTCTCTCTCTAACAGAAGAAAAGAAAAAGGAAAAAACAACCTGACTGGAGAAGAGTGAGTTTGGAACCAAAACTGGAAATTTCTCAGCATTAAGTAATGTTGTGCTTGTAAATCCCATTTCCACCACCTGACCTTCTATAGATCCTGCCTGCAGTAAGAAAAGTTTACTATTAATTCATGCACAAAAGAAAGAAAATAAAAGAACAAACCTAAACTTGTAAAAATCACAAGTGGTAATCATAAATTATCTGCTACCACCAAAATAAATGGCATTCAGATTATACGGATACAGTTCCCAGCATGATGAAATAAATAACTGGACATCTCCACAAAGGTCATCATTACCAAAATACCTCATATGTAAAGAAGCATATATCAAATAAGCACCAATTAAGTTTAGAGAAATAACTTAAGAGTCAGTCAATAGTGGAATTAGGAAGGACAGAGTGTGTTGAACAGAAATATAAGCAATACCATTGGATCTAAGTAGCCAGTTAGGTCTAACTTGAAAGATGATGAGTGACTGATTCATCATAAACAGAAAACAGAAAATTAGCCAGCAAGAATAATAAATTAATAAGTACATTAATTCAACAATGCACAATTCTTCGAGAAGCTGGATTCTTGACAACCTAGAATAATACAAACTTCAGCAGATACAGCCTTGAGAAAATAAAGAAGACAACTCCTTTTTCTCCTTGTGGACTGTAACCACGAAAAAGCTGATTGGAGCCACTAGTATCGGAAAGAAAGAAAACCTTTTCCAGCACTAAAAGAAAAATATATGCTCATTTATGCGTTACCTTTATTGTATCACCCAATGAAAAAGGTTTCCAAAACTGCATAGACAATCCACTGAGCACATTTCCAAGGATGTCCCTGGCAGCAAAAGCAGTAGCCACTCCTATGAGGAGGTTGAATTAGTTATATGATTATTTTTAAGACCATAAACAAGTAATACGTACTATGCCTTCAAATATGAAGTTTCAAGAAATAGCAATTAGGCACCATTTCATTTTTGGTTTGGCAACAAAATACATAAAAACAGCATTTTCCAAACCATTGCATATTCTTCAAAATCATTCTAACAAATTGATAATAGAAAATACTAAAAGTAAAGTCCTATTTGAACTATCACACATAAGAGCACTTATGGTTTATACTGTAAATTTTAACCAACCGAGATATAATTGGACTTCACATAAACTCATTATGGTTCAAGCACATGAACAGCAGGGTCAGAAAATTCAAGCTATATTGTACTTATCAGAACACACATCACCAAGAATATAGCTGAAGTATAATTTCTGCTATAAGTACAGAATGAACAAAACATATAAAAACACACAGACAATCAGAAAAGCATATGCATGCACACAAGAATGTAAGATGCAAAATAGTAAGTCAAAAGTATATGATAACAGATCTACTACAAAAGCAAGAATATGCTGCTTTAAATTCAAACATAGTGAGCCATGCCAACAAACCTATTACCATCAACATATATTTGAAAATGATATCTAAATCAACAACAACACTTTAGTATTAGATTTTATTATCATAAATGAACTGAAACAGAAGAGAACATGTGCATTTAGCAGAAAAAAAAACCCACCTCCTATGCCACCAACTGTCAGAACAGATTGCACAGCTACACCACATGCCTCTGCTAAAGCCATTAACCCAATAACAAATAAGCCAACAGATGAAAACTTGTCCATGGCTAACAACTTCTCCCTATCAATCCCTGCTAAATTCTGAGCAGCCAGTGCACGACCAAGTACATTTGTTTTCCAACGATGCAAAAACCAGACAAATGAAAGGATGGCTGCACCCCTCCATGCCTGGGCAATGTATTGTGATGCAATAGTAGTTGGTGCAACCATCATGCCACTGCAAGTCAATGTACCTTTATTCATTATACATTGACCCAAAAAAAGCACAAACATATGAACAAAAGGATGACAAAGAGTTAATATTGAAATTCACAACCACTAACATTTGAGAGAATGCCATGAAGGTAATTAGATATCTCACTGGATCCTCCAAAGCTCCCCAGAAGCCTTTCTCATAGGGCACTTGATCCCCAAGTAAGCTTACAGATGGCAGGACTGAAGTTTGCATTGCATAATTGTGAAATCTTCTCAAAAGCCTGGGCAAGACCACCCAAGCCAATACAGTGGCAGTCAAAGTAAAACCAACTGGAACAACCACATCTTTAAGATACGGATGGGCATCAAGCAACTGTTCAAGATGTGGCTTCAGTTCGATAGAGGCTTCTTTAGCCTTTTGCCCAGTATAACCTATTGCATCCACAGCATTATGCCAGGCATCTTTGACTTTATCAACCCAATCACTGGCAATAACACCACTATTACTAACATCTACTTCCCCTCCACCAGAAGCAGCTGAAACTTCAGATTCCACAGATTTATCTGCCTTGCTACTGAAAGACAGGGAGCATGACTGATGTCTCAACACCGGACTTATCGAAACAAAAGGAAACACACTTCGGAAACGCAAAGTTGATGAAGTTGAGTATAATGCAGGCATGGGATTGGTTTTATGGAAACAGGTATCAGCCAAAGAATCAGACACCAAAACCTTAATATGGGTATTCATAACCTTTGCAGCAGATTGGGATTCTCTTTTGTTGTAAAAACTATCGAAAGAAGCATAAAATGGCCTAACATAGTTTTGATCAGCAATTCTTGTAAGTTTCAAGTATGAATTGTATGATGGCAATGATGTTGGTTTTGAAGATGAATATAAGGAATTCAAAAGTGACCTAAGTCTTGAAAGCCTAATTCCAGCCATTATAGAAACTAAGCAAACGAGGGGTTCTCACATAGTCCAAAAGTGGATATCTACAAAATTCTGAGTAGCCAACTGAAACCAGAAGCAATTCTAAATCTGCCAATAGGAAATTTCAACAAATCATTATCACTTGCCGATGCCTCACTAAAAGCTAAATTCAAAAAAGTCAATTACAATTTCAAGATAAGACATTTGACAAGAATTTGAACATTGGAATAAAATTTAGACACGTTTAAAACAATACAAAAATAAAATATGAATAAACCCTGAATCTATGTTTGGACGCTAAGAAAATAAAAAGGGGGAAAAAAAAAGAAAAAGTTAAAATCCAACCGTTTCTATCCCAAATTGGTTTTAGGTGATAGGTAATTCAAAGTCAGATACATAACCGTCCCGAAGGTCACAGATTCGCTCGAAATTTCAAATCAATTAGTATATTTTTTCCCGCATTTTCTCTTCAACCAAACGAAACATAAATTTCTTTTTGAATTATTATCAGGAATCAGTACTAAATTACTGATAACTACTAAGTTACTTTACTAACCTTTAACGGTCGATTCTGGAGGCGAGTCAAGCTTTGAATGATAAAATTTTAAAAGAAAATAGAAAATTGAGCACAGACTCTAAACTCTTCTTTTGCTTGGGAAAGAAGAACGATGATGCCAGAGAGGCAGGACTATACATAAAAAACTATTACTGTATGAAATGTGTAGATTCTCCTTATCATACAAATTGTTTTATGTTCGTCCGATTCTCTGATGGATTAAGTAGTACTATCTTACGGTTGAAGCTCATTATTCAGTGGGCTATTATAAGGCCCTTTTTTTTATCTTTTTCTTGTCTTTGACCGTAACGATCAATTGACTTTTCCTTTCCTTCCTATCAAGCTTAAATCATGAACGATTTTAGATTTAAGTGAATTTTGTGTTCATTAATAAAAATATCTACCGCTCATCTTTTTTGTTGCTCTGTATATTTTACTTAAAGAACGCACTTTTTGTTTAAATAATCATATTATCCCTTTGAGATGGAAGAAGCGGAATAGTTGAAGAAACGTTGCTTCTTGATTAAATGTTAGTGTTAAAACACCCAAGCTTAAGTAAGTAAAAATCCCAATGGTCAAAAACAAAAACAAAAAAAAAAACTTTGTTGAATAAAACAATTTTAAATATAACATGTATAATATATTTTTGTTTTTGATAAAAAAAAATTAATAATAAATAAGTTACTCAATCTCTCAAATCATGATAAAATATATTGTATATGACAGTTTAAAATTGATAACTGTAGATCTTACATTCGAAATGATCTCAATAAATGACTACCGATAAAATTTGAACCCAAAATTTTTTCGTCGAAAATGATGACTTTAACGAATTAAAATAATCACTTGTTACTATATAATATGTATCATTTGAATGATATGAGAGAATTATACTATCTGATTGCTTTCAAACTAAATCCTTCGTCAAAATGAAACATTAATAATCGATGTATCTTACTTTAAAAAGTATGATTTTAACCCTATTTTTCAAATAAATAAAAAAAGAAATTTCTATCAATTTCTTGTGTGATTTGCCTATTTACCCAAAGAAGATGAAAAATCATCTATTACTTTTACCATGTATTGGTGCTTAAAATTTAATCACTTGCTGATAGCTGATAGACTTAATAATCAAAATCAAAACAAACAATTAATTTATAGAGTAAAAATTATAAAATAACTTTAATAATTTAAGATAATGGTCAGACTACTATATAATTATCTGGTTTTAGCAATAGGATAGTAAAATTAGATAATGGTTCACTTTCAATTACAATTGATAAAAAAAAATTACACATAAATGTTAAAATTTTGATGCATTCACTTCACTTACTAATTAAAAATAATAATAATAATAACAACAACAACAACAACAACACGACCTTAACCAAAGATAAAAGAAGAAATTTAAATACCAATTCAATTAATAAAATATTGCTCGCGATTTTTAGTTTTTTATATATTTTAAAAGTTAAAAAGTACTTACTCTTATTATAAATGAGGATGGTAAGCATTTAAATACATCATTATTGCCAATGTTAATTAAGTTTAACTAACCTAACACATTAAATTTCTTGAAAAAAACTTAAATGAATATTCATCTATACTATCCCATCAAAATTCATCTCAAATATACTAAAAAAAAAAAGAGAAAAGTTTAGTGTAGCATAAAATAAATTTTGAAATACATCGAATCAATTTTGAATCAAACTTAAAATTTAACTCGATTCATATAATTATTTTAAAAAAATAATATTTAATTAATTTAAATTTTAATAATTATATTTTTATTTTGAAATTATGATTTTTATTAGAATGAGTCATCAAATCATTTGAAAAAGAAAATTAAGCTTGGACAAACTTTTAAAATGTTGCATTAAAAAACTGAAGGAAGATTCAGAAAGTTTGATGAATCACGTTAATTTCCACGTGAAGTGCATCAAAATCGTACAAAACCGTTTGTAATTACGTTATTCTACTGTACACTTTGCAATTGGAAGTATGTGATTTTTTTTATCTGAAATAAATAAATTTTATGAGAACATATCACTAAAAATAATTATAGTACAATTAATTAATTATAATTTAAAATTATGTGGACCGATTAAAATTTTATGTGAAATTCATACTTATAAGTGTGGACCCATAGATAAATTATTATTTTGATTGAATAATTATAATATTGTAATAAAAAAATTTGTGAGTGATATATTCTCAAAATTTTTACATACTAAACTAACAGGAGTAAAAGTAATTTTAGATTTAAATTTTGACATTTTGACATAATATTTTTACCTTGGGAAATCCATTTATAATTAACTTCAATTCTCATGCAAAATTTGTTGGCACCCCTTTGTTTATTTTTTCAAGTTACCATTTTGTACGCAATTTATGTCACATTCAAAACAATTTTGCTATTGAATGCTTTCGAAACATTTTTTTAATCTTCAATATTATTATTTTGAGTAATATATTTTCTTAATTCATTGAAAATTAGCATATTAAATATTAACTATTACATTGTATGTAATAATTTTATTATAAATAATATAAATAAAAAAATTATAATACAAAATATTTTTAAATTTAATATACTCTAATTTTAAAAAATACTTTAAAATTATTCATTAGTAAAATCCATATTCGAATACAATAAAAATTATGAATCCAAGTTTTACTTAATTAATTAATGTAGTTATTTTTTATAAAAAAATATTTAATGAATTTGAGATTTAAAATCTAACAATTACGATTATTTTTTTTAATCGTGACTTTTGTTATACTTAAAAAAAAAAAGAGAAATTTTTATAAAGTAAAAACATATACTTGAATTTAATAGTAATAGTAGATATAAACTAAGTATAAAGTGTAAACTTTAATAAATACTGTATTTCCTTCCTTTTGGTCGCTTGTAATTACTGTATTTCTATTAATTATTAAAGTATCATTTTCAACTTAAAAAACAATCCATGTAAGCATTGATCTTGCCGGCTTGTAATAATCTACCGGCGGGAATTTGGTAATGCCTTTTGTTTCCTTCCTAAACTTCAGATGAGAATCAAACTCCCAACCTTTTAAAAGCTTTCATCCCAATCGTCTCTTATCTCCTAATATCACAGAAATTTCAAATCCCCATGTTTCATTTGCCTTCATCACTAAAAAAATTTAAGCACTTGGAAGTCAAGTAGTCAATACTTGGGATTTAAAAGTTGGGAATCTAATTACAACAAACTTTAAATTTTAAGAATCTCATCATAACCAATTTAAATCGAAATTTGCCGTTTTGGCTTTCCTAAGGTTCCTTATAAGCCATCCTCTGTTACTTTTAGCTTTAATGTTTCTCTCCCCTTTCCTCTTCTCCTTCTCTCCCTCTTTAATTCCTATGCACAATTTTTAGATGGAAATTAAATCCCTGTTAGAGCTGGGAATCTAGGATTAGGTTTGCACAGTCTCCAGCAATTTTTCTTCCACTTTTTTCTTTTTCTGGCATCTTTTTTTTTTTTTTTGTTTTTGCTTTTCTCTTGACCCAGAGTCCACCCAGACCATGAAAACCAATCCAAAGGTTGAAGAAAACTTTCTATGGGATCAAAACATGAAAACCCATTTTACCATTCCTTGGACCTTCACCAAGTTAGTTGTTTCTTCCATCCTTTTGGTTTCTATTCTCTGCATCTTCTACACAGTAAGCTTCTCGAATGCTTCAAACTCATCTAATCAGGAGCTCAATATCATCAAAGCCATTCATGTTATTGACCAAGAGATAGCGCCACCTGTTCCATCCCCAAAACCGAAGCCCCAGAAAAAACAACCCTTCATCATATAGTTTTCGGCATTGCAGCCTCAGCTCGCTTATGGGATCACAGGAAAAAATACATCAAACTCTGGTGGAAACCCCAACAAATGCGTGGCATCGTCTGGTTAGACAAGGCTGTCAAAAATGGAACTGACGACCGTCTTTTGCCAACAATAAAGATTTCAAGTGACACTTCCAAGTTCAAGTACAAGAACCCAAAAGGCCAGCGTTCTGCCATAAGGATATCCCGCATAGTTTCCGAGACTCTACGGCTTGGCTTGGAAGATGTGAGATGGTTCGTTATGGCAGATGATGATACATTTTTTATGCCTGATAATTTGGTTAGGGTTTTGTCTAAATATGATCACAATCAGTTTTATTACATTGGGAGTTCTTCAGAGAGTCATTTGCAGAACATACATTTTTCCTATGGGATGGCTTATGGCGGTGGAGGTTTTGCCATCAGCTACCCTTTGGCTAAAGCTCTTGCAAAAATGCAAGACAGGTGTATACAGAGATATCCAGGATTGTACGGTTCTGATGATCGGATTCATGCTTGCATGGCTGAGCTCGGAGTTCCTCTCACCAAGGAACCAGGATTTCACCAGGTTTGTCTGTTTTTTACTTTAATTTTACTGAAAACTTAACGAGGAAGAAGAAATTAAATGATTCAATTGTTTGAATATTTTGTTTTATTAATTCGAACTTGTTTAATACTACTAATCGGTTCCTTTTTGGGTCCAAACTATTGATTGTTTTTGATTCTTCTATGGGTGACACGGTTTGGAAAAGTTAATAATTTCCTCAGTACTTTACTCTTCGTTAACTTATTTAAAGTGAGTTGTTCAAATCCACCTTTTTCTTTTGGATGGACAAATCTGCCATTTTAAAAATTTATAAAAACCTAATCCACCAATAAATAGAATATGGATCAGCCGATTTGAACTTTTATGGGTTATTATCACGATGTTTTTTGAGGGATTTTTTTTTTTTTTCATTTTCTTTTCAAAATTGTCCTATTCCCGTCTGTATATGCTGCTTTATCTCACATATCACGGCATTGATAGGCACAGCTTTCTACAGCTTAGCGTGTGTTTTATCCACATGTTTCAGCATCACCGTCTATTCCAACGAATTTGTTGAGGACCACTTTTCAAAACCAAAGTCTTAGACGGTGGAACCTAGGCAATGCTACAGCTCAACCATTTACTATTATTATTCTATAAATATTTCTGGTTGGACTAGCATTTGGAACCACGTTTTCTAAAACTTTGGACCACATCACACTTGTCGCCCCACGTTAACGTTTTCGATCTTACTGTCTGCCGTAGTAACTTTTTTGTTTCTTTAAATTACTAATAATGTTCGTCTTCACCCACGTGGACGACGAGATCTCGATCTTAGTCGAACTCAATGTCTTCGATATGGACACGCGTTCACTTGAAAAAATGTGGTTTGACATGGTAGATGACCCAAATCAAACATTTTCAGAACAGATTGATGGGACTTCTGGTTGGTTTTTCAGTTTTGACTGTTAAACAATCTGTTTTCCCTTTTTTTTTTTTTTCGCAGTATGGCGCATTTTCAGCTACCATTTTCCTTTTTGTGGCATCAAACTTGACGGTTGGGCCATAATTAGCTCCCTAAGTTGTTCATGTAATCATCCACCATTACTTCGTAGGTAGGGCCCTCTCTTTCTAAACATAAATCCACTTTTCAGAGTAACAGAGCTGAGATAAGATAACCCAATCGTAAAATTGTTGAAAGAAATCAAATAATTTATTTGTTAGGATGAAATCTAAATCTAAACAATATAAGAATTCATTAATGATCCCTAACAAACTCTCTATTATGTTGGTTTGTTTTTTTTTTTTTTTGTTGTTGTCAGTATGATGTGTTTGGTAGCCTCTTGGGCCTCCTGGCAGCGCACCCTGTTGCTCCTCTAGTCTCTATCCACCACCTAGACGTGGTTGAGCCCATATTCCCCAACGTGAACAGGGTCCAAGCCTTGCAACGTCTCAAGGTTCCAATAAATCTGGACTCGGCTGCAATCATGCAGCAATCCATTTGCTATGACAAAACCAGGAGCTGGACAATCTCGGTCTCCTGGGGCTATACAGTTCAATTATACCGCGGCATATTTTCGGTTAGAGAGATGGAAATGCCAGCTAGAACTTTCCTGAATTGGTATAAGAGAGCTGATTACACCAGCTTCTCTTTCAATACCCGTCCTGTTAGCAGACATGTTTGCCAAAAACCATTTGTGTATTATTTGTCTAATGCATTGTACAACAAGATTACAAATCAGACAGCCAGTGAGTATGTTCAACACCGAGTTCCAAGCCCGGAATGCAAGTGGAAGATGGCAGATCCTTCACGGATTGACAGAGTCGAGGTTTACAAAAAACCTGAACCGAATTTATGGGACAAGGTAAGTTTTCATGCATTGCAATTTTTGGTCATTGTGCACAAACAGTTTTTGATAGCTTGGTAATGGATAAATTTCTTTGTGGTTTTGAGCAGCCTCCACGAAGGAATTGTTGCAGGGTTTTGCCAACCAAGAAGAAAGGCACCATGGTTATTGATGTAGGAGTGTGTGGAGATGATGAGGTCATAGAATTAAAATGAACAATTTTGTTTTTCCTCCCCGCTCTTGATCACAATTGATTTTTTTTTCTCTGTTTAGTGAATTTTAGATGACATAATATCCATAGCAATGGAGTTGAATTTCTGTTTATAGAAAATTGTTAAAGCAAAAGGAGCATCTAAATTTCTTATAATTTAGCCAAAAAGCAATTTCAGTTCATTTTCTTCAAAGTTCAACTTTATTTGTCCCTTTTTGGGTAATATAATATGTAGACTGCAAGTGTTTTTTTTTTGTGCTCCAACCAATATCGACGACAGTAAAATTGTCATCTTGGAGTTAACCTCAAAACCACAAAGGGATAAAAACATTTGCAGCACACTTGGAATTAGGTAAACGTCTGGTTCGAGTAAAATGTGAACAAAAAAATGAAAAGAACAGGATGTAAAGTCTTTTTCAAATGAAGAATTCCATGGGTGGTGTGGTGTGAGGTCCACACGCACATCGCTTACCCCTTCACGAACGCGTACTTCACAGGTAAAAGATGTAAAGAAAGTAGAATCTCTCGCGTCCTGACAACTGTCTTGACGCATCGACTTTCGCAAACTCAAGTCGTCTCCTTTGATTCAGTCTCAAAAACCACAAGCTCAAAGTCAATCTCTTCCCCCATTTTGCCTCTCTTCTTCTTTATCTTCATTCTCTTCATGTTCTTTGATCTGTAACTCTGTTTTCTCTCATGGAAACTTTACTTTCAAGACGTGCTTTTTCTTTCTTCCTTCTTTATATCTTCACTTTTTATGATCTCTCTTTATCTTTCTCTCCAGTTGATAATTATCTCGTCAACTGTGGCGCCTCCCTGGACTCCACCGTAGACAATCGTCGCTTTGTCTCTGATTCTTCCGATTCTTCTAATTCACATCTCCTCTCTTCAGCTCAGACCTTCTCACTCTGTGCTGGAACTATTCTTCTGGGTCTGCCTCAAATCTATCATACGGCCAGGGTTTTCAAGGCACCGTCAAAATACGTGTTCGATGTCAAAGATCCAGGGATGCACATGGTACGTCTCCATTTGCACCAGTTCAGTTCATCAAAATTGAATCTTGGTGACTCTCAATTTCACGTTTTGGTTAATGGATTGGTAGCTTTGACCAATTTTAGTGGTGGGAATTTGGTGGGTCCTAAGGTTTTGGAATATTTGCTGTGGGTTAATTCAAAAAAGCTTGAAGTTACTTTTGTTCCTGCTAAAAAATCAAAATTTGCTTTTGTTAATGCAATTGAAGTGATATCTGCACCTAAAGATTTGATTCTGGAAACTGCTCAGTCTGTGAATGGTGATAAAGTTGAGAATTTCGATGGTTTAAATAAACAAGCATTTGAAGTTGTGTACAGGGTAACTGTAGGAGGTCCTAAAGTTACTCCTTTTAACGATTCTTTGTGGAGGACTTGGGTGCCTGATGATGAGTATTTGAAATCGAGTGAAGGATCAACTAAGGTGTATTTTGCTGGTAGGATTAAGTACCAAGATGGTGGGGCGAGTCGTGAAGTTGGTCCTGATAATGTTTATGATTCTGCTCGGTTGATTCAAAGCAAGAATGCTTCGATTCCTAAATTGAACCTTACTTGGGAGTTTCCGGTTATTGAGGATTATAAGTATCTTGTTCGGATGCATTTCTGTGATATCGCTAGTATAGCCCTTGGATTGTTGGTTTTCAATGTTTATGTCAATGGGCATTTGGCATATAAGGATTTGGATCTCTCGGCTGTTACAAATTACTTGTTGGCTTCTCCATTTTATGCGGATTTTGTGGTTGATGCTGATCATTCAGGGGTGGTGACTGTAAGTGTTGGACCTTCAAACAAGAGCATGGCATACACGGTTGATGCTATCCTAAATGGGGTGGAGATCATGAAGATGAATAATTCTGTGGGTAGTCTCGATGGTAAGCTGCCTGCAGAGTTGGTTTTGAAGTGTTGGCCGAGAAGAAGTGTTGGTATTCTGCTTCCTTTGATTGCTCTTGTGTGTTTACTGCTGAGCTTATCAGCGATTATGCGTAGGAGGAAAGATAAGGTGGACTCTGTGCCATGGTCAAAATTGCCTGTGGATATCCCTGAAATTTCTCCAAATCAAGGCAAACAGCAATTGTCAAGTAAAGTATAAATATTGTTAAGGATCCACTGGCTCTGTGATATTCTAATACAAGTAGCTAGATGGGCATACCACCATACTATTGGAGGCTAGTAGTTCCCACGTATTAATGGTTTGGTTTCTTTGAGTTTGAATTTGAAGTCTGTGAAGAGCTTTGTTTCTGATCAGATTATTGTCTGGTAATCTGTATGTAACCTGTATTGACATAATATAATGTTATTTTCAATACCTATTTTGCATTTTGTTATCTCTATATTACGATGGTCATATTTGTGATTTTGAATTGTGATGCTGGATTTTGATTATTTATGCTGGTTATTTTGTTTATATTGGTAGACTGTTTGGAACACTTGTGGTTAGTCGGTTTATAGAGTATAGTCTTGAGATGTTTAAATGTCATTATTTAACGTTAAAACTTAGCAAGTTTGAAGACAGTGTTTCCCCTTAAGGTAAACACTAAACCCTTAACCAAGTAGTTATTGATTGCACAGACTGATGCATCATACATCTCCTACTCTCCTATAAGGAAAAATTAAAGGATCCATTATTTGTATTTCCATTTGGAGTGGCTGAATTTGAAATTGACAACTTTTCTTTAAAGATGAGTTTGGTTGCATGAGTATTAGGTCTGTAAGATTAATTTTACCTTGTTAAAATTACCATGATTTAAACAAATAATGTGTTCAATTTCGTACAACAAATCATCACAATCACCGCTAACCAACTCGAGGAAAAAAAAAAAACGAAACGTGAGAAATGATCCCAACTGACTGCATGTTAAAATGGGTTCTGGGCTTGTGGCAATAACTTCCTTGATGAGCTTGGACCTATACTGCTAATGGACTTAAAACAATTGCCTCAGAAACAATACATTAGGAGCCCATAGATGTTTCTCTCATTGTTTCCCTGCCTGACACTAGTCCACCAATATCTTTCTCTTATATAGAAGAAACTTGATATTGAGTTCCTTGTAATCTTTTTTTTTTTTTTGTAGCGAGAAAAAGGAGGGAGGGCATTGACTCTTTCCATGTGCCTTTGTTTTGGATTGGAAAAACATATATTTTATTAATGAAGATGGATTTAGCCCCTCTAAAACAGTATTGTTAATACCTCATTATATCCCAAGTTTAACATAGTTCTAAATTTTAAATTTAACTTTCCTTGGTTGATATTATGCACCAAAGTTCACCGTCTGAAGCATAGCCAACTAAGGGTCTATTTGAATAACTTCGATGAAATTAAAAAATAATATTAGAAGTGAGATTGGTTATTATGATATCAAAATTAAAATTTGAATGCATATTTAGATATAAAAACAGTAGTGACAATAAGATAAATTAACTATTAAGAACATTAAAATAAAATATGTATATAATTAAAATTTTAAATTATTTAATATTTATAAAAATTATTTATTATATAAAAGTTGCTAATAATAATAAATTTATTTATGATATTAAATTAACAAAAACTATTTCAAGATTTTTAAATAAAAAATAAAAATAAAAATAAAAGAAAATAAATCATAAAATATTTTTGGTATTATAATATAATTTCAAGAATATAAATAGAAAGAAAAAAAGGAATCTATAACCGATCATTAACTGACCCAAAATAACCAATTGGGAACTAAAATTTTAACAAACGCACCATTGAATCATTTGAGAAAAAAAATAATAATTCAATGAACATGTCCTCACTGGTGCTTTAGTTGCTTCCAAAGGGGGCCTAAGGGTCCAGCTCAATATAGATGACATCAGCAAGGATCCGCTACACGTCAGCCACTCGGCACACCAAGCCCACGCTAGAAACACACGAAGACTCGTACTACAAGTCGTACGGACACGAGACTCCATGCACTGTATTTGTATTTCACCACACACTTTCACTTCAACCGCATGCAAAACTCAAATTCACCCCAATATTTTCCGAGAAATTCAGGAAAAAAAAATAAAAGGGCTTCTACTTCTCTCTTTACCAATTATTTTCTCAAATTGGGGTTCAAAACACCCTTAACTTTGTAATCAATTTGTCTAAATACACCACAATTATTGGATACTATATAATATTACACATGCATGATGATAATGGTATGAAACTTTGAGCTTGGTACATGGTAAAAGCAACAGCAACAAAACCTGTCTTTTAAAGCGTAAATTAATTTGGCCGGTTGTGTTCCAAATCAGTGAAAAAATTTATGAATCTTCAAATTGTGAGTAAAATTGAGCTATTAGGCCATTATTACTCATTAGCTGAATGATGGAACTATGTTTGTTGCATGAAGCTTGCAATTGGAGAGACGTAAAGTCATCCGCGTGTCCAAGTCATCACTTGAGTTGACTTTTGAGCGGCCTCAACTTGCACTCCTCCGCCTGATTTTTGCCATGCCATTTAAAAATTAAAGAAAAAAAGGAAAATCAATTCCAATCTTACGTACAATTCCCCCAAGAGCCAAGACGCGGATCATGCTTCTTCTTTTTTTTTTCCTCAATAAATATTTATCCTTTCCTTAAAATTTGGATGAATTATTTAATTATAAATAAATTCTTCTCTATATATACTCATCATTCCACTGAAATTCTCTCAAGAAAATACTCAAAAACTCCCCCAAGGTAGAAATGGATTCCAGGGTGGTACGGGCAGCAATAAGGGTGCTATTGACTGTCGTATTTCTTGGGATTTGTATGATGTGGATCTTGGTACCAACAAACACCTACAGGCAAAAATGGAGGCCTAGCATTTCCAAAAAGGTTGTTTCGACATATTTTGGAAAACAAGGTAATTTGCCTGATTCTGAAGCCAATGTTTTGATCCATTTCATAACATGTTTCCGAGGTTTATATAGTTTATCGTAACATTGCAAGTACCCTTACAGGTTTAAATATGTTGATTTGGACTTTTCCTGTCCTCCTCGTTGCTACTTTGGGCTCCTTGTACCTTCACTTGGGAAAGAACTTGACTGAAAACGTTTCACAAAGGTAGAATATAAAACATTTTCAATCACTTTGCATATGTTGAACGTAAGATCAAAAACCCCATTTTAATGGTTTTTTTTTTTTCTTGGATTCTGATGAACAGCAATGACAAAAAACATCGGCTGGCGGTATGGAAGAGGCCCATTTTAGTGAAAGGTCCCCTGGGGATTGTTTCAGGAATAGAGTTAGCCTTCTTGATCATGTTTATCGCTCTCCTGATTTGGACACTCGGAACTTACTTACATAATGGGTTACCTACCATCACTCCAGAAGTAGCAGCAAAAGATGGAGCAAAAGTGTAAGAAATTAATCAATTAACGTTCATAAATTTAATCCAGGATTCAATTACTTTCATTTTAAACGTTTCGAAATTCAAACACTTAATATAGGTTTGGTCTTGGATTGGATTTGGCAGATGGCAAATGAAATTACAGCAGGTTGCATTGCGGATAGGCCTTGTTGGGAACATATGCCTAGCGTTTCTCTTCTACCCCGTGGCTCGTGGCTCATCGGTGCTGCCGCTGTTCGGTCTAACCTCGGAGGGCAGCATCAAGTACCACATATGGCTCGGACACATTACCATGGTTCTTTTCACAAGTCACGGAACTTGCTACATCACTTATTGGGCTGTTACGGGCCACATATCTGAGGTAATTAATGTCCTTCTGGCCTGATAACTAATCAAGATTTGAAAAAAAGAAATCAGTTTTATAGCTCATTTTGATCGAACCATCTTATATGCTTGGATTAAAGTTACGTTTTCTTCCTTTTCCATCACTGTTTAAAAATTGCACGCAAGTGAGAATGAAAAAGATAGAGAAGAAAAAAGGCTCATTGTTATCTGGTTTAAGAAATTTGTTATAAAAAAGAAAAAAGAAGATAATTCCACGTGGGATTAAACAGAAATCATGGCATAGAATCAAAGGTTGTTTTCAAGGTTCGTATAAGAACAGTGGAACTGGTCCAATTACAATGGAAAAAGAAACATAAAATATGGTTGTCTTTATCAAATGGATTTTTTAGTTTGTTGGTTTGCAAAAAAAGTTTTAGTTATATTTTCGTCATCTCATGCGGCTGTGGCATTTCTTGTGATCCTTTCTTTCATTCATTCAATTCTTTGCTTTTGTAGTACTGTTTTTGACGCCTGTTTTTCATACATGAACATGGTTGGTGGGGGGTGCACTAACGGTCAAAAGTCCACAAATCTAGTGGTTAGGATAATCTGAAGGGTTTGACTTATGGGTTTGTGAATCTGATTTAGGGCCCATTTGAGATCTAGATGGCAAGTGTTGGGCAACCCATAAGATAAACTGGGCCTGACCCATAAGCCAAAAACAGGTGCGTTTAACATTAATGGTGTTTCTGATCAAGATGCAAAAAAAAAAAAAAAAAAAAAAAGATGTATCCATTAAAGTCAAAGATTGGTACGTGTTAGATGATCCAAATTTTAAAATAAAAAATAAAATATAAATGACATATATAAGATATATCTATTTAAAGATAAGTATATAAATATCTCTTATTTAAATTATTGAACTTATATGGATTTAAGTTTAGGAATTTGTTTGGTCATTGAAAAATATTGCAATTTCTTCCTATTATTTCCTATTATCTCATGTTTATATAACCAATATCAGTATATTTGCTAAATTTCGAATGCATTTCACTTGATATTTTTATTATAATTTTTAATTATTCAATTATAATAAATAATTTTTATCATTTATAAATATGGATTTTTTTATAAAATTTTGATAAATTATATATAATTTTAAATTGTGATTGATTAATTATAGTAATGATTGACTAATTATAGTACAATGATTATAAATGATATTTTTATAAATTTCAGCGATCAAAATTTAATTTTTGACAATTTAAAATATTAAAAAATTTAAAAAAATCATATTTATATAACTATGATCATTTCCAACTTTCTAAATATGCTTATTGCGATGTTGATCCAATAATATTTCAGATGATAAAATGGAGTTATTCCGATATATCAAATGTGGCCGGAGAGATATCATTGCTGGGTGGCTTAATCTTGTGGGCAGCAACCTTCCCTCAAATCAGACGAAAAACGTTTGAGCTCTTCTTTTATACTCATTACCTTTACATAATCTTTGTATTCTTCTTCATCCTCCATGTTGGCATTGGTTACTCCTTCATTATGCTTCCTGGATTTTACCTCTTCATCATTGATCGTTACCTGAGATTCTTGCAATCTCGAAGGAGTGTTCGCCTACTTTCTGCTCGAGTTTTACCCTGTCATACTCTGGAACTTAATTTCGCCAAAAGCCCTGGTAATTGAGCCAACCACTTGCCTAGTTCTTTGTTTGAGTTTAACCCTTTTTGACCCTACTGTTGATTTGTAAATATTTTTTTTTAACTTAGGTTTGAGCTATAACCCGACAAGTATTATGTTCCTGAATGTGCCTAGCATTTCTAAGCTGCAATGGCATCCATTTACAATCAGTTCAAACAGTAGGTTGGAGCCAGAAAAACTCAGTGTGATCATTAAAAGTGAAGGAAGTTGGTCGACCAAGCTCTACCAGATGCTGTCATCTCCTTCTCCAATTGATCGTCTTGACATCTCTATTGAAGGACCTTATGGACCTGCATCAAACCATTTCCTAAGGTTTGCAATCAAGAGACAAAAAGTCAAGCCCTAAAACTTTTTGATGGAAAGGTTATTACTATAATAATAACTCCGCCAAATATTTGTAGGCATGACACCCTTGTGATGGTGAGCGGAGGAAGTGGAATAACTCCATTTATATCCATAATCCGAGAGATCATCTTCTGGAGCAAAACATCTCAACGCAAGACACCGGATATCATCCTAATTGCTGCATTCAAGTGCTCTTCGGACCTGACCATGCTAAACCTCTTGCTACCTATGGCCGGTTCTCCATCTGAAATTTCTAACCTGCAGCTTCAAATTGAAGCTTACGTAACAAGGGAGAAAGAACCAACAATTGATAACTCAAAACGAGTTCGTTCCATGTGGTTCAAGCCCCATCAAACAGATATACCTATGGCTGCCATTTTAGGTCCGAACAGCTGGATCTGGCTCGGTGCCATAATATCATCTTCATTCATCATTTTCCTTATCTTAATTGGGATCATCACCCGCTACTATATTTATCCAATTGATCACAACAAAAATGAATTCTCAAGATCTAAAACAGCTGTGTTGAATCTGTTGGCTATATGTGCCTCCATAGCTGCAACAGCTAGTGTAGCGGTTTTTTGGAACAAGAGACAGTATGCCAGGGAAGCAAAGCAGATACAAAACATGGAAGGGCAAACCCTAGAAGGATCAAATAACTTGATGCTTTATAATGCTGATAGAGAATTGGAAAGCCTTCCTCACCAGTCTGTTGCAGAAGCTACCAAAATTCACTATGGACAGAGACCTGACTTAAAGAGTAAGTTCTTGCAAATTGTCTAATGGCTTAAATAGTGCTTGTATGCCAGCAACTAGAATTTACAGAACCTAATTTGTCAATCTTTCCTTGCAAACGCCAACCTTTTTTTTTCTCTTTTTTTTTTTTTTTTTTTATGGTTTGGGACTTTGGGTGCAGGAATGCTTTTTGAATGTAAAGGATCAAGCATTGGTGTTCTTGTTTGCGGTCCAAAGAAACTGAGGCATGATGTTGCAGCAATCTGCTCATCTGGTCTGGCAGATAATCTGCATTTTGAGTCTATCAGTTTCAGCTGGTGATTACTGTTTTCTATCCAGTGTTGAAATTGTCTGCGTTGGGAAGATTTGTTGTGGTTATTAGTAATTTGACGCTCAGCATTTGTTCTAAGATTGTATGGGTTTCTTTCTCGTTCGCATACGGCCATTTTGGATCTTTCATGCAAATTTTCTTGCCACATGAGAGTATGGGATTCTACATTAAGTTGTTAATGAATAACCTGCTCAATCTTACTTTTTTTCCCACTTTGAATGGTCAAGATTTTTTTTTATAAAAAAAAAATTAAATTTTATCATCTTTTCCGCCTTATCAAATTTAAGGATTTCAACCTCATATCCGACTTTTTATCCTTTTAGTGATGAAAATGAATTTTACATTATAAATATAAAATAAATATGATTTTAAATTTTTGTTAAGTACGAATATAAAATGAATAATATAATACTCATATTGTATATTATATATATTTAATAAATAAATTTTTTATTAAATAATATAAATTATTATTTTAAATTAATTAAAATTAATATATTTTTATTAAAATATATATTAATATATAATTATAAAAAATAATCTAAATATATAAGTTATAAATAAAAAAAATTTAAAAGATAAATTTTATTTTTATTAAAAAAAAAACTGTAGGTATTAAAATTACTTATATTTATTAAATACGAGAATGAAAATAAAAATAAATTTAAAATATCTATTAAATATGAATATAATAATAAATATAATATAAAAATCCAAAAATGAAAATGAAAAATAATGTATCCTACCTACCCGTTATCATCTCTAGTCCAATTCCACTTGAGTGGATACCGCCATAAATGTTTACTCTGGTCTCGGCTAAACTGCAGCATCTGAAAATTTGTGAAATACGCAAAAAAAAGGGAAAAAAAAAGCATTATTAATTTGTTGAAGGTGACATGCATTTCTGAAGCCCGTTTCTTTCAGGTTAATATGACTTGTCAGGAAGGAGAAAAAATCCTAAAAATACTAAACCGTATATCTGCTAATGGAACGCCCTTGAAATTTATCATAAATATCACAAGAAAGTTGGGAGAATTTTCTACCAATCTCAAGCTCAAATACAGGAATATATAAAGTGGTTTATTTGGATAATTTTGATTTATTTATATACATGCAACTGGGCATGAAATCCCTAAGAAGCTTAACCTCTTTATCTACAAAGAACAATTTTGTGATTCTAATGAGATACAAGATTTACTCTATAATTCAAATCATTCTCAAGACTTGATTTCCTTCGGTCATCTTTCTGCTCAATTGAACAAATAAATGATGCATGCTTTAAATGAAATTTGTTACTCAGGTGGAAATAGGCATCTCCAGAAAAATTTTGTTTCGGTTAAACTTGATATCTACCTCATTTATCTTCTGAAATTGCAATGGATGAAAGTTTCTCTTCCAAAATGTCAAGCAAATCATGGTATTCAGCAAATGAAGGATGAGACTGATACAAGAACATTACGAGAGTATGGTAAGAAAGTCGGACTAAGATTTGAATATTGTGAAGATGATCAGAGATATAAAAGCCACGTACCTGCAAGGTCATACTATATGCTTTCCACAACCGCATATCATGCCGAAAAAGATCAAAAAGAACCTGCAAAACCCCGCAGATAGATGGATATTGTGAACCCAACTCTGCAATGAAAAATAACTTAACCTAGCTTTTTGATGTCCAAATGACCCAGAAATCTAACAAAAACATCTTTTTGAACTCCAACAGTGTCCTATTCAAGACCACCTGGATCTCAAGTAATATTTGCATGCACCATTTTTAACTTTCCCTTCATTGTTTTCCAAGTTAAATTGTAGATAAAATTTACACATTTTTTAAAGATAAAATTAGAGAATGTAAACGTCAAATAAGAAGTTTAAAGATAAAATTTACAGAGATCTCTAATTCTTTGATAAATGAAATTACTTCATTTATCCAAAAAAACAAAAATGCCCCAAAAAGAAAAAGTTTTAAGATTTCAATTTTGATATAAACTTCCACCAAATGGTTCCCCTTTAAGATTCAAACCGAAGATGTTTTGAAGTTCCACTTGCTATTTTGTAATGAATGGTTATAACTATTTAAAAGGGAAGTTTAGAGCAAAATGTTGAGACCCTTACGAGCCACCCATTCTTTAAAGAGGGAGAAGGTATCATAAGTACATCAGTGATGCTAAAACTCAAACTACCATTAAAACCATATTTTTAATGTTAGATGAGGAAAATTATACCTCAAATCGTCTTAAAAGTGTGGCAAGGACAACTATCCACTCCTTAAACTTGACAGAGCACATATGAGCCAATAGGAATTCAGCATCCAACCTGCTCTGCAATGTACCCATTTGCAGCTGGAGATATATTTAGAAAAAGGGGTTTCAATCAGCACCTTACTCAAAGTGTAGAGTGCTCAAAAAATGAAAGAAAAGAAAATTGCGGGAAAAGAATGGTAGTTATTTTTATGATTTGAAGTGTTCATGGTTGGTGCCTTCAGCCGCCTGAATAGATGCTTTTGCAACAGTTTCTTACGGCACGCATGATATCACGGACCTAAAGAAGAGTCCTGAATCCCACAATATAATAGGAGGGTCACTGGGGTATAAAAGGGTTCACACCACCACCTCTACCTTGTGAAACGCCTTTTGTAGGACAAAACTGTGAGGCCAAGGGGGCCAGAGCGAACAATACCTCACAAGGGTGTGAACCGTGACAGGTAGACTGATCTGGGACGCCAGATGAGTAGATGCCCGAGTCCTGGAGCCGCGCGGGTTAAGAGCTTAAGTCTCGACCCGTGACAAGTGGTATCAAAACCAGCCTCTACCGTTCGATCCACACCAAACACCTCGAGGGAGATAGGCAGGGTGACCAGCCTTCATGACAAAGGTGTCACCAAGTTGGGTGAGAGAGAATGTCACGGACCTAAAGAAGAGTCCTGAATCCCACATCGAACATAATAGGAGGTCACTGGGGTATAAAAAGGTTCACACCACCTTTGCCTTATAAGGCGCTTTTTGTAGGATAAAACCGTGAGGCCAGGGGGTCAAAGCGGACAATACCTCATAAGGGTGTGAACCGTGGCAGGTAGACTGATCTGGGACGCCGGATGAGTGGATGCTCGGGTCCCAAAGCCACGCGGGTTCGGAGCTTAAGTCTCGACCCGTCACATATAATAATACAACAAAAGAGCAAAGAATATAGACTATAACAAATTTCCAAAAAAATTTAGCACCTTTTGCCCAATCAGTTCAAGTCCTGAAGCAAAATTCTCCAACCGAGCAGAACCATATCTTTCTCGTTGAAGGTATTCCTGCAATGTATTGTTTAGTAGAACAAATGAAAAACACTTCACCAAAGCCAATGGCATCTTGAACAAACTCTGTTTTTCTTACCACTAAATCAAACTGAGTGCCTTTTACAAATGCAACAAGTTTGGAAAGTTCCTTTCCCAACATCAAATAGCTAGCATGATTCTCCAATATGTTCTTGACAGGAGCAATATGAGCACTCTGCTCTTTGAATGAGGTACTGGTTCAAAAAAACGTTTTTAAGTGAGTATCATTTTGAACTTACAATATAACAGAGGTAATGTAAAAAAAATTGATGTAAGTTATTACCTTTTATCAAGTGATGGCCTCCTGTAACTAGAATGAAAAAGAAAATAGCCCAAGAATCTTGGAGCTAGTCTGTCAGAATCTGTAGATGCCTGCTCATAGTCTCTTCCTGATCTCAATAAGAACCTCACCTAGGAACAAAAGAAAAGAAAGAAATCAGAATCCAGAAAGAGTCTAATACCAAAAAATTCAGTTACAGAAACATATAACCGTGGCAAAATTATACCAGCTCTCCAGCAAGTTCATATAATGATTCGTCTAGTGTCACCTGCATAGGATTTGACAATGTTTCAATAGTCTTGAAGGGCTAAAAAGGCAAAATACAGGTAAAAGGAAAGAGTGAGAAATAATTACATATGAAACTATTACCAAAGACCTACCGGCAATAACCGCAGAGCACAATACTGACTAACAGCAGGACCTTCAAGTTTAGCAATTACCTGCACCATTTATGAAACGAATGGATCAATCAAACTATTATGTAGCACAGTAGATGATGACTTCTATACTCTCTGTAACTGTTGAAAACCTCTCACAGCATTTTCTGACAAGGAATTCACATGCAGTAGGAAAGCATCTTCCTCACTTCTCATACATAGCTTTCTAATCACATCTGATGAGATCTGATGAGGAAGAGAGCCACACAAAATTCTTGAAAGATAAACATACTCTATAAAGTTACTTGGGATGGGTTAAATGTAACTACTAAACTGCCTAAGCACCCAAAGCATGCTTTAAAACAGGGCTATATGCATATGTCACGAGCCGAGACTCAAGCTCCAAGCTCGTGCGGCTTCAGGACCCAGTCATAAACTCATCCTACATCCCAAATCAGCCTAATTGTCACGATTCACACCAACTTATGAGATATTGTCCGCTTCGGCCCCCTTGGCCTCATGGTTTTGTCCCATAAAAGATGACTCACAAGTTGAATGTGGTGTAAACCCTTTTATCCCATGACCAACTCTAGTACACAGCCAATGTGGGATTCATGGCTCATCCCCAAGACCGTGACATCCTCCCCCACTCCAACGAAGGCCCATCGTTCTAAGTGGCACATTGCTAGTACCCTCAGAGCTGGCTTTAATATCACTTGTCACGGGCGGAGACTCAAGCTCTAGGCTCGGGTGGATCTAAGAGCCGGGCATGGACTCATCCGGTGTCCCAAATCAGCCTAACTATCACGGTTCACACCAACTTCTGAGGTAGTGTCCACTTCGGCCCCTTTGGCCTTACAGTTTTGTCCCACAAAAAACACCTCACAAGTTGAAGGTGGTATGAACCTTTATATCCCATGACCAACTCTAATATACAGCCGATGTGGGATTTACGACTCTTCCCCAGGACCGGGACTCATGTACTAAGAATAATTTTGACCAGTGGAACTCTAAAAAGAGGAAATATCTTTGTGCAAAATTGGGAAGGACAACAGCAAAAAACATGATACCTTCATTACAGAGTTAGAAGTTTCAAAGAAAAGATGATTCTTACAAGAATGTAGCAAGCTGCAGTGCGGTACCATCTCCGTTGGAAGCAGTCTTCAAACAACCTTTTGCAATAAGATTTGTGAGGGCAATTTTTGAAAGGAAAAGGGATCAAAACATGCTAATAGATACAATACATGGAATGATAATGCAAGTGATGCCCAATGATTACTAGGTTGTAACTATTACTCTGTGGAAGGAAAGGTCAAATCTACCCAAACATCTTTAATCAATATAGCAGACCAGGAAGAAGAATCTGATTCTTAATTCTGCTCAAATCACAATATTGTTTAAAATATAGATATAGATCAGGATTCACATATCCAGTTTTGTCTAGTTTTATACAAATATCAATACAGATACACAGTATGTATATAACAACACACATAATTGATTAGTTAAATCTGGACTCATAGATATGTTCAACATCTTCAAACATGTTTTGCAACTCTCAACTGGAAAAACAAAATCAATAAGGAGGATTAAGGAACATACTCCGTTGATCTTCCTGCAGCAGTGAACAAATCAGCCCAATGTCTACCATCAGTTTTTCTTGCAACACTCACAACAACATCAAGATACTCTGGGAAATTCTTGATCAGATCACAGGTCTTCTCCAAAAGAGAGACATTCTGTTTTGGGACTGAGATCTGGTTTTTATTCGCATTTTGCCTGCAAGGTAATAAAGTTTATAGTTATAGATAGTATAAGCATGATGAGATACATCAAAAAGAGAAGGGGAGAAAAGAAAAATACATTAAAATCTCCAGCCTACCGGTGAAAAAAGAGAGATCAGGATTGGTCCATGAAAAGGTTCAAGCAAAACCAAAGAAAATTACACTTACCAGCAACTTATAAGGAAATTTATACTTGTCAAGTTTAATAAGCCAAAAGCTAAAAACTGCAACATCCAGACCACATCACAATGCCCTCACATACGTGCATATTATGACACAACATGGTCGTTTCAAGCTCTTGAGCTACGTCTTAGAGTTTAAACAGCAATTGTATGCATTAAAACTGATTAGCCTGTAGTAACTTTCAGTTTAATGAAGATAACTTGCAAAGTCATTTTTCCAGTTAAAATAATACCTTGAAATCTCAGCATCAAATACAGTGAAAAGAAGCCACTCCAAACAATGTGAAAAATGCGGCTTCTCAGCTGATATTTGTGCCAACCGTAAAGCCTCCTCGCTTTTGTTCCTCTGCAAGATGCAGAATCAGAAAGACAAAATATAACCTAGGCAACAGCATTGTGCTTTAAAACAAGTGGGACCAGCATTTAGAGCTGTGACATCCTAAATGTGACAAAAACAACATTCTTTATGCTACTCAGAGAATAGATACCTCCTTACAAATAACTTAATCATGTTCCAAAGTAATAACATTTTTAGGTCTGGCAATAATAAAGTTTTATCGTTTGTTGCAAGTTCTTGGTAGGAATCTTCACATTTATCAGCTAAAAGTGGCAAATCTACAACAAATGAGAAGAAAAAATAAGTTGAACAAAAAGAGGATTTTCACATTCACTGCAGGCAATCTTGAACAATCAACCTACAGATCCTGCCATTCTTTTTGGCAGAAAACTCACTAAGCTTTGTATAAGATATTTCCTAAACACCATTAAATCAAAGAATAAGTGCCCTCCTGATGGAACACATAGGTTTGACAAAATAAATGATTAGATAGTTCCAATATCATAAAATATAAAAAAAGGAGTGAAATCCTTGCCAATAAACATAGGAAATTTGTTAGTAAATTTCACCAACCACAGGACTTTAAATTAAACAGGCTTTTGGAACTCCTAAGGAAAGGAGGAGAATGACAATGATACCTGAAGGAGGTGTCGGAGTAGGCAATGCAATATAGTTTGAGCTTGGGGAGTTGGCTTAAAACATGGAAATTCTGTGCATGCTGAAAATGACATTCTTTGAGAAACACCAACAACAACCCCAGCATTTGGAAGAAGCCCCAGAGGGTACACCTCACGGTCAAATTCCAGCTCTGGATCCAACTAATGAATAAATGTTGAACTCAGTAGATACACCAAATAACCAGATGAAGTGCCTAATATAAAAGAGATTATAATGTCCAAAAAGTTGACTGAATAGGGAAATAATGACTACCGACAAGACAACAAGAAAAAGGAACAACCAGATCAGACAGAAATCACACTTTCAGTTGAAAAACATCTAAAATCCCAATATACCATGAATAGTTTACCATAGAGGGCTTTGAGCAATAATACCTGCAAAAAATCCTCCTGCTTAAATGAGCCAACACCGGGAGATGGATACCAAACCTGTAAAAATGAGCTTCCAAACAGATACTATATCAGACTAGTAAAAACTAAAGAAGATACATAAGAAATCAAAAAAAGCCAAACGTAGTAAACTATCAACTTTAACAGTAGGTTACCTGCATTCCTCGGTGGCCATAGTCCAACCAAGAGACGTCCTCTATTAGATTTGTTTTCTCTTCTGATTGACCACATGTAACCCAAAATAATTCAACAGAATCAGTGAGTTCCCTTTCCCGACCATCATCCAACTCAAGTAGTGAAAGTTCCCCACTCGCCCTCAGTATCAGACATCTAGAAAACAAGTAATTATCAGAGGCATGCAATGTCCAGAAAGTTCTATTCACTGTTTCAAAGGTAATACCTTGCAGGCTCTCTGGCTAACAAGTTTGAAGAAGATGAAATACGAGCGTCAAGGGCACCCTCTCTTGGAATTTGATCGGGAATAAAACGCATCGCTGCAGGATGGCTCTTTGCAGTCATGATTGAGAGTTCTCTTACTGTAGAAAGCTGTTTGTCATTTTATCACTTAAAAACGTATGAAGGATAATTTACACACCATCTTAAAGCACTATCGCTTTACATATTGCAATAAAAGACTTAAAAGCAACTAGATAACATTCCTTTACCTGTAGGTCTGGAGTACTTGAAGGTGTCAATTCACCTACCAATTTCACATGGAATATGTGCACATCAAAAGGGCGATAAGTGACTAGTATATAATCTTCATAAACATCCATCACCATTGGCTTTGCAAGCAATGGTTTACGGCAAAGTAGTGTGCTCTGATCAAGGTGATGTCGAGGATAGAATAGCAACTCATACCTGCAATCAATCAATTACTTCAACCACAATAAACAACATTTGGTCATGAAATTTAAACGAAAAATCATAATTCATAAGAAAATCTTTATTAAAAAGAAAAGACAGAAAGAATAGGAACTAGCTGCCAAAAGCTTAGAAATGAACTGGCTAATTGCAAAGGCTTGTCCGTGTATTTCAGGAATAAAAAATTATTAGTATTTGGACAAACTAGACAAGTTCTGCTGAAGTAACTAAGGGGGCATAGATTCGCATCTCACATGTTAGAAGAATTGATATAGTTGCAGACAACAACAATCTTCCCCAGCCATAACAAACCTTTGCACTGAATCTTTTGTTCTTGAGAAATATCTCCAAACACTCACCACTTCTTCAACCTTATATCATATAAAATCAACCCATGGAGACCAGCAACTGCTAAATACATCCCATCCTTGCTCGCTGCTACATGTTGAACAGGCCAATTTTGGGAGATATAAGAAACCTGGACCAAAGCAAAACCACATTAGAGACACCCATATTTTAAAGAAAACATAATTAAGGCAGACAGTTATCACAGTTGTGATTTGCATATTAACTGGAAGGTTCAAATGTAGCATCTTAAGCTCATCGGTATCTTCTGACTGCACGACAAGCAACCTATCTTCACCATAAATCACTTGACGTACGTAAGTCATCCCCGAAACTCCTCTGCTCAGGCAACATTTTCCAAAAGAAAATGCAAGAATTCTCTCCGGCGATCCTTCCTCAATAGCATAAAGCCTATATCCATATTCATCCCACTGCATTAGTGAGGTACCACCCATCAATGGTTCATATTTACAATCCTGGTTTGGCTTAACTACAGGAGAAGAAACAGAACTCAAACCAATTTGACAGATAGTTAACATCAGACGACATCCAGAAACAGACCAAACAGTAAGTCCTCTTAACTTCCACCCAACAGCAAAAGCAGAATTATCAGGTGTCCATGCAAAACAACTGACAGGACCAGTGTCATCCATCGAATATCTGCCAAATAATAAGATCAAGAAGTAAAAATCCTTCATCCTTAACAAATGAAAGCCTAAACCCAGATAAACATAGGGTTCAACAACTAGTACATTTGAATCACGCAAGAAAATACACGTAACCAAGCAATTACTAAAGTGCAACAGCTTGCTAACATAACTAGCAGAAAAGAAACTAAGTAAACCACAAATTTATGAATCTACAAAAGCTCATGTCCTCGTATAGGGTATACTAAGGCTTTATTCAGCCTCGTTGTAATTCTTGATCACTAAACATTCATTCCGTCTCTGAACGTAATGTGTTGCTTAAGATTGAATCAATCCACAGTTTTTGTAGATTCTACAAGTTGACAACCAAAAGGAATGGGATTCTACAAAACACAGATGAGGCAAATACACTATTTGCATGCGTTGCAGACAAATAGAGTAATCAGTTCACTTAAAAACTAAATGAAAAAACATCACATTATACCACTAATTTCCTAGCTTTTCCAATAAATACAAAGCTTACCCCCAGTCATATAAGCAGACTTTACGAATGAGCGACCCTGATTCAGCCAAGTCATATAACTCAACAACTCCTTTTCTGGTACCAACGGCAAGGATCTGTTGATCTCCAGCAATGGAAGTACATACAGCATCACCAGATCCCAAAATTTTTTCAGCTTTAATGGATTCAACTGGCTTTAAACCTCTCTTGCTCACAGAGCATGACATGAGTTGTCCATCAGAATATAAGACTAATAGCAGCCTCATTGCAACACAAAACTCCAATTGGGCTATACCAGACTTCTTGGAGACTTTATAATTCGAGACAAAAGCTCCTTGAGCCTCTCCAGAATTAATACCATTGACTAGAGAATGTGGTAAAGTAGTAACTTCAGTGCTACTATGTTGAAAGGAATCAAGTTCAAAAGCTCCATAAAACTGTACAGAAATTGCAAAAATTAAGTTATGTTCAAAGGAAATACAGAGACAGGAATAAATTGCAAACATGTTATCTATGGATTACCTCTCCCTTCCAGGAGATACTATACAAACATCCATCAGAAAGCCCCAATAACATATGTTTGTTATCACTCACAATATTGCTCCTGCAACAAAGAGGTTAAAAGGAAACGGTAAATATGATACTGAGAACTCATATTAAGGTCAACATAACTGCAACAAACAAGGAATGCTTACACAGACAAAATCTTTTCCACAAAAGGGACTTGTTCATTCAGAACACAAGTTATCGTTGCCAGAAATAAACCAGAGGGTTGCTTCCCTCCTATATGTACTTTTCTTTCCGTGAGCTGGACCTTGAAAATGTGAAGAAAAAAAGATGATGTCTGCAAAACGGAAAAAAAAAAAAAGATTATGAATTCCATAACAAAGAAAACTATGCATTTAAATATCTAAAGAAGCAAGACGTTGAAACAAAGGAAATGAAAATGGCGGTTAACAAGCATTATCTTTTTATCATTGATTGCTGTTTCTTTATTGATCAATCCACCATCGCAAAGTGAAACTCTATCCATCATTCATAAACCCTAAAATAAAAGTAATGAAGCTAAATAACATTATCAAGATAAATGCTGCATGAGTTGCTCCTCTATTTCATCTTAATTTAGTAACTCACTTTAGTCATTAACTCCAAAATGTTATCAACCTTATACTAAACCAACATTTAATCCAACAAATTAACTAAAACAAAATTTTAACCTGTCTTGGTATAGTAAGCAAAATCAATTTTCCCGGGAAAATTTAACTCACAAGAACGGCAATCAATTTGGAGTCAGGGCTCCAAACGGCCTGCAAATTCTCGCCTTCTCGTTGCAACGAATCCTCATCTCTCTTATACTTCCCTAACCTCACTCTATGCTGCAATCACCAACACAATAATTCATCAAAAAAATCATTAAAAAGAAAAACTAATCTCCAACAAATGCATACAAATATTTGTAGAGGAAATACCTGAGAGGAGCTCCAGAGCTCGAGATGCGAAGGTGAAACGACAAGCAAGAGTCGATTAATGAGTTTGATATAAATGACTTTTTGCGAGGATGGACACTGCCCTTGCTCTAATGGAATCACCTGCGGATATCCATATGCCATGTACATCTTTCTTCTTCTTCGATTACTATTAATTTTTTTTTCTCAGTTAGGGATCTAATCTAACTCAATAAATATATCTGAAAGAGTAAAACATTTTTTTCTTTTGAGAAAACAAAAAAAGTAGATTAGATCTTGTAGATCCGGAGAGGAATGGCATTTTCTGTATTTTTCTTTCAATGTCACTTGTGTTTTTTACCCTTTTTTTTTTAAATTTCATTAATTTCTCTCTCCGTTTGAAGATGAAATGCTAATAAAAGGGATTTTGATTTTATGATTATAAAAAAAAAAAAAAAAAATTTAAAAAGACGTTATACCATAAAAGCGGTCCCACCTCCTTTTGGTCCCTCCTGATTTACATGAACAATGGGCCAAAGAGAATAGAAAAATTACATGATCCACATTGCTGTATGAGAGATGGACGAGCCCACTTTAAGCCCAAATTAAACCCAGAATTTCACCACTACCCAACGGGCCGACACATGGAGATTTGGGGTGGTTGGAAATTAAAAGTCTTGAATTTTTTTTTTCCCACTAATATTATAATTGGACAACTCAAATGAATAAATTGAGAGTGCTTTGGAGACCGGCTTAGAAGAACCCGGTCCTAAGTGTGACTTCTGATAAGAGATCAATAATTTTATGAACAGCTATCTAACTAAACTCACTATATGGATAGTTTCTGAGAGAGAAATATAAGAGAACAGGGGAGCAAGTTGTTGGTAGAGTTGAAAGGACGCAGAAATAGAGACATGTCGAAATAAAAAAAAAAAAAAAGAGAAAACCAAAAGAAAAAAAAAAAAAAGGGAAGTTTAAAGACATGGACTAAAGAGAAGATGAAAACCACCAAAAGTGAGTTTAGCATTAGGGAAAATCCAAATCAAGAGTCAAAAGCAAATGGAAGCCCACATGGATGAGTGAAGATAAGGGTTATAATTGAAGCCCGTGGGCGAACAAGCACGAGAGAGACAGCGAAAGAGGGAGACATGGATCAAACATTTTGGGTTTTCGATTGGGTCCCTTCACATGTTGCTTATGCTTAACCATTGCTGTAGCCTTTTTCCTTTCTATTTGAGCTTCGACGACGACAGAGATTATTACCAAAAATACGTTTCTTCTCCCTTGTATTTATGGTGCACAAGCCAACTGGCCGTCTGGCCCCTATACTTTCAAGTTCCATTTCATCTTATCTAAAAGTTAATCAGCAATTAGCATCCACAGGAAAAATAAAGAATTTCCTTTACCGAAAATAACCTATACTTGAATTTGTGAATCTTAGTTAATCATTGGAAGTATATACTAATACATGAACATTCAAATTCAAAATACATTTTTAATATTATCATATCGTATATTAAGATAACATCATTTATATTCAATTTAATTAATTATGTTATATAATAAAAAATAAAATTTTTATTTGATATTGTTAAGGTTTAAAGCTTAATCAATAAATTAAAAATCTTGCATTCTATTCATAAATTATACTACTGTTAATAATAAAAATTCATTTTCAATAACTCATGTTCGGTTCAAAAATGTTAAGAGTTTAAAATGTAAATCCACCCGTTTCCAAAAAAAAAAACAGATTCCATCGACAACGATTGGAACTAAACGAAGATTTTAGATATCCCACGAGACATGACATCCATCATTCAACATGTCATGTTCTGAATTGAACTTGATAAGCATATGATCATGTGGCCTCCAATGAAAAATTGATTGTAAGAACTAATAAGAAAAAAAAGCTTAAGGTTTTGCTACCGTTAAATGCACTAGCAACCCATCTAGCGCACAATTTGAATTGTTTTACGTAGAGTTATAAATGATATATTAGTATTCACAAGTTATTCGGATTCGATTCGAATTTGATTCGATTATTATCGAGTTGAGTTCGAGCAGCTCACGAACTTAATCGAACTTTTTTATTTAAAATTTTTTTATTATTTTAATTAATAAAATATCTCAAATTTAAGTTCAAACTCAAATATAAATAATTGAATTTTTGTCAAATATAAAAATCAAACTTATTTTTATATATTTTTTAATTTAATTAAATAAATTCGAATAATTTAAATTCAATCACGAATTGAATTCGAGTTAAAATAAAAAATTCAATTAAATTTAAATCGAATATCGAACAACGAATTAAAAATCGAATTCAAACTCAAATTTCTCATTATATTAATTCGACTCGATTACAATTTTAATTTCGATGGGCACAGATTTTGAAGTATCATTTTATTTTTGCTCGGATTGTACATGATTTTTAGCCGAAGGGAAGGGTTGATGAGATAGGTACGTGACTGAAAATAACGTTCGAGGCAGTCGGGCCATGGATGTCTCGTCCAGACCACGTACACCCAAGACTTGGCATTTCAATCACTCTCCGAACTTCGTAGCGCACCCTTTCACTGATTTTACTTTCGAAACGACGGTCTCCTAATCCACCAATGATTCCCTGTTGGTTGGCCAGGGTTCCTGCCACCGACGATTTTTTATTTGTCAGGCCCCCTTCTCTTCATCTGCCCTACCACCCCTCAAAGTTTCCATGGGCCTCTCATCAACTCTACAATGCCCCACAGGCCACAATGCGCATTTTTATTTATCCCTTCTATCCCCCCATATGTTGTTCCATTTTTATAATAATGTTATTATTCTCAACATTTTTTTTCAATACAGTAAATATTTTCTTAAATTTTATTTTATTTTTATTTATTTTTCGAATGATTTTAAAGACCGCCTTACTCTTCGTAATTGACACGAAATAATCAACCAATTTGTGTTTTTAAAACTCGTTAGAAAAAAAATTTTGCCCAATATTGCACTGCTTTACTTTTTTTTTTTTGGGTCCATAAGCAAGCAACATATTGTGGGTGTGACATGAAGTTAATCTATAATAGTTTTCATATATATGTTTCTTTATATAGGAGACATAGAATTGAAAAAAAATATAAATATTAAAACCATATAAATAAATGTTTGTGGTTTTTTTTTTTTAATAAATGCTCGTATAAAAAAAAAAAAAGGAGATGATAGAATTAAAATTTACGTTTGCATAATTTAAAAAAAAAATTAATCATTAAATCAAAAGTAAAAACCGGTTGTGTTAATCATTATGTTGTACTCTGCAGGCTTTTCATTTGTGTGAGTAATTGATATGACTAATTTGAGTGTAAATTACTCTTTCAATAAAGATCCAATTTTTTAGATAAAGCGTATAGATTTCAATTAATGAGCTCTATTTTAACTTCCACTCACTTTATTATTATTTCTAATATTAAGCACTTAGACATTGGATTATTCAATGATTTAATAATGATTAATAAATTTTTAAATAAATGTCACATCAATAGATATAATTATTTTTTTCTCTTAAAATATGAAAGAAAGTTGTTTAAAATAAATAAACTTGCAAAGATGTGAAAAATTATATTAGATATTTTCATTTAAATAATAATAATAATAATAAAGGTAGTGGATCGTGTCGCTCATAATGAAAAAAATGAAAAAAAATCATAATCAATAATTAAGATTTGTCAGCAGTTAATATAATTTATTTATAAGGAATTAGATATATAATTTTAATAATTATGACTTAAATTAAAGACAATTTTAAATGTAAAAAAAAAAGAGGCGTGCAGACAATGATTAGTGACGGAGATAGGCAGTTTCCAAATGATAAAAATAATTGTGATTTGCATCTTTAAGTCCTTGTTTTATGAGAAATAAAACTATTGCTCAACTGCTTTTGAAGTAATTAATTTAATGTGAGTAAAGACAATGGAACCACTAGCCAAGGCTGGGGTAGGTTTTCTGCATCATAATGCATGGGGGGTCCATTAGTATTTTAGGGATTAAAATATTCAATCATTTAAAGTTAGTGTACTACTTACTATTTACTGCCTACCAAATTTGATAAGTACATTGAGCTGTAATGGTTGCATAATTAGTCAAATAATAGTTGAGGTTTAATTCGTCCATCCGAATGCAACTTGCATTAGTTAGAAAGAAGAAATTAAATTAACATTTGTTGATTTCATAAAAAATTTAAATTTTTTAAATAAAATTTTGATTTTGATAAAAAAAATTATTTTTTTATGAGATTTGTTTTAATTGAATTTTAAAGTGATTATCAAACATCAAAAAATTAAAAAAAAAATCAAAATTTGGAGAAGCAGTGAGTGGATTTTAGTTGAGTTTTTACAAAATTTATTTATTTTTTAAATTTGAATTATATTTAATTAGAATTATTATTAAGTCTAAGTTATTTGGAGTTTAATAATTTTTATGCAAAGACAATTAAGAAAAGAGATGATGAAAATTGAATCTGAATTTGTTAATGATACGATGATTGCTGATTAGGCGGCCTCCGCGTCTCGCCTAGTCTTCCACTTCCTCTCTCCTTCCATTTACACCACGTGACACGTGTGCCATTTTCCCAGAGATAACCCACTTTTTAATAATTTTTTAAAGAGTGCTCCCAAACGCAGCCTTCCTTTACTCCTTCTTTCATCGTCACACCCACACCAATGCCTGCCTCACCCACCAATCAAAACCATACATCTATGTCACAGTCAGTGACGGAATAACTCACATTTAGTATGTACACTATATTAATTCCCATACTCACCCATGGTTGAACGCAGAAGCTTCATCTTCTCAGTCACTCGTTTTCCTCTCAACTCACTCTCTATAAATACGTAAACAAAAGATTTCTCTTTATAATTTCGATTTAATTTATTTTCTTTTGTAAATTCTCTTCATGGGGTTTCCAGTTGGTTATACGGAGGTTTTCTTACCAAAACTCTTTGTTCACACACTTTCGTTTCTGGGTTTCATCCGAAATCTAATTTTTGCCCTTTTTAACTACCTGGGACTCTCCGATTTCCTTGAAACAGACACGGTCTGGCCGGAAAACCCGACCCGAACAACAACCGAGAATCCGCCCGTATCCGCTCTCCTTATCCGGGAAATCCTTCCCGTTATTAAGTTCGAGGACCTTGTCGTCGTGGGGGACCCACCAGAGAGCTGTGCCGTTTGCTTGTACGAGTTCGAAGGAGGGGAAGAGATCAGGTGGTTGAGGAACTGTAGGCACGTTTTTCATAGGGCTTGTTTGGACCGTTGGATGGATCATGATCAGAAAACGTGCCCGCTTTGCAGAACACCATTTGTGCCTGATGAGTTGCAGGATGAATTCAATCAACGGCTTTGGGCTGCTTCTGGGGTCGGGGATTTTTACAGTGAGTACAGTTCGGTTCCGGGATTGTAGATTTTTTTAGGGGGGTGAAGGGGGTACTTGTTTTTCCCTATCCAATGGCTCTTTTTGTAATGAGCTTAGTGAAATTTGTACATATTACATGACAATTTGGCGCATAACCAATAAAAAAAGAAAAAAAAAAGATAAAAGTTTTCTATATACAGTTCTTACAGTTTGGATGTTACAATCGAGGGTTTTATGTTGATTTTTTTTTTTTTTATGTTAAATGAAAGAGTAGAATCCCGCACGTTAAACAGTGAAATGAGATTGAACAGTGTTGTCATCAAAGGTGACGATGCTTTGTATTTTGGTTGGATTATTTGCTTATTTTTAGTAAAAGGTTTTTGGAATATCAAAATTATTAGTATCAACTCAATTTTGTGGTGTTGGAGTTTGTTAAGGTAAGCAGATAGAATATCAAAATTATTAGCATCAACTCAATTTACGGGTTTTATCTTGTCACTGAACAATGAACATGAAACCGATGACCCTAGGTTTTAAGAAAATTATTTTTTTTATTTATAATTTTGCTCCAAATTTATACCTTGTTCTTTTCTCACTTCAATCTGGGGAACTCCGAATTCACAAAATCTAATGCTGTTATTTTATTATTATGGGCTGCTAATTTTTTTTTAAGCTTTTAGGTTTTAGTTTAGCCCATGGAATCAAAGAAAGACTTCTGTTTTAATGATTTCCTATGTGGGTATTTGGAACAAGTTGTGGAAGTTGTTAATGGCAGAAACTTCGGCAGTGATGAATTGTTTTGTTGGGGTGATGATCAACTGTGGGTTTTATTGTTTTTTCCTGCTGATCTGTTAAGAATAGTGAAAATTTTAAGAGAAATAGGTAGGATATGGTTGCAGATGCACTTAAAGGTGGTGCCCGGTTGGGGGTTCATTGAGAACCTTTTTTCCTGCTTTCCCATTGCTTTTTCATATGATGATTTTACTGAACTTGGATTCTATGCATCTTTTTCTCAGGCTCTGTTTAACTGCCTGAAGGCTTAAATCCCAAGCTGGCTCTGTAACACTGTCACACTGTAAATAGTGACACCAAAATGCAAGGGCCCCCTTCCTGCGATCTTCGTTCTTCCAAAATACAACAGGATTAACAGAACTCAGGGTGCCCCTTTTTGTTTCAACTTCCAAGGAGACAAAAGGAAATTGAAGGGTCCTAAGTGAATCTGATAACTTTATTTATCTCACCTTTTCCTTTTTATTAAAGAGGAAAGTGAATCTATGAAAATGATTTTGCCCAAAGCTCAGATCCTTAACTTTATTATGACAACGATCTAATTGTCTATTTTTGCTCATCCTACATAAAATCTGGTCGTGCAGCTTAGCATTGGCTATTGTTGGGCTTCTTCAAACAAGTTCAATAAGTTATGTTTAGCCCAATATGATGCTAAACTCAAGTCTAAACTGTCACCAGCAAAGGCCCACTCCTAGCTCCAAACCCAGTTCATTTTAAGTGTTCAACCTCGATACACGTGAACGGTTGACTTGATATACTTCCTTTGATCCAATACGCTAATAAATTGGATCATGCATTCTTTGACTTCCCAAAGCTTCAGTCTTCAGTGAGACGGTGACCAATAAAAGCTTCAAAAATAATACTACTGCTAACTTTCAAAACTTCCATTGACAGAAAACCCCTCCGAATGACTCTTAATTTTTAAACAACACGTACTATGACAGTTTCAACTTCACTTTCATGAGCTCTCCAACTAACATCCATTTTTTCCTTTGCCTGACACACCCTTTGCTTAAACCCTAAGGGTCTTTCACGAATCTCCACATTGCATTACTTCAAAACTAAAAAATATGAAGAAAACTTACAAGCCTCTTTTTCTCATTCTGATCCCTCTTTCCATCTCTGAATCTTGAAATGTCCAACAGTAAAGAATCTATGCTTATAGCTGTCGTAGCGATCTCTTTGTTGTTTGGATCATTGAACGTGCATTCTCTACCATGTGAAGACAGCAGATGCAAAACTGGGTCATGCAACAGAACTGGTGCTTGCATTTGCAATCTTCCGGATCCATCGACCATCTTGGATGGTGATCGTCCTTTCCTTGGGTAACATACTATCTGATCTGAATCTCCTTTGTGTTTGATTATTAGGACATTTCTTGGTGAATTCATCAGTATACATAGTTCTGATTTCTGATAAATGGTTCTGCTGCTATTTTCAACTACAGGGGAGAATTCTGTGACACAAAAATGACAATGTGCGACGGGACTAATTCGTTTTGGTGTGAAAATGGTGGGATCTGTGAGGAGATTGTTCAAGGTGAGGACTACTCCTGCAAATGTCCTCCAGGATATACTGGAGAGCGTTGCGAGCACCCAGGAGCTCCTTGTGGTAGGATATTCTGTTTTCATGAAGCTGAATGCCTGGCCCAAAGTGACGTATGCCAATGTCCTCCTAACTGGCAAGGAAGTGTTGATTGCTCTCTCCCAACAAAGAACACAACAGGTCAACTTTCTCCTCCTACCTTGTTTTTGATATGATTCTCTTTCTGTTTATTTTCTATTGTGTTACTTATCTTAAAGAGCGTTGTCTCAATGTGTTTGAAAGATTTGGAAACCACATTTACTAAGGCCTTGTTACATTTTGAACAGTACTAGGTGCTACATGAGTTCTGTCCTATAAACAGAGTTCATACTCTAATCCATTTGGTTGATAGTTTTGTAAACCTCTTGCTCCATATTGTTCACATATGAATCCTGATCTACCCTGTTAAATATAAAGTTTCAGATTTTATCAATTTATTATAATTGAAATATGGATGACATATTACAAAATACAAAATACAAAATACAAATCCTTGCAGATTCCTCTATGGATTCCATTACATCTCAATTGCCTCATTGGAGAAGCAGTAATAGTAGTACAAATGTGAGTATGATTCATCTCTCCCTAAGTCTATTGCCGTTTCTTTTGCTCATGAGCAGGCTGAATCTAATCTATGGTTTCTTTAACAGTGGATTGTGGTGGTCGTGGCCATTTCATTCTCAATAGGAGCAGTAGCAGGTGGTGCTATATATGCCAAGAAATTGTTTGGTAAGAAGGAAACCGCTCCAAAATTTCAGCAGCTATCACGAATGAAAAGTCTTGGGATTTTGGATGATGATGACGAGGGTGATACCATGGTTCCAGAAATGAGTCGTAATGGTAATCAGCGGCTTTAATTGACAAAGCACTAGCCATCTTAGAAAAGATCTGGTCGTTTCAGTGTGAGGCATTATGTAGTTCATGAGTTGTAATTCACAGTTCACGGTACCAATAGAAACTTTATCTTTCCTGTTTGATCTATACCAATAGAAACTTTATCTTTCCTATTTGATCTAATGTTTTAAGATGCACTGGATGAAAAATTATCAAAGTATGCATTTTAAAAAATAAAAGATTAATAATGTTTATGTTAATTCCCTTTTGCCCTTTGAGGGGATGGTATTGACAAATTAATGTAAAACAATAGAGAAGACGCTATAATAGGTTGCTACAGGAATAAAGCTTCTTCAGATTTGAATCTGATAGAAATAGAAAGAAAAATGAACATAACATGCATGTTAAACAATCATATATTATTTCCACCACAGGGCCGGGGAAAAACCTAGCAAAACTGACCATCTTTTTTTCCATATATATAGTCAACATTTCTGGTGAATATATCATAATGATTCAGGATAGAGTTATGAATGAATCAATCCAAATTTGAACATGTATTAGCATCAAGGTCACTTATAATAGCATTGAGGATGAGGAGCGGGATATCCACTAGAACGAAAATTCTGAGTAGGTGGCGGGTATCCAGCAGGAAACAGAATCAGAAAAGCAAATAGAGGGAAAGGGAGAGAGCAAATAACTATGTATTTACAGGGAAGATCAGCTTGCATGGTGTCCATGAGACTAGACTTGCAAAGAAACTACATTGTCGTGAACAAAAGAATAAAAAAAAAAACTGCAGAGAAGCTACACAACGTTCGAGAAATGGAAAACACCAAAATTAATCAAATAGTAGATTTTATTGTCTGTCGCTCAGTGAATATATCTATAGCGTGAAAACTGAAAACAGAAAAAAAAGAAAAAAAAAGAGGGAAACACCAAGAGAAGCATGGAGAAAAGGAGAAGGAACCAAAAAACGGAAAACGTTTTTTTTTTTTTTTGATCTGAACTTTATTTTTTCCCACGGGGGCTTTTAGTTTTAATGGATTAATGTTAATCATAATTGTTAGTCACGTTTTTGTTAATTTCTGTTGGGTTGGAAACAATTTAGCTGTATGTTCGGTAAATTTTGCAGTAATTGGCTGCTTACTTTCTCAAACTATCATGTTGCATTTTGGATGTAATTATGAGATGATTTCTCATTAAACTTAAGTATTTATTTTTATTTTTTATTTTTGGTTCAATGATAGATATATGCGTTTTTGCATTTAATAATTTGAATGTAAATCTCTTAACAATTTTATTTTATGAGGTATTAGTTTTAAAAGCTCCAAATTCATTTTTTAAAATCGTCGTTAAAAGAATCCTAAACGAATTTCATATAATGGAAATTTGTACTACTTGGAAATAGAATGAACAAAGTTTGTCCGGATTTGGTACAAAGTACCGAAGAGTCGGTCGAAGGAGAAATGGAGGATGAAAGAGTGTAGGCAGCCAATCCTATCTTCACCCAACAACAAGATTCAATGAGTTTCAGTACGTCGGATCAACAACGTACGGCCTGATAATATATTGACCTTTCCCTACCTACAAATTTAGCACAATTAGGTTATATTTATTTTCAAGATTTTCTTTTTTCTTTTTTCATGCAAATCAATCACATTTTAGCATATTTGTTTTCCGCTTTTTGATTTAACGGTAAAATTTTTTTTTTTTAAATATTAGAGTTTGGGTTTTTGAAGCAAGTATTTTTTTTTCTCTTTTCATATAATAAGGTATTATCCCCTTTTGAACCAAAAAGTAAAAAAAAAAAAAAATTAGGTTATATTTATTTTCAAGATTTTCTTTTTAATTTTTTCATGCAAATCAGTCACATTTTAATTTATATATGTATAAATTACATGTAAGAAAACTTTAGAGAAACTTTAATAAATAACTTTTCTTTATTGCCTTCAAATAAATAACGTTAAAAGTGGTTTTGTCAGGCGCAAAGGGAAATATATATGAACAAGTTTTACTGTTATTAACTAAAAAAAAAAAAACTGCATTATATATAACATTTAAAGCTCAATTCTAGATATGATAATGAAAAATTATGTATATTATTTTTAATATGACATAAAAACGATGAAAGAGAACCAAACTCATACATATTTCATTTTTGATATGACAATACAAAAATATGTCCATTACATGTAATTTTTCGTGTCAAATTTGAATAAAATTTATTTTTAAAATTTATAAAAAATAAAATTGACAGACTTTAAGTAAGGAAATTAACCTCAAGGCACCTCTGTAATTAGTAACTTTGAGCCAAAGCACTGTTATATGCTCACTCGAAATGAGGGAGGAGGAATAAAGCTTTTTTTTTTTTTTTTGTTATCCCAATCAATTAATGTTACATATTAGTAAATTTTGGAAAAAGGGTTTTTTATGCAAAATTAAAATTTGAATTGTAATAATGTAGAGGTTATTACGAAAACCTATGGGATTATTATTACATCATAAAGCTTATCAATTCCACATGCCAACAAAAATTTTTGTTGACAATGTTTAAAATTCTAATAAACCAATCAAAACTACAAAATTCATACTTAGCACAATATACAAAGTGTCATGTTTAAAACTCATTGTATAAGTCAGTGAAACCCATCAAATCAAGGGAAAAAATTTAGAAAATTTATTTTTTTTTATTTGTAAAATTTATAAATTTTATAAAAAAATTAATAATATGATACATATTTTTTATATTATATTAAAAGATAAAATATATGTCAATCTTTTAAATTCTACTTACAAAATTAGACCTTGACTATATATAAAAATGAATTCAAAAAATTTATGTGCATAAGAATATAATTTATCAAGAGTGACCGTTTTGGTTTGTTTTAGAAAAATTTAAGCACAAGAATCCCACAACGCCACGTCACCCAATCCGTTAAAGATCAACGCAACCCGTTGAAAAAAAACCGAAAAAAATAAAAAACAAGTTCGAAATTACAAAACCGCCCTTACATTCAGACATTTGACTAACATACCCCGTTTTGGTCCACGCGACTCACACGCAACAATATCTTTGGTACTGACAGGTTAGCAGAGCAAACTCTACTCTCACCCACGACAAAACCCAACATCATATAAAACAAAACCACCCAAAATTAAATTACTTAAATCTAAAACCCTAAAAATATAAAATAAAAACACTTGAACTTGCCATAAAAGAGAAAACAAATGAAAAATACGGTAATCTCAACACATTTAAACACAAAAGGAAATGAAAAAAAAAAAAAACAACAACAACAACAAAGAGAAGGGAAAAGAAGCCCAAACCTTTTTTTTTTCCTTCACATTAGGGACTTCAACGATCTTGCTTTAATGGGCTTCCTCATTCGTTTCTTGCCACTATCTCCATTCTTGTCATCCTCATCATCATCATCATCTTCCTCATCATCGACATAATCAAATTCTTCATTATTATTGATTTGTAAAGAAGAAGACGGCGTCGTGTTGTTTTGAGTAGTGACAGCGCTGCTATTGTTTTCAACTTCTTTAGCCTCAATAATATTCTTGCTGATTTCGCCTACTCTATCGCTGCCGCCTCTTCTTTTTCCCCACAACGGCCCAAACCCAGAATAATAGTAAAATTCATACGGATTCGATCCTGATGATGATCCTTTCTTCGCTGCTCGGGCTCGTCCACGGCGGCTCCCCGTTAGCTGATTATTCTTCTCAGCTTTCTTGCAGGGATTATTTCCATTATCGCAGCTGTTGTTACAAGATTTCAGCAAAGCCTCTTGCTTAGATTCCTTCTCTTCCGCTTCGCATTGGCTCTTAAACCCAAATTGTTTGCCTATTTTCAACTCATCTTTATCGTCATTATCGTCAATAACCATGCCTTCCACTTTCATAATCGCTTTCTCTTCACTCTCCATCATCGAAGCTACGCTGCTTTTCGAGTAATAACCGCAACATTTTTCAACAACCGCGAGAAAAACACAAACTGGGTTTTCAATAACTCGCCAACCCATCAACAAATTTTTGGATAATTATTCGACTATTTTAAAAAGGAATACCAAAAACCCTAATAAAATACAACGACACCAATTGATAAAAAAGAATCGAATCGAAGAAATATGATGTAGATTACCTCTCAACAGCACCAATAGAATCGCCTAAGCTCCCATTTCCGTTAAAGCTATCTTCAGCTTCAAACTGGGTTTTTTAAAAAAGAAAACAATAAACGAAGCTAGCAAACAAAAAAAAACCCGAACCAGAAAATAATACACAGAAATGACAAACACCCATTAACCTAAATCGACCATTTGGAGGAAAATACACGATAAGGAGAGAATTTAGGGTTTTGTTGAAACCCTAAAATGGGAAAAACCCTAAAAGAAAAGGAGGGATATAGATAAAATGTCAGGTGAAGGAAGATAAAACGGAGGCAAAGGGTGAAGGAGGAGTAAGTAGATCTGCTATAAGAAACGAACCAATTTATTTCAAAGAGCAAGAGAAAAACAAAGAGAAGCAAAGATTTTGTTACCTGGTGATGAGGAGATGATGATGATGGGTATGGTTCTTGAGAGAAAGGAATCACATCCCATGGCGACTGGTTCAGTTGGCACACGTGCACACTCTCAGGCCTCGAACCTTGCGGGTATATCAGCGATGCCAGCTTCGCGTTCTTCCGAATCCTCATATTTTATTGGTTATCCAATAATAATAACCAAACAAATATGAAAAAAAAAGCAAATTATAGGAGGAGGAGGAGGAGACTCACAGATAAATAGAAAAATAAAAAAATAAAAACTACGAAACTGAAAGCCAAGAAAAAAGAAAGGAAAAATAGATCCAAAAGGGTGTGTTTTTATCTCTTCCCAGGCAGTCAATCTTTTCTTTCTTTGTCTCTCAGAAAGAGGGAAAGAAAAAGAGATGGGGGGCTTTGGCAGTGGCTATGGTGTTTTTTTAGCAGATCTCACAGAACTCGATAATCAGGGTTTTCTTAACTTTCTGTTGCTTTCTCGGCCCTTCATATGTTTCGATTTGTTTTTTAATGGACCATTGTGTCCTTACATTTTTTATTTATTTGCGGAAATAGGTTTCGGGTGAAAAGAAAGCTGCCGCTATTACACGTCATGATAGATGGTTGTCCAAAGTTAAATTTTTTTTCTATTATATTAGGAAAGGCGTTAATGATCTTATACGGTTGCCCCCACGTTTGGCTCCGGTGGGGTCTCTTTACATTTTCCAACAGCGTAATTTTTAGGGGTGTTTGGGTCAATTGAGATAAATTTTTTAAAAAATTATAAACGGATAAAACCTAACATCTTTCACTCCTAGGGGGATGGACGAACGGGGTGGGGAAGGGGAAGGGGAAGGAGAGTGATGCAAACGCGCTGCAAGCCACGCGCGGTTGACAGGAAGTGGCAAACACGTCTGACCCACTAGAAAAATGGATTTGAAGAGTGTACTTGGGTGGGTCCCGCTTGAGATTGGAAGGCTGTGATGAAGGGTTACAGGAAGACTGACGCTAAAAGCACAGAATGTGATACCCAGTTATTATTATTATTATTAAGCAGCAGTGAGAAGCTAGATATAGCAGCAACAGCAGCAAACTGTTGATTGGGAAGACCCATCCCCGACCCCAACCCCACACGTCAATTTCTAGCAGATTTTGAATAACAATTAACTAAGTTGGTTTAATTACTTGATTAATTACGATTAAAATAAATAAGGAATATTAAAGTTTAAAGTAATTAACGTTGGAATCTTGATTGTTTAAATATTCATAAACGAAAAGGAAATAATAATATTATAAATAACTATATATTCTCCAAATTTGTCATTTATAATCTTAAAATTATGCTTACTAATTCATTCAATCTTTGAAGCGGACCTACCATTATATGGTGAGATTGAGGACAGTGGAATCCAGATGGACCAATATTATCATCCTTCCTAATCCTATTGCTTAATATATATAATTATACCGATGCTTGTTGATTTGAGTGGTAAAAAATTAATTTTTTAAAAATAAAGTTTTTATTTTAAATTTTATAAATGAAAAAAAAACTTTAAATAATTTTTTTTTTATGAAATTCGATCTGATTCGATTTTGAATTAATTAAAATTCAAAATGATTATCGGATATTGAAAAATCCCAAACCAATATATATATATATATATACATTTATGTGTTGGCTACTAGTATAATAATTGTTATCTTAAAAAAAAAAGTGTTTGATATTTTTTTGTCAATTTTCAAATACTAAATTATTTCGTATGAAAAATTACAGATACCCAGTTCTTTTTTGTTGATATAGTATGGGAGTAGCAGTATAAGATTTGTTTGAAATGAATTTTGTATCCTATTGCTGCCTGCCAATAATGGGGAGTATGCTGTATTGCAAAGTAGAAGTTGACCTAATAAATAAATACTTCTAAAACCGGTTGGAGTAAATAATAGAGGAGTTAGCTCCAATACAAGGGCTTCAAGTGTTTTTTTTTTTTTTTTTCTTCTGTTCTTTACAGTCGGTAGCAGTTACTGCAGGGGGCCCATGTTCTACTCCCCCACCCACAGTTTGACACATGCATCACATACAACACAACAAAGAAAAAAAAAAAAAACTATATATAGTAAGAAAAAGAAAAAGAAAGACATATAGAAACAGGGTTGCTCTATTTAGATGAAAATCTATAAAATGACTAAGCATGAATGTTGATGTGGGGTATACTGAGCTAGGGTTGCAGCCATTTCTCTACCATATTTTGGTTAAAAAAGAAGCAGAATTATTGATCCAAGCATCTCTTACTTTCCCCTCTTCTTGTTTTCCAAAATCAATTTTCTTATTACTAGAATTTAGTTACAGGGCTTTCTTTTTCTGGAACATTAATGTAAGTCCAATTGGAAAAGTCCAGAGATCTTTGATCATTCCGCAATGCATCACCGAACCATAAAAAAAAAGTAGAATAATATCAATGGAGGCCTCTGTTTACGGGAATATAAACCATTTTCGAGCTGTAGATAGTAGATACGTCTCCAAGAACTCAAAAGCATAAAACAATCATTATGTTAGCATTTGGTAAAAAAAAATAATAATAAAAACTTCTGAAAATTGGATTCCATCACTTCATTCGAAAGTATATATTTGTCGAAAAAAAATCAGTATCCAAGGAAAACTAGCTAGCCACATGGCTTCTCTTAAGGATTCCCTCTTTTTACTTTTACAATTTTTTTAACCCTTTTAAGTGAAGTAGTAGAAATTTTGTTTTCTTTTTGTTGTTGCAGTGACATGAATATAAACAGTTGAAAAAAAGAGTCCCCAATAAAAGAGGCTTTTTCCTTCAGCATTTTCTGTCATGCTTTATTGTGTGGCATGGCATGATTGTCTATTACTTAATTGACAATTATTAGTATTATCAATTGAATGGAGATATATGTTTATTAAAGGAAGAAGAATCAGTTTTTGTTAATGCCATGGTTAACACTTAACAGGATATTTATCATACTACAGTTACTTTCTCAGGAAACAAGGAATTTGCTGCATATAAAAAAGTGTTACAATATGTTTATTGAAGAAACATTCAGGATTCTAACTCTTGAGCCATATGTTTTGTTCAGATCAATTATTGACATTACATTGATGTTCTCCCATAATAGAATAGAGCGGCTCTGATTTGTCTGTTTTCTTTCTACATCTTTGACTGGATATGGTTTGGACTGTTGCGGCGATTCAGGGCTAATTGTCTGGGTTTAGTTAACGTCAAGTAGTCCAGTCTTGAATCTCCTATACATTGCCTTAACCCTCGACAATATAAAGGGCTGCAAGAGAAAAAAACAATCTTTGAAGTCAGGAACAAGGTCAACAGAAAAACAGCACGAAAATACTCACGTTTGGTTGCTGAGAAACCCAAAACAGCAAGAAAAACTTGAATGTCTTTCATCTTCCTGATAAATTTCTCGTCAGATATAATTGAACCGGCCGATCAAAGGATCCATAAAGGGAATCAAATTTGTCAGATTTCCAGCAGATTTGACAAAGCAAAGCAGACATATCATGATCATCATTTGCAACTCAAAATTTGAGAAGCAGAGTAGAAAAAAAATAAGATAAAAGACTGGAAATTAATAAACCAAAATTAACCTAGATAGCAAACCAAGAAGCTTCAATGTTAATTTCAAACAAGACAACGATGCTACAAATTATAACAGAGAAAACCCTCCGTCATCTCAAGAAGCCCTAAATATCAATCATATTAATTCGCCGTGAAAATTTATGGATACAAATCATCTAAAGACACTTTATGTAAGAATAACTAGCTTCGTCAAAACGTAAGAAAACAGATATTCTTGCCCAATATAACAAGCAAAATCTGGTCGAGATTGGAGCACTTAAATAACTAAACAATCCACGAAATTTGAGGCTTTTAGTTAGGGTTCATAACCCCAAATGACGATTGTCGAACCCGTAAGGCAGTAACCCTAAGGTCCTAAACCTAATAACCATGTGCATTGCAGTCAGATAATTAAACTGGCAGGAAAAAAATAAAAGAGGAAAACAAGAGAGATAATTAAAGTTCGATATCAGCTTCAAACCAGACAAGAAGAGGAAAAAAAAGGGAAAAATTAAACTTGAAAATACGGAGTTAGTGTTGAAAACGCGTGAGTCTGGGGTGTTTGGAGAGAAAGAAAATGAAGAAAGATTTAAACATGAAACATGAATTAATTATCATGTGGTTCAGCTGCATTTCGATCTCAGACTTTCTGTGCTTTGAGTTGGTTTCATTCGAACCAGTCTAAGCTTAAGCAACCTTGGGTTGTGGAGATGGAGTAGGGGTCAACAATAAATAGACCATTAACATTTTTCAGAATATGGATGGTAGAGAAACTAACTTCCTCTGGTTCATCGATCTTTTTTCTTACAAAACACGGGCATAACCTCACAGGAACGGTGAAAACTGAGAAAACAGTAAAGCTTTGTTTTTGAATTGACCCATTTACTACTATGTTTTGACTGACCTTATCTGACTTAATGCCTCTTCCACATCAGCCACCATTGATGCAGCTCTAGCACCTTTATTTTTTGCTTCATGCTGAGAATTTTTCCATTTCTTTCTATTTAAAGCAACTTTTTTCAATTATATATGAATGTGACGTTTGTATGAACAGCAGGTAAGCACGGAGTAGTGATCGCACAACCGACGAGGGTGCGCTCGTTCAGTAGTTTTCATGACCCTTATTGATTGTATGTCTGACTCTGACTCTTTAATGGATCTTTCTCTTCCGCTTTTTTTTTTTTTAATTTATTCTTTCCTTTCTTTTTATTTGTGCCCTTCAAGAGCTTTTAGGATTATATATATATATATACCACGCTTGCTTTAATTTATTGCTTAAATATTGTTTAAAATATTTTTTTATTAAACTATTTTATTTATGTTGGATTTATATCTTCTTAAAAAAAAAAAGAAAAGAAAGAAGGACTGTTATTGTGAGAAATCATCAATTTTAGTGTTTATTATTAAAAAAAATAATTAACTATAGGTTACAGTTTTGCTTAAAGAGTTTTTGTAAATGCTTAAATATAGGTTATATTTTTGGTAAATTGAATCTGATAATGCTCTCTGTTTGTGTACCTATGTCATGTTTTTCAATTTTAAACTCGTTAATTTAACCTCCAATCTCACAAAAATTAACTATTTTTAATTAATTTTATAAATTTATAAGTATAAAAATACATTTATATAATTAATTAATTAATTAATCAATCAACAATTCAATATATAACCGATCTCAAGATTTTAAATAAAAAAAAAAAGAAGAACTCTCAATAATATGTTAAAAATTGTTTTTTCATTCCTTCTTCCCTTTCTCACTTTTTTTTTATTGAAAAATTTTTTATTCTCTTTCAAACATTGTTGTATTTATCTACTTAATCAATACACGTCCAACTATAATGTTACTATAAGAGATGATCAACATCCAAACTTTTCGTCACAAAATGAGTTCGCCATTACCAAAGAGTAACTTTTCGTCACAAAGTGGGCTCGTCATCACTAAAGAAGAATTTGTCAAACTACCTACACTAACGTCTTATCAACATACCACTGTCACGATAAACGATTGACTTGACTGAAATTATTAAATACACTTATATTTATTTAAAAATTAAAGTATATTTATTTAAAATTATTAAATGTAACTCATGATCATTTAAATAATCCCTCATTAAGTTTCACATGAACTTACTATTAACTATTATAGTTTTATCATCATCCCTTTTCTCATATATAATATAAAAACATGTTCGGATATGGATATATAAACTAATAATCATTTCTCTTTAAGCTTTTAAAATTACTTACAATTTATTTTCTCCCTCACTTAAATCCTAAATATCTAATTGATTTAAGTGTTAGAGCACATCCCGAATATTAACTCTAGCACCCGCTAGCCATGCTCTCTTGTTGCAAGTCCAAGGTGTCTTTCGTATGATCACCAAGTCACCTTCCTTCCTACCAATACCCAAAACACCACCAACAAACAAAAAATCAAATTTTATAATCTATAATAATTGTTATGGATTTATAATTGGTATCACTTATTAATGAATAAATTTTAAAAAAATTATTAATTTTTTACACGTTTTAAAAATTAATATTTATTAATAAAATAATATCATATAATTTATTAATAATATATAAACTCATTACATATATGTATTTTTTTTGTAAAAAAAATTTAAAATAGATAGATTATTCAGTATTTTAAATTAAAATAAGATGCATCGTACTTGATAATTTAAGATAAATGATTACAGATCGTGCATTCGAAATAATCATAATAAGTAATCACCAATAAAATCTGAACTCAAAATTTTTTCATTAAAAATAATAAACTTTAACTAATTGAATAAACTACTTATTGATATTATATATATATATATGTATATATGTATTGCTTGTTATTATTTGCTACTTTTGAAACCTTTTCGTTGTTTGGCCAAAAATTTTTTTTCATTGGGGCACCTATGATCCGATGGATTACAGAAGGTTATAACGAAGCACAGAAAAACGACGCCGTTGTTTCCAGATATCCGTACGTATTTGTAGGCTTTGTCGCCCAACTCTTTTTTTGTTTTTAAGTCCCTTGATTCCTACTGCCTAAACATTTAGCAACAACATGCGGCCCCACCTAAACATCAATATTTTTAATAGTAGCAGGCACTCGTCAAGCAATTTCAAAACATGCCAAAGGATAAACAGATTATGAGGTCGTTTCTTTCTTGTCACATCTATCAATAAATTGGAGATAATAACTTTTAAATAGTGGCTGATATTATATTGTCCCGAGATTCCATTTCGTGTTTGGTACTGTCATAAATTGAATAATCTAAATTAAAAACTCTTTTTTTTTAATTCAATTGATTCATTTATTTATTAAAAAAATATTAAAAAAAACCGAATTTATAGTTAATAGATTTTATTTTGATGATTACTTTTTAAAGGTAAAATCGAATATATCCCATTTGCAGCGAGTGTGTGCCTTCAACATGAAGCGTTGCTGGTGGAAGATTTAAACTCCCAAGTCCCAAGTGCTCATTGCAATAGAAAAATCGATTGGTGTTTGATGATTTTGATGATGGGACAATTAAAGAAGCAGATAGTGACGGCGCTACAGTAACAACCCAGGTGCTTAGCAATTTCAAGACATTTGTATGGCTTTGCTGCAAGTGCAGCAACATAGCATCCAAGACCAATATACAATCCTTTTGATATAGTTTTTCTTTTTCTAGTCTTGGGTAATAATAGTAGTGGCAACAAAAGAATAAAATACTTCATGACAGCTACAACCACCTTGGTAAGCCCGTTGCAATATATTACTACACTAATAAACTTATCATTTATCAAAAGGAATAATTGAGGGAAAAAGAAGAAAAAACAGTTCATTTGGTGGCAGACATAGGTTGCAAAAGGACACAGTCAAATGCCCCTGCTGAAACAATAATAATAATAACGGCATGATAGGTTTAAGCTCTTCCAGCCTTGGATTTGCCGTATATAAATAAAGGCTTTTATAGTGCAAGTACAGTACTACACAAACAAAAAGTAGCAAGTAGTTACCGTTCGGTCCGTTCCTTGTACCAGCTCTAGACTTCTACTTCAACATAGGCAACATAGGTTACTATGTTCGAATTCGCATGCGTGAGATACTTTTGAATAGTTTCACAAGTTTTTTTATTTATTTATTGGTTTTCCATACCTAGCGACAAAATGTGCGGTTCATAGGGGTAGCCTATCTGCCACCAAATGGATGCTGTTAGTAGCACTTAGCTGTATGATGTGAAACCCTTGGGCATTACGTCCAGGAAACCAGATGGAATTACTGTTACAACATTACGCACGAAATTAATACGTATAAAATCTCGAGTTACAGAGATCATCTATATACCACCAGTAAAGTGGACGGTCGATTCAAAATCCATACAAACTCGTATACCAGCATGGAAGAGCACAATCGTGGAAAGATTTGTCTCATTTCAACACACTGCAGCAGAGAATAACTGATCTCAAAATTTGTAGCAATAATAATAATTTAAAGGTAACCGAACAAAGAACACGAGAGAAGCAAAGGTGTAAAATTATCTTGGTGAAGTAGAAGAATGGTAGTTTTATAAATTTTCAACAAATTACCATATGAATCAAGCTAAGAAATAAAAACCTTTGGCAAACATAACCTATAGAGCAGCTAGAGTTTCAAAATGCAGTAAAAAACATCGCGGCCAATCCCAAATAGTTTGCAATAATTTTAGTTGAGCTTAATGGGGGTATGTGGGAAGCAACTAAGCAAATGTGTTAGTAACCATAAAAAAATGATGTTTCATTTCTCTACATGCAACAATTTTCAGAATAAAAAACAGGAACCCGCAAATTCTCAATGTTTAGTAGTATATAATTCAAGTAAACTAAGGAAACTTACTTGTATAAATAGGCAGCGATTCCAAGAATTATACACAAGAGAATGATATCAATGCAAAAGTTGCGACTTGACCTCAGCTGAACAAAATCAAAATACACAGTGAAAATTAGGGAAGATATAGAAAGCAGCTTTCATCCAAAACCAAAATATGAAAGACTGTACAATTTACCTGGTTAACAGTATGCTTAAGTCTCACATTTGTGCTTTTGAGATCTGAGGCTGCCCTATCTACCTGGAAAATATCAAAACAGTGTTCTAATCTGCAGAAATTTTCAGATCAAAAAAGAGAATGTTCCAACCTTTTCTTTTTACCTCACACAGACTAAACATCAATAACTTGTTAGTAATTTTTGGATTTAAAAAAAAAAAAGAAAATAAAACTAGCAGATATAAAGTGTTTTTCCGATGTAAATTGGCAGACTACTTTCAACTGATATAATTTACCGTGACTTTACTGGCCCCTTTTCTCTCTCTGTCTCGATTATATGGTTAACCATTAAAAGGCTTCAGATATGAATTAACATTTTCCAAAATGCTATCAGCACACTAACAGAAAAAATTTCCATGTCTTGACAAGCAAAGGAGTATAACAAGAGGCAGATCAAATAGAGAATCACCTTCTCATCTATTTCATCCATCAGTGGCATTTGTCTGTCAAATTCCTGCCATAAGGAAAAAAAGATAGTATTTTTAGAACAAGAATAACCAAAACAACTATAGCATAAGTTCTCACTGTTTAATATTATGATTTATAGCACAAGTAAATAGAGGATATCGAGCAAACTACTAACCTCATTCATATCATGAGCCATGTTTTTCAGGGTGTCCAAACCTTCAGCTATAACCTCCAAACCTTGATCCTGTATAAAAAAGAATATATATCTTAATTGTAATAGCTTAAATTTAGGTAGAAACGAAGATGAATTACTATAATCCTCTAAAACACCGCCGCCATTATAGGAATAAATGATAACATAAAACGACAGGGAGACAGATCATTGGAATAGCAAGCAAAGCAGAGCTGAAAATCTCACAGCAATGATAAATCAAACAACAACAACAACAAAAAATTATTACCTGTTTCATTCGGCGCATTTCGTACTCTTGCCTGAAGCGGTCAGACTCTTCAGTTTGTTGAAAGTACTCATTTTCGAAGCCCCCATCTAATTCAATCCAATTCGCATCGTTAAAACTTTTTATCATCGATAGGTCTCTTGATATAACAATAATCCAACATATAAATGATTATTACCTGAAGATGAGTCAATTTTATTGGCAGCATAAGAAGTCGAAGTTGCCCAACCACCACCATCGCTTTGCTGAGCTGCAGTCGTTGATCCATCTGGTATTGCTTCAATCCTATCTTTCAGTGAAGAAACCAAGTCGTTTCGAGCCTCAAGCTCTTCTCTTGAAAGCCCCTTTACCTACAACCCAGAGATTAATACTACCACTTAATAAATACTTAGTCTAATTACTATTAAGGCAATCAATTAGCAACTTCAAGAAACAATAAAAAAAAAAAAGGAAAAAAACCTTTTTGAGAGCGAGTCGTTGTAATTTGGGGAGTTCTTCAAGCAATCGAGCTTTTGTTCGTCGAATTTCCGCATTCATAGCAACCGCCGCAGCCCTTTTCTTTTCCGTTGCGGCAGCTTCTGATTTCTACGTGATTTTTTTTAATTTGAAGAAACAAAAAGGCAGAAACTTTAACGTTATAACAAAAACCCTAGAGAAAAGAGAGGAAGAAGAGAGTTACACCTGGAGAGCGGCATCGAGTTCGGACTCAACGGTGCCGTAAAGGCGAGCGAAAGCGTCATCACCGGTGACGTTAGCCTCTTTTTGCTTATCGATATCGTACTTTTCGTATTTCTTGCAAATCGCGTCGACTCTCGTTATCAAGTCTATGACCGTCATCTCCTTTCTTTCTCTTTAAAACTACGCCGTTTCTTTCTCTCTCTGTGGAAGTTCCTTTTACTTTCCGAGCGGGGATTCTGTTTCTTCAGTTTTTGTTTTTGGAGTTTTGAAGTTGAAGAGCGAGATAAACGAGGACGAAGACAGCTAGAATCAAAGACAAACGAATCACGGAAACAATGTTTCCGTTTAGATTATGTACCAAAAATAGAAGGAATGATTTCGTTGGATTGCTGCCGAGTGGAACAATATGAGATCTACGGTTAATAGAGATGGAAAGAAATGAGCTTAGTTGCAGAGGATTACATCTCCATCACCCACTCCATATCCCAAATGAAAGTGAAAGCGAAAGTCGAAGGATATATTAACGATGAAAATAATATATTAATATTCATAAATTATTTAAATTTAATTTAAATAAAATATAAAAACAGTTTAGTTGTTATTAAGTTAAGTTGAGTTTAATTATTTTTATATTTAATTCAAGCTATTTGTAAATTTAATTGAATTTTTATATTTTAATAAATTTTAATTATTTTATTGATAAAATATTTTAAATTTAAGTTTGAATTTAAATATAAATAATTAAATATTTATTAAATATAATAATTTAATTTATTTTTATATATTAATCGAACATAAATAAACGAATTTGAGTAATTTTATTTTTATTTCAAATTAAATTTAAGTTAAAAAAATAAAATTTAATCGAATTAAAATTAAATTTTAAACATCAAATTTAAAATTTAATTCGAATTCAAATATAATATTATATTAATTTAAATTTGATCGATTACGAATCTAGTAATAAAATTTAAAACTTCTTAAACATTTTTATAGAACGGTTATTGACAGTTCAAAGAAAATTTTTTTATTTTTATTTTTTATTTATTGAATATGTGTTTGTTAAATGAAAACGAAAATTATTTTTTTTAAAAGAAAGTAAAAGAAAGTATGAAAATGTTATTCATAATATATTTTGTGTTTAAAAAAAGAAAAATAAAATTATGAGTTTATTCTTGGGGTCCACCACCATGGCTATAAAATATTTTTGTCCAATTATATTATTAGAACAAATAGGCATTTAGAACTTAGAAGAATGAAATCATGCTGCCAAGATAAAATGCTTTTATACTTGTTTCTGGTTAGTCTTGGAACTCGGGTTATGGACGATGTTGGTTAGCGTAATTCACTTCTGCCGCATTTTTATATTTTTTTATTTTCTGCTCAACTGGCTTGAAAACATTAAAAATAATTTTTTATTCTTAAATTTGAAATTTTTATTTCATTTTTTAAAAATATATTTTCCCCAAATATCCAGCAAACATAACTTCAATTATGTTTTTTATTTGTCATTAAAAAATTTTTATGCTTTCTTAAACTATCCGTACCATTATTTCTTTAAATTTACTTTCCCTTAACAAAAATAAAAAAACCTTTATTTTTGTTAAATTTTCATTAAAAACTTACAATACCCAAATATGTAAAGGAGTAAACGAATCAAATAAAAATAATTTTTTTGTATTCATTATTTATTTAATTAATAATTTTTAAAATATTATTTATAATTATTTATTAAATTTAATAAATTAATTAATTAATTAATTTTGTTTACAAATTATTTGTTAAATATTTATTGTTTATACTGGAATATAAATAAATTAAATATTAAATTTTTTTATTATATTTATAATTTATTTATTTAATTAATAAATTTTAAAATATTATTCATAATAATTTATTAAATTTAATAAAAAACATAAAAGAATAAAATTCAAATTTATTCACGAATTAAATTGGTTTAAATCCAACAAATATATAATTTTTTCTATGATTCAAACTTTTAAACAATAACAGAATCATGATGATAAATTACTGTTGTAATTATATCGTAATAAATTATTGTCACGAGATTTTTTTTTCTTTTCTTTAAAGAGAAAGGCTCTTGAATTGGAAAAAGCAAAAAGGAGAAAAAAAAAAAGGTTTGAAAGCTGGTTAAGATGACATCAAATTCTTGTGGTTTTTCCAATCAAATTAAATAATATTAGTTAGCTAACATATGTTTCTAGAAAAATAAAATTCCAAAGAACAATCTAATCTTTGTTTGGTTTGAGTATTTAAGTCTACCTAAAATTTGCTTTCTTCATAATTTAATACTATTGGCTTTCTAGAAGAAGACCAATCGCCAAACAGCTCCTTTGAACCGGTGGCGCGTTTCCTGCACGTTCCTCTTGCTCGAGCGTGATCTTGTTTTCTATTTCCTTCGCTTAAGTTGACTCCCACCACGGCAGCAGCAGTCAACAAATAACCTCTATTATAAACAAGAAAAATAAACAATGTCTGCTGAATTAAGGACTGCAAACAGCAGCCTCCAGGAAGATCTTTCAATGCTTTTTTAATCACTACTAAACCAAACAACCTTTGTGCTTTTAATTCCTTTATAAATTATCTTTTTATTTATTACTATTATCATTGTTTTTGGTTCCTTCTAAGAATCACCCCAAAAATGGCAGAAAATTCGATTCTTTGCTGGGTTTCTAGCTTGATTCTAAGTCTTTTCACTCTCTTTTCTTGTTTATTTGAGCCCTGTAATTCAGTTGAGCAACTTGGTGGATATGACACCTTCACCATATCAAGCTTCAAATACCCAGAAACCCAGATCAGGCCTTTTGATATGCGTTATATAAGAGGTGAGTAAAACTAATTTTAAGGTCTTTTTGATTATTCATTTTGGATCAATTTGCGGTGTGTTTTTCTTAATGATGTAATTGTGGACTGCTCTGATGAATGGGTAGTTGTCAAAATGTTAACTTTACTAATGAATGCGTGAAATATTTTCATATTTTTCTACTTTTGTTAATTTCAATTTTAAAAGTTCAATTTTTTTTTTATCTTAATTGTCTATTTTCATGATGAAAACAAGATATTAGAATTTTTCCTTGTCAAACTTGATTGTTGGTTCAACTTTTATTCCCCTTTTAACTCAGATAATACATCATATTTACATATAGCACTGTTTCAGCGGGGACGAAGGTAAATTAGTTATAGAGACATGATTTAGAACTATCGAGCTTGAAATGCTTCTTTCTGTCATGATGATTATTGGATTGCCTTCCTTTTCTGGAAAGCCTCTTCAGTACTGTTGTCGTGGAAGTGACATTACCAGCAACTTGAATTCAAGAGAGAAGAAAATGTTAAATATTTTCCGCTATTTTCATTCTTGTCTGTTTTTATTTGGAAAACTGGCAAAGGTTCAAAAGTTATGGTGATGAATTAGATTGTATTATTGTTTGAATTATTTTATTGTGTAATGACTCACTGGGTTTACTATTTGCCATGTCTCAGTTGATTTACCCCCATGGTTCTCTTCAATGTCAATAGCATTGAAGTCAAGTGTGGACCTTGTAAGTATGCTCGTCCTAGTTAGTTTCCAGGTTTAGCAGCTTTTTTATTATGCTGATTCTTAACTCGAATTTCTTTTGTTTGATCGTACTACATTTCTACACTACTGTTGCTGCAAATCATGAAAAGATTTTCCACACACTTGTCATTTCACTGATTTCTGGAGTTTAAACATTTGGTAGTTTTCCCAATCATTCTTGCTTATCTCCTTTGCTTATGCTTTAAACTGCTCGCAGGATATTAAAAGCATTGAAAAAGTTCCTAAAAGTGTGCTGCCGTTGATATGCTTCAGAGATGGCAGCCTCCCATTGCCGGATGTCTCAAACACTTCATTAAAAGGTATTCTGCAAACAAACATAAAATATTATTTTCTTCTTTCAATCACTGACTTCATGAACCCGAATGAATCTAGCAGTTTTAAGATATTTTTCTCTTGTTGCAGCTCTAGTTACACTATCTAATGGATCTTTTGAAGGAATACAAGTACTTCAAAATAGAGAGCAGTGCTATCCTGTACCAAGAAATATGACAATGAAGTTGACAAATGAGCAGGTTTGCTGTCATTATCTAATGTATTTTATGTGGAAGAAATGTCATTCCTTACCTTCTTAAAAAATTCGGATCATCGAGTAGTTTGTTTAACTGAATTCTTAGGCAAGTATTACAAGACATCTTCCATTTGGCATATTTTAACCCACAATCAGGGGTATGGGGTGGGTGGGGTAAAATGTTTAGTTTGATACATGGATTATTCCACACCTTCCTTATTTTTTCTTTTAAATGTTTTTTAGAGATTCAACTGTTGGCATTGTAACTTAAAATTCTGTGTTCAGATATCTGCCAGGGTTTTGTATTTTGGTCTTTTCAATGGTGTTGGGCCTACAAGAACACAGTCAAAGATGGTAAGATTACTAACTCCTCTATTTTTCTCCTTATACACCACTTTCTTCATTGTGTTATTGTTTCACATTTGTGTCTTGTGCTTCTGTACAGTTCTCACCCACTTCAAGTGGTTTGGCATTTTATTGGTTGATCATAAATGTGTTGTGTAATTCACTTCAGAGGAAAATAATTGGGTTTTCTTTACTCCTGGAATCCTTTGCACAAAGGCAAATAAAGATGCTTGTAAACTCCTAAAGAACCAGATATAAAACTATGTTGATAGATTGATATTCTAATGGTAGTTGTTGGTTGGTTATCATAAAGGCAATATCCAGATTGGTTTGTGATGCCATATAACAAGTTTTGTCAGCAAAAAAGTATATCTTGCTTGCATTGTAGCTGGTGGAAATCTTCTGGTGAAAACCCTTGACTTCTTGTTTGAAAAATGTTTGCTTTTGCTCCTATTCATCTAATTCTTGTTATGTTTTCTTGTTCTTTCCTGTCTGCTTATCCTCTTCGAGGAGAGGTTTTGGTACGTATGTTCCTTTCATTCAACTAGAAATTGAATTTTCAGCTACTGCTCTGGATTGCAGATTGTTCGAGGCCCTGCTTACTCCTTTGCAGCCAATATTAGTGTGGAAGGATGTATAACCTCAACAATGCAGGGACAGTACTGCAACCAAACTGTTGAAATGCTTTCATGTGGTCAATCTGGCAATATTTCTGAAAATGGTTCAGTGTCTGGGTTCTTCAATCAAAGCATGGTTTCTTGCAGGAACAATTTTGAGACGTCTTGCCTTGGAGATGGAGAAATGAAAATATACTCCTTAGAGATACTACGAATAGCTGAATTTTTAACCATTTCAGCACAAAATGTAAGGTTAAGACCTCTGAATAGCACTGGAAATAGTAGCGAAATTGACTTAATGTGCTTTGCTCGATATGGTGCTATGCCTTCAGCTACTCTACATGATTATTCTGGTAACTTAAATAAATCCCCTCTGGTTATTCCCTCCCCAAAGGTTGGTAGCTGGTATATTTCTATTCTATCCCTTAATCTTTCAAAGGAAATTGATGGGGCCCAAAGTAATGTTTCAAAAGTTTGCTATTCTCTGGAACTGCAAGAGCTTGAATGCCCTTTGGGGAAGGCTGGGCCAAACTGTTCATCCGAAAGATACATGCTTCAGGTGGGCATTGTCAACAAATACATTATACATCATTATAAGTTTCATTGATTCATTTTATTTTGCATTATGCTTGGTGTTTGTTATCTTTTAGTTTTCTATTTTGATGCTATTAATAAATTATCGGCCTATGTGAAATTCAATACATTAAATAATGTGTACCCATTCACATTTGTGAGGATAAAGTAGGTATCTGGTTTAGAAAAGAAGATATAAATGATTTACTTGCTTGTTAGTGGTGACATAGAAACATACAAAATTAAGGATGAGTAGATGACAGTATGAATTTCATTTTTAGGTGACTGGACACCACTATCTTGACAATCTTAGCCCAAGGGCTGAAAGGGTGAAATTTTACCAACTGATTTGCAGCCTTTAAAAACTGAGGAATCATTGTTATAAGAAGTAATTATTTTGAAGCAAACAAGGGCCAAATTTGGGTTCAAAAATTTTACCTGAGTGTTCACTTACACATCGAGTAATGGGATGCAACCATAGATTTCTGATTTCAATTTTAGTTTTGTTATTATTTTTAATTAGATTTATGAACAGTTTTATTACTACATTATCTTTTCTTTCTGTTGATGCTTGAGGAAACTCATTCGCAGGAGTAATTTATTGACAAGCTGAGAATGGTTTGCAGACGGTTCTCAGGAAAGATTCCACCCCTTTTGAATCCTATTATTTGCCAGATGGTGAGAAAGTGATGTCAGATGCTGCCAATTTTCTTCTTGAGCCCCTTTTAAGCAACTGCTCATTTGGAGGAGGACTAGATCCCTGGACTTATTTTCTTGTGGACATTCCTCGTGGTGCAGCTGGTGGAAATCTACACATCCGGTTGACATCAGATAGGAAGATAAACTATGAAATATATGCTAGAAATGGTGCATCGCCATCACTTGTTAACTGGGACTATTATTATGTAAACAAGACAAGCAGCAGTCATGGCTCCATGTTTTTTGTAGTGTACAATTCAAGTGAAGAAAAGGTCGATTTTTACATCTTATATGTTAGGGAAGGAATCTGGAGTATTGCATTAAGGCATCTAAACAGCACTGGTAGCACTTCCGATGGCCAGACTACTATGTCTATTTCACTTGAAAGATGCCCAAAAAGATGCTCCTATCATGGTGATTGCAAATCTGCTCTTGATGCCAGTGGATTAACATCATATAGGTATTATATTTTTCAGCCATCCCCATCTTTTTTATATTATTTTTATCTAATTTCCTATTTCTTAGAAATATTTTATTTGGTAGATAAAATGCATGTACAATGGGATGAAGGTGTAAAGTGCATTTGTCATTGCCTTGTAACTGTGTTATTTTCTGTTTCTCAGCTTTTGTGCCTGTGATCGGAACCATGGAGGTTTTGACTGTAGCATTGAGATTGTATCACGTCAAGGTAAATGCGTTTTAGGAGTTGAATGCAGAAATATGGCTGCCATCCTTGCCACTTTTTCACTGACAATGTTGTTTATGGTTCCAAAATAGCTATTTATTCTCTCTTCAAAGGCAGCTACTAGTTTGGAAACATAGTTAGACCGTACATATACTTCATGCGGGATTTTTGTGTTTTTTTTTTTGGGGGGGGGGGGGGGGGGTTGGCAAGGCTGTAAGCACAGTCTTAGTCTATGACTAACTTGAGTTTATGATGAAGAGCTATAGTCTTCAAGTTAAGGTCTCTAATCTGTACTCAAGTTCCTGAGTCTTGAGTGTCAAAAATTTGCATATGCTTTTTGATGGGTCTTGTACTCTTATGCTTTAGAAGAGATTTATTTGCATTTGAAATGAATTCTAGGACTTGGTAAAATGTAATGCTATAAAATCAAATTTAGCCAATCCTCTAATTGGAAACTGCTGCAGGACACATACGGCAATCAATTGCTCTAATTGCATCAAATGGTGCAGCTGCGCTTCCTGCTTTTTGGGCTCTCCGGCAGAAGGTAAAACTTCATTTATGTCAAGGACTTCCTTGCAGATGATTCAGATTTCTGATGGCAAAGAGTGCTAACCTTTTGTGAAGAAACTTTAGAGGTTTCTCAAAATTTCCAACTATGTCAATGGCATGCCTAACCATCAATTGGAAGGGTTATTAATTTTCCAAAAAATTCTGACATGGCCACAGTATATTGAAGATATTTTTTATATCTACCACCTTATGTGCGGTGAAGGAACTTTAAGCATTGGAATTGAGCTTTGCTAATTATCCAACATGAACTTTTTTAACTCATTTTTTATTTAGTCAATAACTTAATTAGTTGTTTATATGCAGGCATTTGCAGAATGGGTGGTCTACACAGTGAGCGGGATTTCAAGTGGATTATATCATGCATGTGATGTGGGCACCTGGTGTGCGTTATCCTTTGGTGTCTTACAGGTATATATTGGTATGAATTTTTTTTTCTTAAGAAGGATGACATTATTCATCATGAAAAACTTGGAAAAGGCATATAGTGGAAGTACATTATGGAAAACATGAATCCAACTTATATAACATGCATCATCTCCATTTGCGTTTCATTGTTGCTTAAGTTCTCTATCATATTTTCAGTTACCAGTTTGAACTACTATTGACATGTAAATCGGAAAATTTTCAGTTTTTGGATTTCTGGCTCTCTTTCATGGCTGTGGTGAGCACCTTCATATACCTCACTACAATTGATGAAATTTTCAAAAGGACAATCCACACTGTGGTGGCTATCCTTACTGCCCTGATGGCCATAACTAAGGCAACTAGGTATGTGGATCTGGTAGCATTGTGTTAATTTGAATTTATGACCCTGTACTAAAAGATACAGAAGGTGTTTGATGAATCTAAATTGTGCAGGTCATCCAATATTATTCTTGTGATGGCAATTGGGGCGCTTGGTCTTCTTGTTGGGTGGTTGATAGAGTTCTTTACCAAGTATAGGTCACTTTCTGTTTCAAGAGATTTATGTTTAAATTGGCTTGAGAGGTGAGTTTCTTTTCTGTACAATCATGAAGTTCCATGTATTTTTTTTTCGGCTCCTAATGCAAATAAAATGCATACTCAGGATTTTGTACAGTAGCACACAGACCGCCTTTAGTTATTTGTAATTAGTACAAATGAGAGTTAAATCCTTTTTTTCTTTTCACTTTTTAATTATTGTGCTGACCATGCCTTGAGTTGGTCAAGGGACACCATTGTCATTATTGTGATTTAGCATCAAGCATTTAGGTTCATGATTTCGCCTGAAAGCTAATATTCTAAGATACACAGGGAACCGTGCTTTGTCATTGGAGAAGTTAATTGTTAACAGAAAACATTGCCCTATAGTTGGAATTATTAAGATTGTAGAAGCATAACCTGGTAGATAGATTGTGGACTAAGTAACAGTACCTGAAGATAATGCATTAGTATTTACTAGATGAAATATTAAACTCTCTTCCATGAAAGCCGAGTATGTATTTTAAATGTAGATGGCGAACCAAAGAATGGCTGCAGAATCTTGTAAAGACTTTATTGAAACGATTTCAATGGGGTTTCGTAATTGCTGGTTTTACTGCACTCACCATGGCGGCAATAAGCTGGAAACTTGAAAACAGTCAAAACTACTGGATTTGGCACAGGTTGGATTTCTCCCTCCTTTTTGGTGTATAAAATTGTTTTGATCTCCTCTCTCTCTCTCCAAGTCTTTGATTGTAAAATTTCCATGCAGTGTTTGGCATGTCGCCATATATTCATCTTCTTTCTTCTTCCTCTGTTCAAAAGTAATTACCATAAATACTGGGAACGAAAGACCCACAGATGGAAGCTATCAGTTAACTCGGCAAGATTCTCTTTCAAGGGGTGCATAGGAAGAGGGAAGACTTCTCATAGAATTTAAGTTCAAATAAGAAGGAAATAAGTGGTTAAGACATGCAGGAAAAAATTTCATCTGCCGGAAAGTAGTTTGTACAACCAAAATAAGACTTGACCACTTCAGTAGCTTTTTTTTTTTCCTGAAAATTTGCCCATTTTCCGGGATTATGTTTTATTTTCATTTTGTAAATGTGTATACACCAATTGGCAGGGAAAAGAACCGAGGCAGGATACAAATATGACCCAAAACCCTTTAGCCTTTAGGGGTAGCAAAGCAGAATGTAAGGATAAAATGCAGCTATTTCCATCATGCAACTGTAAACTATATATATATATATATATATACTTGGATAGTTTTCAACATTTTTCATATTAATTTTATGTATCAATATGATAATTGAAGTACTTTAGATTTTGTCATCTTGCAAGCTTGTTTGCAGTATGAATGTGTGATTATTACAACATTTTTCCTAGTATTAAAACATTTCCCAGAAAAAAAATTCAAGGATGAAAAACTTGTTCATGTTTTTCTTTGTGAAAACATTATTGATCAAACAGGTGTTCTACACAGTACAAGCCAAATCATTTTCATCAGGATCAGAAGATAGGGGACATCAAGGATTAAGGAATAAATCCATGGGAATCTAAATCTGAAAGCTTTTTCCAATAAATCAAATACTTCACCATGAATTTCACGTGCTTCTGCATGAAAACTTGAGCAAAATTAGTCAATCAACAAGAACAGAAATAAAGAACTTAATAATAATCAACAAATTGAATAATTTCCTATACACAAGCGAAACCAGACGAACACATTTCCAGCATAATAATACAAAAACTTAAGCTTGTTTAAGACCGATCATGACATCCGGTTCTGGAAAATTTATTTGCTTTCTTATGACTCGTTGCTGGCAGGTTCTCAGTTGGTTGATCCTCCAGGAACTCCGCTCTGTTTTCTGCTCTAACCATTTGGACCTTGCACGTTTAGCTTTAACAACACCGATAGAACAAACAAAACTTTTAGGTTGCATCTAAGCCCTTCGTTTATTTTTCTCTAACTGAAGCATTTCTCTGTGAAGTAGATGAAAGAGAGCGAAGCTCTAAAGCTGATTGCTCTCTATAATCCTTACGGATGCTCCATAGGATCTCCCCACACCTCTTCATACTAGGCCGACTCTGTCTACGGGGAGCCATGCACCGTAAGGCTAGTTCAAGAATCTTTTCGAGGGCTAAGTTAGTCGGAGCAGCCAGTTCTAGCCTAGGGTCCAAGGTTGAAATGGCTTCACCATCAGTAAACTTCTTGATTGCCTGCAATTGTAAAAACATATCAGTAGACTAACAGACAATAACCATCTTTTAAACAAATAATAATAAAAGAAAATTGCTGTGCTCCAACGTTTTTTTTTTTTGTCCTCTTCGTTGGTCATTCTCTACATGATCTGAGTAGGCATCATTCATGAAGGTAGTTTACTTATTCCAACTAGACAAAAGGGATGAACTATGGCAGTGGCACACATGCCATTGATAATAATCAACAATAACAGAATGGAAAGAACATCACACCCATCTCGCTGTTATCCGCTCCTTGAGTTCCCGTTTCGATTCAATGGGGCGCCTGCCTGTGACTAGTTCGACCAATAATACTCCAAATGAATAAACATCACTCTTTTCTGTAAGTTGATAGGTTCTCAGGTATTCTGGATCCAGATAGCCGGCAGTTCCTTTAACCTGGGTAGACACATGGGTTGCACCAGAATCCGTGTCAGCAGCCAGCCTAGCAAAACCAAAGTCAGCAACTTTGGCCCGTAACTTTTCAGTAAGGAGAATGTTGGAAGATTTTATGTCTCTGTGGATGATTGGGTGATCTGCATAGAATTCAATGCTTGATCTAATTAATCTGTCCCCTCCTATATCTCAAAGAACAGCAAAGCTCTTTTTTTAGGTGAAAAATAAAAAGCAAACCTGTATACATATGAAGATAGGTGATGGCATGGGCCACATCAATAGCTATATCAAGTCGTGCAGCAAGGTCAAGAACTTTCCCATGCACAACTGCAGCAATTTTTCTCGTGTTTCATGTCTCAAAATTCCAGCATAAAGAGGGATCAAAAGAAAAATAAAACCAAAGAAGAAGTGAACCAGAATAACAAGAACTCACCATCCAAGTGTTCCCTAAGAGTTCCATTAGGCACATACTCCACAACAACAATTTTTTCATCCCCATGCTCTAAATACCCATAAAACTTAACCAAATTCAAATGTTCCACTTGTGCCAGTGTTCTTATTTCACTTTGGAATTCCACACCCAAATGCTTATCATATACACTCTACAAACAAACAAAAAGTCGATCAATTACTTAGCTAAGTTAAGCCAAAAAAATATGACCAAAGAGGAAAAAGAAAAAAAAACAATATTTCAAGTAACTTTCATAGTTCCAAATCCAACCTTTTTAGCACGCTTGATAGCCACAAAAGTTCCATCATCAAGTCTTCCTTTATAAACCGTCCCAAACCCACCTTGTCCAATCTTGAAAGCAGGGGAGAAGTTCCTTGTGGCCTTAAAAATTTCTTCCATCGTGAATCTCATGTTCCCAGGCCCTTTCTCCTTTGTTGAATTTGAATAAATCCCTCGATTCGAACCCCTCCTCTCGCTATTCGTTCTTGACGTTTCCGGTTCAACTACAAATTAACTCATCTCCTTTTATCATTTTAATTGTCTTTCTTTTCCATTACTACATTATTGGAAAGTTTATTAAGAATGTAGGTTTCATTACTGTTATTAACGAAATCTATGATTACTTTCTTTGAACAAAAACTAATGACTAATTCAACACTAACTATAAATTTTATGCATAAAAATCGATCAATAAAAAAATTTGGGTTTTTCTTTTTTTTTTTTTTGGTACTCCAAAACTTGAGTACTTGACCAAATAACTAGTAGCAGAGCCGGTAGGTTGTTTGGTTGCCGAGAAAATGTCAAGACAGAGAAAGCACCAGTAAAAAAAAAAAACAAAAACAAAGAAAACATTTACATGGTCAACTAACGCTTAAAAACTTCATTTTTACCGTTTCTTCAGATCCGAGGATCGAAGCCGGAATTGAGTAAATTTACATATCCAAAACTCGAACTCAGTAAAAGTTTTATAAGAGAACTACTTAAATCCGATTAAAAAAAAAAAAGCTGCCTTTGTGTCGTCATCATCGTTTAAACCAAAAAGTGAAACAGAACATACCGGGAGGATCTCTAAACTCATCGGACACTCCAAAATTCTTGCTACCATCTGTCTCGGGAGGTGTAAAACACGCGACAAAAGCTCCAGCAATGGACCGGGCGGCAACCTTTACTGGATTTCGGCCTGAACCGGATTTCCGAGAGGCAGCTGATTCAGGGTAGCAATAGCTAGGAGAGTAAGCAAATCGGTCCGGCGTTGACCGCACGCCAGAGCTAGTGTTCCGGCTTCTTGAGCTGGTGGTGGAACTGGTCATCACGAGAGAGCAAAAGGTGAGAAATTGTGTGTACGAAATGACGTAGAAATGGCGGGTCGTTGAGAGATGTAAATATATAAGACAGAAGAGCCTTTTGATTCTATAAAAGGTGGGTGAGGCTAACATGCGCCACATGTTGAGGTTGTTAAAACGGAGCTTTTATGTTTGATGATTACGTGATAAAAATTAAAAATAATTGCCCCGCCTTTTGGGTAAAGCATAAATCTTTTTTCTTACTCCTCAGCTGGATTAACGTGTCTTGTCTTGGCTTCATGTTTTTTTTTTTTTAATTCAAAATTTTAAAAGCATTTTATTTGTATTTTGAAAATTTTTGAGAAAATTAAAAGAAATAACAATTGGAGAATAAGAATTATAAATATTAAAATTTTAAATTTAAATTTATTAAAGATTACATTTGAATTAAATTTCAGACTTATAACTTTTGAAATTAATTATTATAAATTTTAAATTTATATTATTATTTTCTAAGATCAAAGTCAAGCATTACTCAAAAGAAAGGCCAAATAAACCAAAGAAGATTCTTTATAAATCGTTTAAAACAAAAAAAAAAAAAAAAACATTCCTTTGCATGCTAAACAAAACAAAAGACAACAACGGGTAAACGTTAATTGACGAGTGTCAGTTAATGGCGACGGCCAATAACAACTACTTGGCTATGCCGAAAAATAAGGTCGATCAAGTCAAATGTCGGAATCAATCTAAGTTTGCCCACCAAAACACTGAACTACAAAGAAGTATAATGGTAGGTTCCATCAAGGATTCTTGCAAACAACTACTAGCTGAAAACAGCAACCTTGGATCAAAAATGGAGGTTGAGGTGTCCTAGCCCAAGCTGACCCACTACTTAAACCGCATTGACATAGATAGAATACCTTCCACTTCATGTCTGCAGATATAAGGCAGCACGACATAACACAAACAACATCAACAACATTCTCATCCAACCGTACATTGAGCTTTAAACTGCTGGCTGGTGTAAATGGTTTTCATCAATCCAGAAAGGGGGATGCATGTTCATCAACACAGATCGTTATCTGCAAGGCCAGATGGTAATAATAATGGACTTTAGACATTTCTGAGACTGGCCTGCAATCTTGCTAGTTCTTTTAAATCTCAACCCTTCACACCATGCGTATAGAACTTCCATATCCAGAAGTCCAATCCATGTTCTTCCAATGCATGTTGTTGTCATTGTGACCGGGAAGCATACCTTTATCACTAGAAGTAACAAGTCACCACAAGACCCAGACCACCTGGAGGATAAATATTCAGTTTTCATCCAAGCAACCGTGTCAAATAATAATTCTCTGGAGATCTTGAAGCTCTTCAGCCCTCCTTCCCGCAATTTCCTGTGCACAGCTGGGACATGACAATATAGAATATGAAAAAAGTAATGCAGTTTCTTTTTTTTTTTTTTGACTTTATACACCACAGTTTATCATATGAATTAAGCCAATAGATATATTACTTATTAAATGAAAAAACCAACAACTACAGCAATCCTGAACTCATACGATAAATACACCAATTAAGGTTCCATAAAAAATATGCCAAAAGTTAAACTCTGAGGATTTCATACCTACTTGCAAGCAACAACTCTTCACAAACATACTACGTAGAAAAGGAAAGCATTAATTGTTCCTCAATTCTAGTAGGAGTAAGGCATTTCCCCTTAGATTAGAAGTCAATCATCTCTGTTCTGCAGTTAGGATGAAGATTGTCAGGGTTTAAACCAATGATTTGTGGTAGAGTTAGATGGAAGATCGACAGAGTTCTCTAGTTAGTTGAAAGTTACCAGACTTTCAAGTAAACCTTTCAATCAGCACCTCTGTTAGATGACACATAGTAAATAGACTACTACTAGACACTACTAAACCATATACAAAACTTAAACAGATGTATTCGTTCAATTCCATAATGGTAAAAAACCATTGGCACTTATCAATCAGCATAAAATTGTTCATCAATTGGACAAAAAATGCCATATGAAACACATTTCTAAATAGATGATTCGAAATCATACCATAGAAAGATTTGTTGACTCATAAGTAGATCATGCCAGATCCCATTTCAGCTAAGTCAGCGAAAGCTTGGTTTGCCAACTGCATATGGTGAGATTTATTTTTTGTTTGTCAACTGTACAGGAATTCAGTTCAAACCTTGACCTGTACAGCCCAACTTGGCCTAGCAAGATGAAACCAGTCTTACAACCACAAACTAGCCATGATGATAAAGTCAGCAAATATTTGACAATGTTCTTATTCTAGTTTATCATAGATTATGGTGATTTTCTCATAGAGCTCAATTACTTGAAGGTTAGTTGGTGACCAACATTTAGTAGCAAACAATAAATAAAAAAGATGCAGAGAAGTAGAATTGATGCAGCCATGTAAATTCTCTGTTATGTAGTGTCAGCAATTTAGAAAGTTCGATATGCAGGGGCGAATCTAAAGTTTCACGTTAATGGAACATGCAGATTCATTTAGAGTGGGCAATCCTTACCGCAAAATGATAAGAAAATGATTTAAAGAGCACGCTCATCCATATTGCTGAAGCACGTATCCTTGGCAGTCAAAATGCTATATTCCTGCTTCATTAGACCAGATAATATAGTGCACATGTCTAAAGTTTTAGGATGAGATTTATCACTTGAGGCAAACACATTAACATCACCAGCAATCTCCATCCAGCTACAACCAGGAATTTTGTAATCACAATGGTCTTTCATCATTTTTCTGACACTTTCCACATCTAACCATCTCCCTTTAGAAGCATAAATGTTAGAGATAAGAGTATAATTCTCAGGTTTGTTCGGCTCCAAGACAACAAGCTCTTCTGCTGCCCACTTGGCCAATGTTATGTTGCCATGGATGTTACATGCCCCTATGAATGCTCCCAAGGTGTCCGGTGTACATGCAATGGGATGAGATGTTAAGACATCAAAAGCCTCATCAAGAAGACCAAATCGACCGAGCAGATCAACGAGACAAGTATAGTGCTCTGAATCTGGAACGATTTGATAGTCATTCATCATTATATTGAAATAATGAAGCCCCTCATTCAACAGCCCTCCATGGCTACAGGCAGAAAGAATACCAAGAAAGGCAATTTGATCTGGCTTTACACCAGTAGCTAACATTTTCTCAAAAACTATAATACTTTCTTTTGAAAGACCATGGAATGAATAAGCAGCTATAATTGATGTCCATGTAACAAGGTCAGGCTTTGCAACTGAAAGAAAACATTGAAATGCACCATCAATGCTACCACACTTGGAGTATGCATTTATTAAAGCATTTGCAACTGATAAAATGGACTCAAACCCATTTTTAACCACATAAGCGTGGACTTGCCCCATTTCACCAGAGGCGGATAAAATACCACATGAGCGAAGTATGCTTGCCATAGTTAGTTCATCTGGACAGAAATTTTGTAGCCTCATTTCTCTAAGGAGTTCCATAGCCTTCTCCACACCTCCATACTGCCCATAACCTACAATCATAGTATTCCAAGACACAACATTTCTAGCAGTCATCCCATCAAAAGCTTTTCGGGCATCATATAGATTTCCACTCTTTACATACATATCAACAAGTGCACTTGCCACAGGAACGTCTAAATCAAAACAAAGTTTAATAATGAGATCATGAACCTGCCTCCCCAGCTCATAAAATCCCCAACTACCGCAAGAATTAAGCAAAGAACAAAACGTATAACCATCCCCTTTAACACCTTCCGTCCTCATCAGATCAAAAACCTCAAAAGCCTCTTCTGTTAAAGAATTCCAAACATAAGAAGAAAGGATCACATTCCACAACACCAAATCTCTACAAAACACTTGATCGAAAACCCATCTCGCTTCTTCAACTAAACCACATTTCCCATATAAATCAACAAGAGCACTGCTCACAAAACAATCAAATAAAAACCCCAACTTCACTATAAAACAATGCAATTCTCTACCAAAAACGACATCATTTAGCACAGTGGAAGCACGTAGCAAAGCGTTCAAAGTTATATGATCAAAACCTACGTTGTTTATCAACATTTTCTTAAAATAAGAACAACCCAGATAAAGACTCGAGTTACAAATCATTGTATTCCACGTCACCAAGTTTCGCAGACGCATTTCATCGAACAATTTCTCAGCGCCCGATAATAAATGCTTGCATTTAACGTATAAATTTAGCATTTGTACTTCCAAAGACAGTACATTATTCAATCCTAATTTTATTATGTGTGAATGTAGTTGTTTCCCTTCGTGAAGGAGACCCATTTTGGCTGAGATTTTGAGGGCGTGAGAGAAGAAGCGAGTCGACTCGGAATGCAGTGCCGAGTTTACTAGTGTACTCGATGTGAGAGATGGATTCAGTTTCGGCCTCAAGGTGCGTAATTGGGGGGTCTTTTGAGGGAGGTTTGGTGAAGAAGATAAGTGTCGCTTGAAATGGACAGTAGAGATCGAAGGAGTACGGCATTTCGAAAGCATGTGAGTGGAGGATGCGTAGAAGACCGTTATACATATCCCGCAGCCGACATTGAATTTTTTTTTTTTTCCCGAAGCCGACATTGAATTCAAACATTTCTTTCTGGTGGTAATAAAACTAATTTTTGGTACGCTACAAAACAAAATACTTTTGCTCAAATATTTTATCTACTTCAACTATAGTATTTCTTTCGGCCAATATATTTAAATTGCAGTATAAAAGTAACTGTTTATATTATATGTAATATCTTTATTTTATAGTTACATTAATAAATTATTATTATATTATTTTTACAGTTATTATATAATATATATTATATAATTTTTAAAATTTTAATTTAACGATTAAAAATATTTGAAGAGATAATAAAAATCTGATTTCAAATAATTTTTTTATTCGTATTAAAATTTTATCCTCCTCGTATAATAAAAAAATATATAAAAATTATATAAATAAAATCTTAATTAAACAAAAAATGATAATATAATTTTTTAAAAAATAAGATGGTGTAATGGACTTGCAATTTATACTCATTTTTGCTTTATTTTCTTGATAATATTTTGCATTTAATATTATACGTGGACAAAGATTTTTCTTTTTTTTTAAATGACGTGGATAAGATTTTTAACATTTAGTACTAGAAAGTTTTGTAAGACATCTCTTTATTCTTACCAAAAGCCTTCTAAGATTCTTTCCATTCCCAAGTATAACCCCGGACTTTGACTTTTTTTACGTACAAAGACAGAGAAAATTCTTATACAGTTTTGCCGCACAAGAATCATTGCACTCAATTAAAATTATTTTTAGTTCTTAATATTAAAATTAATTTTTAAAAGAATCATGAGTGGAACGCGTAAAACTATGTAACAACGGACAAAAATCCAAGAATACAAATAAATAATAAAAACGAAAACCTTTTATTTTTCTCGGCAACCTATTCGTCCTCACCTTCTTTTCACTCTTCCAAGTCGAGAATTTTGGCTAGAATTCTCTGCCTCTTCTCCCCTCTACCACCGCTTCAAAAGGTAAAATTTTCACTTCTTTACTTTTCTTCACCGATGAACTTGTTTTTATTTATTAAAAATTATTTCTTTTTTTGTATGTTGCATATCACTTTTCGCTTTTCTATTTAAGATTACTCGAATTAGGGTTTATGAAATTGATATGACTTCCATTTTTTCGTTTGTATGTGGATTGTTTTTTTTGTCGTTTGTTGTTATTCATGTTAATTTATGATTAATTTCGGATTTTTGAATCTGAACTGTTTTGCCGATGTGGTTTTAGCTTTAAGGTGTTTTGATTAGCTTCTGATAATCATGTTTTGGATTGTCTTTACAAAAGATGTATGTCAAAAGTGTGAAATTTGTAAATTTTTTATGAAGTTTGCGAATTTCAGTTCTTTAGTGTCTCGTTTATGGTGATTTTCAAGACCTTATATTCCATTTTAAGATAATCTGGGCTTGTGGCACTAAGAGGCTGAATCTCATATTTTTCAACTTGTAACCAACTGATTTTAGCATGAAATGCTAAAATTTCATTAAAAATATTCCTTTCATAGGCCAAACACGTTGAATGACGTAGCCGCTCGGGTCATGCTTTGTGTCTGTGGCATTATTTTGTATCTGTTTGTTTCATTCTCGAGTTGTGCATTGCCTGCTAATGCATACACCTGTCATTATGAGCTGTAAGGTTATAATGTTTACACCGGTGCTTTTGTTAAGCTGCTAACTTGTTATCCCCAGCTAACCAAAGACTGGGTATGTATTGAAAATGATGATTGTCTGAAATTTTTCACTTCTCGCACGTGAACTGCTTCTAATATTTGTTGGATAACTTAGTCTACCGCCATGCTCTTTTTACAAAGAAAGATAATCATCATGATAATATTTGTCTGAAGTTTTACATTAAGCTCATTATGATAATTTTCTTATTAATATTTAGTGTATTTGTATATAATTTGCCTATATATGGGGGTAATTTATTTGTTAGTATTCAGATCTGCTTATGTTCACATTTCTGGTCAGCCATGGTTAGTAGGGATTTATCACTTTTCTTGTTCATGCTTCTTGAAGCATGATTCTATTTTGGTTAGTATGTTACATGTTTTGTCTGGATTGCAAGTTGGTTTTTTTCCCCCTATGTGTGAACCTATTATATTCTACTTGTCTTTTGATGTCAAATAACAGGGGAAAAGGCACCAAGCTCCCTTTGCATTGGGTGGATGACAAAGACAACTGTGCAATATGGGAGGTTGCTGTTGTTCTTCCAGGAAACCTCATCTGCATGGGACGCCTGTTTATTATTATGTTAGTGATATGCTCAGCTTATAAATATGTCTAATGCCTTTAGTATCTTGTATGACTTTTTCTTTCTTCATACTTGAGAAATGGAAGTTGTTTGTTCAGAATATTAGAAGCACTCACCATTATACACGATAGCAGGTGGGAAATGGAATGGAAAAGGAAGAAGCAAAGGAGAATGAAAAGCAGAATATTTTGGAACTACCCTTAGTTCACTCTTTTTTTGTAATTGATTGTTCAATGAAATTGCTATTCTTCTTAAATCCCTTTCATTCCTTCTTCCTTCACTTGAACTGATTGTAGAACCTGTGATCTGCAACTGATCTTTTGGTCTGATGAACATTGGAAGCTTTTTACAGACTCTAGGATTTTCTGCCACAAGTCAGAAGCTCGATTGCTGTTCTGTCATCTGAATAGAGATGTCAGTTTGTATGCATGCTTGAATTTTTGGAAACAGTTATTGTGATTTTCTGCTTCAACTTATTTGATTCTATATTGTACGTAAAAAAAAATGAAAACAGCAACAAAAAAGAAAAAGAAAAACTGAAATTTTGGTATATGAATCTAACAATCCCCCTAATTTGAAAACTCCATCCTCCAAGTAAAAAAACTCATGTTGAGACTGTGTGTGTATATTTGTGTGAAGGATAGGGCTCTTGTGTTGTTGGTTTTTGGCTATTGGGCTAATATAGCAGCTTACCAGGTGATTTGTAATTTGTTTAGGTGATCTCCTTTTATCTACTATCTTGATAAAAGGGTTTATGAGTATCTCTGTCTATTATGTATCATTCTTTGAATTTTAAAACCCTTTCCACAGTGTCCACCAGCTTTGGAAGAGAATGAGTCTTTAACACCTCATGATGGGTCAGCCTCTGCAATGGCTGCAGGACTCCTGGTTAGTTTGGATCTAGAAGTACCTGACACGTTTAGGCCACCTCCAACACCTTTGCCATATGATGTGGTCTTGGGATGCCCAGAGTCAACTGATTCAGAGTCTTTCAGAGAAACTATCAGTGGGGGTAGTTTTGAGACACTGCCAACATGTGAAGATCTTGAGGAATCAGACTGCAAAACACTGTCTAGTTCTTTGCGCCTTTCACCAAGAAAATCAGAATTCTCAAAATTAACTGAATCTAAGGAATCAATGACAGAGGAAGAGGATGCTTGTCCTATTTGTCTTGAAGGTACTGTACTCTTATTTTCTAAGGCATTAATTGCTAGTAGTTCAAGATTTCAACACCATGTTTGCTGGTAACTAATTAATGTATGTTGACAATAATACCATTTTCCTTGTTAATTTAATATCTATAGCAGCTCATAAGTAATGGCTTGTGTATGGTATTTGCACATGCAGAGTATGACACAGAGAATCCAAAACTTATCACAAAATGTGAACATCATTTTCACCTCTCATGCATTTTGGAGTGGATGGAAAGAAGTGAAACCTGCCCTATATGCGATCAGGTTTGCCTCTTTTAGGTTGCTACCAATTGTAGTTGATTACCTGTGTAAGTTTAGCTTGGTTGTAGAGGATTAACTTGGGACGGGGTTTACGCTCACACTTGTGGATGCAATTTACTATACCAACAATATGGACTCAAACTTTGTCTGTCTTGCGGGTGGTGGAAGTACTTGGGCTTGACTTGGAGTTTCTTCATTAAAATGGAAACAAAAGAAAGAAACTATAGTGTGATATTTTTATCTAAAATCGCATGAATCAACGGTGTCTTCTAATTACCTGTGCCAAATCTTGCACTTTACTATACCAACAATATGGACTCAAACTTTGTCTGTCTTGCGGGTGGTGGAAGTACTTGGGCTTGACTTGGAGTTTCTTCATTAAAATGGAAACAAAAGAAAGAAACTATAGTGTGATATTTTTATCTATAATCGCATGAATCAACGGTGTCTTCTAATTACCTGTGCCAAATCTTGCACTTTACATCACCTTGCTGGTTAATATGTTTATACCTATGTCTACAAATCAGTGACATGTTCTACTTTTTTAATGTTACAGGAAATGAATTTTGACCAGACTTTTGATCAATAACTCTTTATTGAAGATGGAATTCTTTTGTTGTGTGAGAGCAAAGCTTGTCACTCTGCATGCTGCAGATACATATTAGTTTTTGGTCGTGCAGCTGGTCAGATGGTGTGCCCACAAGGTTGAAGGTTACTTAATTTCTAGCTATATAAAAGGTTGCATTGTATTCAGGCTGTCAATATTTTCATCAATTCTTCAAGGTTACGACTTATGGGAGTAAAGAATCAAGTTGACACAATATTATAACACAGCTCAGGATGTTAATGCCCCTCTTCTGTGGTTAAATATTTTGTCTTCAGTTTTCAGATCAGTGGCGGGAAGGATGATGTAAACAACAAGGTCATTGGAGGGGATCTGAATCAGATGCAATGGAGGTTTGTTTTTTGAACAGAATGAGCAATTGTCAGTCTGCCATGCTTCATTTGATGATAATCTAAGTTTTACTTGTACATGTTTTCATATCATTTCCTGTCTTTTTGTTTCTATTTTTGAATTTGAATGTCGTATGCTGCTTATACTCATCCTTTTCCGCCTTTCCTTTTCAATGGTTTTGTCAGTCATCTGTTTTCCTATTTAGATGGATTTATGATGGAGGATGTTGTTCAATGTATTGAAAGCAAGGAATGATTAAGGGAAATGTCTATGAATTTAGATCAAGCAATTTGTCTGTAATCTACTTTGTTCTTGTACTGGTGTCGGTTTGTTCTGGTTCAGCTTGAGAGAATGTATGATCGGACAATCATGTGCAACATGTTTCTTGTCATTTTTCTATTACATTGTAGAATAGCATGAAGCAGTTAAGGATTCTAGAACTTAGAATGGTTATGGGTCAGATTCAAATAGTGGTGTAAAATTGAATGTAAAAGGAAAAGTCTATGCCTAATTTTGGCAGATTAAGAGACCATTTTGGCAAACCACCAGGAAAACAAACGGTTCCATCAAATTAAAACAGCTAGGTCCCTCCCCATTGTTCATTTCTCAACTTGCAAAACAATGTTCAAAACTTTGTTTTTCTATCCCATGAAAATGACTGCATTTAATCTGCGGCTTCAATTAGTGAATGATGTATGTTTTAAAATTGAATCAATATTTTTCAATTAGCTTTAAAAAAACGAGAACCACTCTATTTGAAATTCAAAACGTCACTTTCGTTTCAAGCTGTTTCACATTGAAAATTTTAAACAACCAAGTGCCAATAATAATCGGCAATTAGCATTGGTGGGGCAGTACCAAAGGGGGATCCAAAGCATGTCCAACACCATGACCCCGGGCCCCGGGCTCGAGCCCCGAGCCATCAACCTGAATTAGGAAAGTCTATTAATATAAACCCAATATTTTTTAATCGAAAATCCATAAATTTGACTTTTACTATGAATACAAATGTCTAAAGGTCGGACAATGACCGATAGGTTTAGCCTAACTTGAGCCAATTTATATTAAATATTTTAGTTCGACTCAATTTATATTATTATTTAATTAATAAAAAATTATTTTTTATTTATTTTTAAATTTAAATAAATATATTTAAAATTTTAATATTTTAAAAATATTCGACCTCTCATATCCGTAACTCAAATGAACCTTGAACAAAAATTTTGAAAAATTAATGAAATCTAATCCGTTTCAAATTCTATTGCTTTTGATTTTTCTAAAAAATTGCGTAAAGAACTGCAATATTTAAGGAAAATGGAGGTTGTTTATGATAAAGAAAATTAGTAATATTTTTACAAGTTTATAACTCACAGCTTTCTAAATTTTATAAACTTTCATCTTCCAGTAAATCAAAGCTATGTTTTCGGAAATTACATACCCATAACTCATAATTCAAGAAGAATGATTCGATTTTAGGCTACTATTAAATCAGAATTTGGAGTAACATTTTTAGCAGAGTAGTGGATTTAATCCAAAAAGGCCACCGAAGCCCCTCGTGCCATGGACTCTAGAGCGCCCTCCCTCAGAGTTCCACTGTCCCTTTTTCCACAAACTTTTAGTAACAAAAAAAAAAAAAGAGAGAGAGAGAGAAAGTTTAAACAATTAACTTTTGTTTACTTTTAACAACCCTTGTTGAAAACCGAGGACCCTGTGAGTGGACTGCACCACAATTGTCTGCCACCCCAATCGTTCTCTTAGACTTTTCCCTCACCTACGCTTACCAAAACGGCCCGCTCCTCCTTCTCCTACTGCTTCATATATGATAAGGCAGGGTATTTCATGTTTGTTACTAGGTAAAAATTTAAGTAATTTTTTCCTGAATAATTACGAAAAGTTTTCATCTTTTCTTGGTTGTGCCCATGAATGGCTGCTTTTACAGATTTCTATAAGAATTATTCTGTTTCTTTCTCTCTCTCACTTGAATAGTTTAATGCCTTGCTTCAACCGTTTCTCAGATTCCACGTTTCCATGTCACCTTACAAGAAGAAACTCACTTCCGGTCAAACCAATAGTCCAAACAAAACACTCTCTCCCTCCAACCAAACTAATAACTCTAACCTCTCTAATTGAGATGTCATTGTTCACTTCCCTTCTTTCATGTCTTCTCTTTCTTTCCTCCTCTTCCTTTTACTCCTTTCATTTCACACGCAACATGCAATCTTTGTCACTAAATCTCCACCGTATGAGCCTTTTTCAGGTTCCAGCATTGATACTACTTCAAAATTTCCCATTTCACGTACTGAAACATTCAAAACCCATTCCATATCCAGGGAGTTGGAGTCCACCAATGTTATTATCAGAGGAAACGCAACTATTCGTAGCGTTAACGGTACTTTCGAGATGGGTTTCTTTAGCACAAATGGGGAATCCAATTGGTATTTAGGAATCTGGTACTCTTCTATCCCTACTCAAACACGTGTTTGGGTTGCCAATCGTGAAAAACCCATAAAAAATATCACTCAATCTTCACTAGAAATCACTGAAACAGGGCAGTTAGCAGTAAAGGAGTCGCTAGATTCAGTCGTTTGGCAGAGCACCAACAGGGAAATAGCAAAAAAGTTTGATCTTTTAGAGAGTGGAAATCTGGTGCTGTATTCATCAGAAGGGTCAAAAATATGGCAAAGCTTTGATCACCCAACGGATACGTGGCTGCCAGGGATGAGCATCACCGCCCAACGATCTTTAACCTCTTGGAAGAGCTTGTTTGACCCATCTCCAGGACATTTCTCTTTAAGGCTAAAACCCCAAAAGTTCAACGAGTTTGAGCTAGTTTATAATTCAACCAATGTGTATTGGTTCACAGGGAACTGGACGGGGACAGCTTTCGCCAAAGTGCCACAAATGACTATCCCTTATATCTACAAGTTCCATTTCTCTAACCCTTACTTGCCGACAGCGTCGTTTTGGTACACAGAAAGAGCGCTGGATAACGGATTGGGACCGCCTTTGACAAGGTTTCAGATTGATGTTAACGGGCAGCTGAAGCAATTCACATGGTCAGCACAGGCAGAGAATTGGAACATGTTTTGGTCAGTACCGGAGGATAAGTGCAAAGTTTACGGTTTGTGCGGTAATTTTGGGTCTTGTGTAAGTACATCTTTAAAACCTTGTGTTTGTCTTAATGGTTTTAGGCCTGTGGATAATGAGGGTTGGAACTCTGAGGATTTTACTAGTGGTTGTAGACGAGAAAGTGGTGATTTTTGTGAGGATAAAGATGGATTTGAGGAGGTAGGTGATGTAGGGTTTGATGGAGGGACTGCGGTGTCGTTCCAAGGTACTAGGAGTACTTGTGAGAAATCTTGTCTGAGTACATGTTCTTGTATTGGGTTGTATCATAATGGGAGGACGAATCTGTGTAAGAATCTGTATGGGTCTTTGTTGAATTTGAGAAATTTGAGCTATGATTGTATGAATGACGGTGTCTTTTATATTAGGGTGCCAAGAGGAATTGTGAAGAAAAATGTGTCTAAAGCCATGGTTTTGGTTGGTAGCATTGTTGGGTCTATTGCAGCTTTAGGGTTCATAGGGGCGATTTTGTTGCTTTTGAAGAAGAGAAGTGAGAAGAAGAATGGGAAGGATGAAGATGGTGTTTTTCCAGGATTGAATCTCAAGGTATTCACTTACAAAGAGCTAAATAGTCTGACTCGAGGGTTTTCAGAGAAACTGGGACATGGTGGATTTGGTGCGGTCTTTCGAGGTGATTTATCAGATTCTACTCCTGTTGCTGTTAAACGCCTTGAAAGGCCGGGGAGTGGTGAGAAAGAGTTTCGGGCAGAGGTGCGCACAATTGGCAACATTCAACATGTCAATCTTGTGAGACTCAGAGGATTTTGCTCTGAGAATTCTCATAGATTACTAGTTTATGATTACATGCCCAATGGTCCACTGAGTGCATACTTAGGCCGAGATAGTCCTAATTTGTGCTGGGATGTTAGGTTCCGGGTGGCAGTTGGCACTGCAAGAGGTATAGCATATTTACATGAGGAATGTAGGGACTGCATCATTCATTGTGATATCAAACCTGAAAACATTCTCTTGGATAGTGATTACATGGCAAAGGTATCAGATTTTGGATTAGCAAAGCTAGTTGGCAGGGATTTTAGCAGGGTATTAGCCTCAATGAGGGGTACTTGGGGCTATGTTGCCCCAGAATGGATATCCGGTCTGGCAATTACACCAAAAGCTGATGTTTATAGCTATGGGATGACATTGTTGGAATTAATTGGTGGCCGCAGAAATGTGGAGGCACCACAATCTGCAGTAAACGCCAATGCTTTTGGTGAGAACGGGAATGGGGAGAAGTGGTTTTTCCCTCCATGGGCGGCACGCCAAATAATCGAGGGAAATGTGGCTGCAATTGTGGACAGTAGACTTGATGTAGCATATAATGTTGAGGAGGCTGAGCGTCTTGCTTTGGTAGCAATCTGGTGCATACAAGATGAAGAGGAAATGAGGCCTACAATGGGTATGGTAGTAAAAATGTTAGAGGGAGTGGTGAAAGTGACCATTCCTCCACCACCAAAACTGATACAGGCACTAGTTGCCGGAGAGTCTTATCATGGGGTTAGAATGGATTCTGGCGTGTCTACAGCTGGTGGATGCTCAGACTTTAAAGTTGGATTTTCAAGTGCTGGTTCACGGTCATCTCTTGGTAACCTCTCTTCCCCGTGGGACGAGAATTTGGAAGTCTAATTGACAAGAGTATTAGTTGAATACAAAGTCATTGTATCTGCTTCCCTATCTATTTTCCAATGTTTTTTTTTTAATTAGCCTTTTATTTTCAATCTGCTTTCGTATGTTAAAAATATACGAGGAGATGCTAATGATCATCATGCAGATGAAAATCGAGTCACTGCTTCTGAAAGTTCTACCATCATGGGATTTCAAAATGATTTGAAATTCTTCTCTATTTAAAAGCCCAATCAATGTAGTAGGAAAAAAACAAAAAAGCACTGCTCTTTATAATTCTTTCACATGTCAAAAACTTTAGGCTTACACAGTTGATCTGTGGAGAAACCTTGACAATGTGGACATGTTAGTTGGATTGAGCTTCTCTTCCTACAGAGCCAGTTTTTTGGTCTCAACCCAAAAAAACACTCTGGGCTTGCCCACACGTTTAATCGTTCAACCAGAATCTTTTAGATACGAAATGTCATCCATGGGAGATAAAGTGAGAATGGACCATAAAAGGAAAATGCTCATGTTCTTAAAATATGGCTGGGAAGCAAAAATCCTTACCTCCGAATCAAGAGGTCCCACCGGAGGGAATTAACCCATGTCACCATTATTTCATGGATTGCGTAGCACCAGATCCGGAACCCCTCGAGCAACAGAAAGTAACTATATTAACTGTAAACAAACAAATTGAACAATGCTTGTCCTAAGGCTTGAGAGGCTAAGACTCAGCCAACTCCCTTCCTTATGTTTGAAGCAGAATTTTTTTTCTATGGTCATCCTAGTTTATAGCCATAATCGACCATCTGCTAAAACCCTTGTGTACACTTCCACAAAAATTAATATATATATATATATAAATTCAATAAATTAAAAAAAAAAGAAAGAAAGAGAGGGATTGATTTTTCTTCATATTGACTCGCTTGAATTCAGAGAATCAAAGAAAAAACAGAAGAACCAAAGGGTTCATTAAAGGCGTGCCAAAATTGCGAATACGAAAGAGTATGAGCTGCAAAATGCAGAGGAGAAAATCAATCCATCCTCTGCTGGATCATCACCTACACAGCATCTTATGGAGAATCAACTGTACAGTACATCACCAGTGATCTCCTCCTTTGAAGTTGCCGAACTCCATCCTGCACCTTCAAGTTTAATCAGTGAGGGAGGAGATTATCCTCCTATACAAAGTTTTGCAGATGCAAAAAACATATGTTTTATTGAGTCCTCCAAGCTATGGGCAATTGCTACTCCTATTGCATTCAATATTTGGTGCAATTATGGAATTAACTCGTTTACCAATATCTTCGTTGGCCATATTGGAGATATCGAGCTTTCAGCTGTTGCCATTGCTCTATCTGTCGTTGCAAACTTCTCTTTTGGCTTTTTGGTCAGCTTTATTTGTTTCTTCATTTATTTACTAACATAACATGATCATTCATATATATCAAGAATAATTTTCAAGAATAAAAAACCCATCGAGAATTTTCCTGATCTATTCTGCTTTTATTTAATTCCAAAACAGATGGTATTTTGGGATTGCTTAAACAAGGAAAATATAAGCTAATGTGCCTGAATTCAATGAAAAACTATCATATTTAGCAAATGTTGCAAGATTCTTGGCTACCGATCTTCACACTGTTCATTAAACTGCAGCTTGGAATGGCGAGTGCACTAGAGACGCTATGCGGACAGGCATTTGGTGCAGGACAAATAGACTTACTTGGTGTATACATGCAGCGATCATGGATAATCCTATTCGGAGCCTGTTTTGCCTTGTTGCCTCTCTACTTGTACGCTACACCAATCCTAAAACTCCTTGGACAAGAGCCTGATATTGCAAAACTTGCTGGAGAATTCACCATGCAAGTTATACCCCAAATGTTCTCATTAGCTATCAATTTTCCAACCCAAAAGTTCCTACAGTCACAGAGCAAGGTTGGAGTCTTAGCGTGGATAGGTTTTGCGGCCTTCATTGAACACATTGTGATACTACATCTCTTTGTTAATGTGTTCAAGTGGGGTACTATTGGTGCTGCTGCGGCTTATGACATCTCAGCTTGGGCGATTGCCGTGGCTCAAGTTGTTTATGTGGTGGGTTGGTGCAAGGAGGGCTGGACGGGATTGTCTTGGTTAGCCTTTAAGGATCTTTGGGGTTTTGTCAAACTTTCTGTAGCTTCAGCCGTGATGCTTTGCTTAGAGATTTGGTATTTTATGATGATAATTGTTCTCACTGGTCACCTTGAAGAACCCGTCATAGCAGTTGGGTCTCTTTCTATCTGGTGAGATCAAAATCACTAGTCCGAGTCTCTCAATTCTGCTCCTTTTTGCATAGTTTTTTTTTTTTTTAATTAATTTGAGTTTTATCCAATTGATTGTTTCAGCATGAACATCAACGGCTGGGAAGGCATGTTATTTATAGGAATAAACGCAGCTATAAGGTAACAAAAAAGGGGAAATTTTATTTTCTCTCTTTAGATTATGATTTTTTTTCATTACCCTTTGGAGTACTGATGTTGATGTTGGGGTTGCTTTTTCAGTGTTCGAGTCTCCAATGAGCTTGGATCGGCACGTCCGAGAGCTGCAAAATATTCAGTCTTTGTCACGGTTGTACAGTCTCTTCTCATAGGAATACTTTCTGCAATCATTATCCTGGCAACTAGAAACAAATTTGCTATCATCTTTACAGATAGTAAAGAGATGCAAAAGGCCGCGGCTCATTTAGCTCATCTTCTTGGCATAACCATGGTTCTAAACAGTGTGCAACCAGTTATATCAGGTGAGCAATTGGAGCATTTGAAAATTCCCAAGCACGGGATTTTTATGAAATAATGGTGCCACCATTGCAGGTGTTGCTGTGGGTGGAGGTTGGCAAGCCTTGGTAGCTTATGTAAACTTGTTCTGCTATTACATTGTTGGTCTCCCACTTGGGTTTCTTCTTGGTTATAAAATCAAATTAGGGGTGGAGGTACAAGTATCATACTCAACGTTTCTTTTTCCCATTCTTATTATCTAATATTAATGGGGGGCTCACTGTTGCAGGGAATCTGGGTTGGCATGATTTTTGGGACATTTTTGCAGACATTAATCCTCTCGTATATTACCTACAAAACTAACTGGAACATAGAGGTGGGACATTCTTGTAAACATTAATGATTTTTATGAGCTTAGATCCAATCTAAAAACAGGATTTGATCAATTTTCTTTTTCTTTTTCTTTTTTTTTTGGTACCATTGAAATGTTATTACAGGTTGAACAGGCATCCGAAAGAATGCGGCAATGGGGAGCAGAGCTGCATGTCGGTCATGGATCGAATTTGACCAAGTAAATCTGGATCTGCTTTGAACAAATTTCCTACTCTTTTTAGAAATGCCGGGCTTGGCATTTTTGCTTTTTTTCTTTTTTTAAGAGCTAAGTATAGTTTTCTACCTTCTAAATTTAGCCAAATGCAAGACCACATGCCAACACGTACATAGCTAGCTTGGCCACAAAAAGAAAACAATTTGTAACTATATACATTAGTAAAAATTGCAAGTAAATTATCAATTAATATTATTTCCCATGATTGATTTTTTTTTAATTATGATTTGAATATAACTCATAATTAAATTCAGTTAATTTATGAATTTATTTTTTAAAATTAATATTTAATAAATTTATTATTCAAATCTTAATATTTATAATTTTTTATTTTTAAACTGTTTTTTTTTTTTTACAAAAATTTATGATATAAATCTATCTTTTTTTATTTTGTGACTAAGAATTTTTTTTGGAATCTGAATTTTTTAAAATTTGAAATATTTTCTTCTGTAATTATAAAGGTTCTATTTCTTTTGTATTTTAACTATTAAAATAATATTTTACTATTTTTAAAGTTCATTTAAACATATAAGTTTTAAAAAAATCATTTATTAATATGTGATGATCAATCTTTATACCAAACGAAAGTTCAACACGGACAAAGTCAAATATTAAAGAACCGCCTCAGCAAATTTGTGGGACCTACCGCCAGTCTGTTGGGCTAAGATTTGGATATATTATATTTTGACCCCCATTCTTTCTGTTTATATCTTTTAAAGAATTGCATATTTGGACCCGGTTCCATCTTTTTGTAATTATGTTTTGAGCCAATAATTAAACTTTCAAATTTTTTAGTTGTAGTATTTTTGTTGATAATTGTGTGATAAATACATATTTTGAGTTTTAATTTTCAGGACTTGATTTATAATATATTATTATCATTTTTATATATAAAAAAATCTATCAAATATTTTATTTTACTTTTTATGATCGATAAAACATGTTTTAGAAAAATAAAAATATATTAATAATTAATAATAATTTGGTCAAAATGTGATTTTCATTAAGCTTTAACAAATTTAATGTAATTAAAAAATATATAGGTAAGACATAATCTTTTTTTTTATTGGTCCTTGAATTGTTTGATTGTACAAATTTTTCTATAACGTTCAAGATGGATTTAGGCTTTAAATTTTAGTCCGAATTTGATGTGAAAGCTTGGCTAAAATATGGAGCCCAAGTCTTCCTTTTTTTACTAATACGCATACATGTATTCAAAGTAGCATTTGATATTTCCACTACTTGAAGTGAATTTTAATGTGTTTTTTATTTTGTTGATTTTAATTTTTTTATGAACTTTTCAATTAAGATGATAATGGTTTGAATTATATCAAATTTAGTTTGTTATTTGAATAATGCATAATATTATAAATTTTTAAAATTTAATTTGAATTTGAATTGATTTTTTCCTTTAAACCAATTAGATGTGAATCGAATTATATCGATTTATTCTTTTTATTTTTAAATTTTAATTTTTTTATTTTTATATATTATTTTAGTATAATTTTTAATAAATTTATATATAAAATAATTACTTTTATTTTAAAAATTTGTAAAATATATAAACCAATATAAATATATAATTTAATTCGATTTATTTTATCAATTTATCTTTATTTAATATAAAATTTGACCATAACATAATTTATATATTTAATATCTAAATTTAATTCGAATCAAATAAAAAAATTAATTTGAATCAAACACTATTTTTTAAAATTAATTTTTAATTTTATCAATTTTTTCTCTGTCCTACTTCGGACTAAAGATATAAAAGTTTTTGATCGACTTATATTTGGACTTTAAAATCTATATTCTAACTCACTACTAATTTTGAATATTTTATATGTTATTATATTATTTATAAAGCTTTAATTGAGTTTAATATCTCAAGTAAAGTGATAGCAACTTAATTAAAAATATTATTCAAAGATCAAAAAATAAAATAAATATATATTTTCTTAATGGTGTTTAAGTATTTTTATTTTTATTTTTAAATATAAACCTAATTTAAATTTTAATATTTTAAACTTTTTTTTGTGCTTATTGGTTATTATTCTCACTTCTAAATAATTGCACGTTCACCTACACTTGTTTTTCATATTTAGATAACTATGTTTTTTTTTTTTTTTTCACCAACATAATAGGTGTGCATAGATTAGTATTCCAAAATAACACTATTAATAATAAGATGAAGAAAATTTGTTTTGTATGTTTATTAAAATAAATTTTCAAATCAACTAAGGGTCTTAAAATATTTATTCAAATTTGGTTAGAAAATTCTATCAAGTTTTTTATTA